CCATGACACTATTCAAATCATTTCCTGGTCAAACCAGGTAAATTGGTCATGAACCTCATGACCTTGATAGTGCAGACTGTTGTGTTGCACTACACAAACAGTCGTTCCACTTGACAGTAATTACCTGTGATTTAATGAGGTGCTACAAAAATGCATGTTATTTTTACTGTACTGATGAAATCAACACTGTTGGACTCTGATTTCTATCAGATTGTAGATGTTACATTTTCATCATTTGATATATCAACAGGTATGGCAAAGAGTTGAATTCGTAGTTGTCCGACGTAATATCTGTTCTCTACACAGAGATCAATAATTTTATTGCTTTGTGTTTGTCAGTTATTTTATGAGGGTTTATTAGATAAAATTTAAGGGTTTATTCAATGACATTGTAATATGATAGGTTACATAAATCAGAAGCCATTAATCAATGTTGAAAGTTTCAATTGCAGTTATAAACTGCAAGAACTTTGGTCTGAAAACGCAGCCTGGTCTACGTGTCAGAATGTCTCTGACATTGGAGTGTGGAGAAGTTAGTTGAACTAATCCTACAGTGGCAACCATTACCTAAAATCAATCATTTTATCTGAATTTTTGGGGTCACAGACTTTACTCTTTTGTCTTAAAACAAACAATAGCTGTGAGTGTGCTGTGAATAAACTGTTTAACAATAAACACATAATTATTGTTCAGGTGGGTGTTAAAGATCCCGTGACGCTATTCGAAAAGAGAAGGGAATTTTGGTGCTCTGGCCAACAATCTCCCAGATTGGTCATGGCTGTTTGTGGTGGAACATTACTGTGCACAATGGTCTGCCATTTTCACCCACATATTCACAATCACAGATTGAACTTTACAGTAAAATGCTTGGAGTGCTTTGAGGCAGCCTACCAACATGACAAACACTGTATTAACTGCAGGGATTACTATTATTATTATTATTATCCTCTGTCATCTAGGCGTGTAAGTCATCATTTGCCTGATGAAGGATGATGTAACTTGTCTGTTATCTCATTAAGGCATTACTGTTTTCTGGAGTAATGTTGCTGTAAATTTTATGAGCCAGACCAGATAATAATCCTTGCATTTGAGAGAACGTCTTATCATGCCTTCGAGATATCTCAAAGCGTTTCACGGAACATACTGTAAAGTGAATTGACTTTTTATATTGTGAGCGAAAATATGACATATAATTAATGTGTTGGAAAACAACCTATGCTTCAAAGCCTTTCTTGAGTTGTCATTTAATGGGTTGAAAATAGACAGTTTAAAATAGCCAGCTGTTCTTGTCAGATACTGTTGAGTGAACAGCTTAGACGTTCCAGTAGCTGCCAGGGTGAACGCTGAACCGCAAGCAGAGATTTCACTGAGGCATAGCAGGATTGCTCTGCTGAAAGGGTAATTGACTGGATTGTTTGTGTGTTATATTGTATATAAATGGGGCTTTTGTTATTTGCTGAGTGGTTATGATTTATATTTGCTTATTGAATTGCAGATCCAGTGAGTTAATTATTGCTATTGGAGGATGACGCATTGAATTGCTTCTTCTTTCTGGCTTATATAAAAAAAATTATCTCCATCTTTCCTTTCCCCCGATATAATCTGACGTTAATTTGATTTCTTACAGGAAGTATTTCAATGCTGTTTCAGCCGACTGAATTAAATCAGCACAAAGATCTGCAAGCATAACTGTTGGCTTGTATTCAAATCCCTTTACTCTCTGGCACCTCCCTACCTCTCCGACCATCTCACTCCCCATTCCACCATCCAGCGTCTCTGCTCGACTGGCAGGGTTGTGAACACTCTCTCTCAATCCCTCCGTCTTGCCCCATCCTTCCCCATCTTTAGGTCGCGCCTGAAGACCTTCCTCTTTGACCGTGCCTAGAGTTACCTTTCCCCTTACCCTGGGCCGGTGTCAAGCTCCGTCACTGTCAAGCGCTCTGGGAGTCTACCCTACTTGAGGGGTGCTATATGAATGCAAGTTGTTGTTGTGCTGAGTCCACAGAGGTGGTGGTGGGAGGGTGGGGAGAGGAATTATTCACCCCCTGCCTAGGACTCAGCATAATAGTTTGCGACTAAGGGATTTTCTGGACCAAAAACTGCCCAATTAGTAAAGAGGAATCACTATGTTCCGATCATAGATTACAGGGGTGTGGGACGGGATTGTCTGTGCGAACTTAGAAGGAGGAAAGGCAACTGCAACAATCTCACATGAACAGAATGCAATACAGGCTCCATTTGCGCAACCCTGTCTTTGTTCTAGTAACAATAATATATGGGTATTTTATCTATCACCTGCTGAAATGACACAAAGTACCGTACTTCACAAAAGGAATTACTTTGAAGCAGTGACATGTTACATATGTGCAATTGTGGTGATGGATCTGTCACAACAACATTCCACAAACTACACTGAGATAAATGCCCAAATGTAATGGGTTCCTTGAAATTGGACAAGGAAGGAATATTGGCCAAGATAACATGAGAACTCCTTGCTCTTCTTCCAAACAATACCATGGCATCTTGAAAGGCCAACGGAGATAGGATCTTCATTTCAAAGCCTCTTTTGAAGGCGGCACTTCCGACATCACAACACTTCATTTTAAATGTGAAAGTTTTTTTACTTTGTTACAAACTCAGATGGAGTGACAAGCCACAGTCATCTGAGGCAGATTATTAAACAAGAAAAGGGACAGTTTCCAGCCTCCCCTGCCCACTCTGAGCTTTCCTCAAGGCTCTCCCTGGTCCTGCAACCCCATGGCGTTGTGTGCCTCAGGCTTAAGGCTCTCCAGTTGACCCTACTCTGGAGACACAGAAGGAATCAATGGTTAGTAATGGCTGCTGCAGATTGATGCCAGTCAAATCAATGGCAGTAAGTGTGCCTTTAGGTGTGCCTACTATTGCAAGCAGTCTGTGTCCTCCAGTTTCTTATATGTCATTACCACATTTGCGTACAAAAGTATGATTTTGTGACAACAATTGTTTTGCTCCCCAAATCAGGTATGAACATTATTATTATTACCACATTTACTCGGTGAGTAAAGTCACGAGGTTACGATTACTAATTTAAGAGCTTATTTCCTCCTCTTTCTGATCTACATGCTCCCTCTTGGGGATGTCATCCATAGACATGGGGCCCCCTACCTTTCCACATGTATGCAGATAACACCCAACTCTGTTTTTCCACCATCTCTTTGTGACCCCCAGTCCCCTGATGTTCTGTCAGCCTGCCTGTCAGATCTCAGGGGCTGGATGAGCGCAAACTTCCTTCAGCTGAACGTTGACAAGACGGAAGCCATACTCTTTGGCTCTTGTTGGCGTCTGGAATCTCACGGCTCTCGCCTCCTCCACCTGCCCGACCTCCCCCTGAAACTCTCCAAGTCCGTACGCAACCTAGGCGTTGGATTTGACCCCCAATTAGCCTTCCTTCCCCACATCCGGTCCCTCACCAGCACCACCTTCTACCACCTCCGATGCATCCCCCGTCTCCGCCAATGCCTCTCCCCAGGGGCTGCTGAGGCCCTGGTCCATGTTTTTGTCACCTCTCGGCTGGACTACTCAAACACCCTCTCGCCGGCCTCACCCACACAAAACTCCTCTCCCCGATCGTCCCAGTCCTTGCCAGACTGCACTGGCTGCCTATCCCAGAGAGGATCGATTTCAAAATCCTCACCCTTGTATTCAAGTCCCTGCATTCCTCTGCACCCCCCGACCTCTCTGATCTGCTCTCTCCTCAAAACAGTAACTGTTACCTTTGTTCCTCCGGGTCTGGCCTCCTCTTCATCCCCCAAGTCCTCCGCTCCACCCTCAGTGGCCGTGCCTTCAGCCACTATGCCCCGAGGCTCTGGAATTGCCTTCCTCACTCCCTTCGTCTCGCTCCCTCCCTTCCGATTTTCAGGTCTCTGCTGAGGACCTTTCTTTTCGACCGCGCCTTTGGTCCTCCCCCTACCCCTGGCTCGGTCCCGGGATCCATTACTGTAAAGAGCTCTGAAACGCCGTCCGGCATGGAGGGCGCTATATAAATCCAAGTTGTTGTTGTTATTTCCTTATCTCAAGCCAAGAGAAAGAACATGAGGCCAACCCATATGGAGGAATGTACAAATACATTTGCCTTAGATGTCACAGCCATGGCCTGTATTCGGAAACTGGAACTTGGATAGATGTGTGTATCTTGCTGTGTAATATGTTTAACTACAGCCGTACTTTTTGACAGACCTCTAGGCCAGTCATATTTTGCCAGCTCGCCTCCAAGGAGACCCCACTTATCTCTCCCTCACTCCATATAAGGAGAAGGCTATTCAGATCAGGAAGCTGTGTTTGTCCCTTTCTAAATCAAGATGGCTGAGGCCAATTTGTAGACCCGACCGCTGTGCTGGCTGAGCTCAGCTGACAGCACTGAGATCAGGATCCAATCTTTCAGTTTCTGTGTACCAGGGAATGCATTTACTAACTGGCTCATCTTCTCCTTTTAGCCCTATTTTTCCTTCCTGAATCTCTCTCTTTGAATTTACTTTTTCTTATAAAGACTATTTCATGACACAGTAACTTTACAAACTCGCCGGCAAATATAGTCAAGTCACTTTACAGTCTATTCTCTTAAGCGCTTTGAGACGTCTAGAAGACGTGAAAAGATGCTATATCAAATGTAAGGATTATTGTTATTTATAGTTTGTACCCTTTCCTTCTCATGTTAATTTTTCTGACTCTTGGGACCCAGTAACTAAGTTTGAAGGTAGGGTGCTATTTCAATGAAAAATTTGCCTTCTAATTTTATATGGTTGTGATGTAGACATGATCTTGGTAAACTTTAACGTTTTCAATTTCTCAATCAGCGTTACATCATTGTGGCACAGGAGAGGTTAAAGCTAATCTTAATTCTGACTTGCTAACTTGTGAAACACAGGAGAACTAGTGAAATAGTGGGAACACAGACTACCTTGGACACTGATAAACTTTGTTCAAATAGAAGCACAAACTAAACTGAACTTTCAACTCCAAAGCAACAGTCAGCAAAAAAAAAGAGTCACTTTGAACGTAGCTGGAAGAGATCAACTGTTTTCGTAGAGCCCACCGAGCAAGCTTCACCTGAGGGACAGAGGATGGAGGAGATGCAGGAGAACCTGGCTGTGGTGGTCCATGCTGCAGAAGACCTGAGATTGGTAATCGCTTTTCCCCTTTCTTATACTGTGTAGGAAATTAGTTGGATCTGGGTGAAGCTGCTAAATGTTAGCAAGAGGTTATTACCCTGTTTCTGGAACTCTCACCCCCAAATCTCTCTGCCTCTTTCCCTGTTTTCAAAACCCTTGCAAAAACCTAGCTCTTCAACCATGGCTTCAGCCATCTACCTCGTACCCTGCCCCCTTACTCTGCTTGCAACTCTGTCTCTATAAAGCACTTCAAGATTTTATCCTATATGAAAGGAGCTGTATAAGCGGACGTTATTGTTGAGAAACTGGCACAGACAATTGCACTTTCATGTATTTATTTGTTGAAGATCTTTGGGAGTGAATGTCAAAAGAACGGAGGTTGGAATCAACCATGAATTATAATAAATTAGTATACTGATTCCGTTTTTCAACTGACTAGTTTTTTTCAGATTGACATCTCATCGCTAAGTTTTAAAAATACCTTTTTTAAAATTAAATTCTAATTACGCCGTTACTGTTTTTTGAAAGAGGCATTGTTGCTATTGGGACTGAGTTTATTTAAATTGGTGATTTGTCAGACTGGACTTTGCTCAAATTGGTGGCCTAATTTGCCTAGATATACCAAACATTAGCAAGAGATTATACCCTGCTGATTACAGGAAAATAGCAGTTAGTTTGAAGATAATTGACTGTGTCAAATGCAAAGATTATCATTACGATATACATTGGTTTAGATTTTTATCCAAGTCCTGTCTGATGTGATTTTTTTGTTAGCCTCTTTGGGGAATGGCTGAGAGTTAGTACTTCAGCTAATCAGCATTACAATAGGTAGCCCGCAGATAGATTAACAATGTTCACTTGTACAGTGTCTTTCATGTAGAATAATGTTTCAAAATGATTTACACAGATAGAGTGGAAACCTTGGCTAGTGGGTGAGGAGCGAAAGTAGGGTAACCCCCTAAAAAGCTACCTTTTCAACTGTGCTTTCAGTTGCAGAAGTAGATTTTTAGGAGGGTTTTAAAAATAGGGGAGGAGGGTGTGAGGCAGCAGAATTTTGGAAAGGAATTCCAGAGACATAATTAGAGATGGAGGAAACAAAGGATTGTACAAGACATTAAAAGACTACTGTAGGCAGTCTGTGTCCTCCAGTTTCCTATATGTCATTGCTCTGTATCTCTCATCCTCCCCAATCTTCTGCCATTATAAATTTAGCTCTGTTCAAAGCTATGCCTGATGTACTGTTTCAATATCTACATTTTAAAGTGGTTACATCAGAATCATACAGCACAAAAAGAGGCCATTCGGCCCATCGAGTCTGTGCCAGCTCTTTGAAAAGAGCAATGTAATGTCAGTCCCACTCCCCAGCCCTTTCCCCATAACCCTGCAAACCCGTCCCCCTCAAATACCCATCCACCGCGTTTTTAAATGTAGTTATCGAATCGGCCTCCACCACCCTTTCAGGCAATGCGTTCCAGATTCGAACAACTCGCTGCGTGAAAACATTTCTTCTCACCTCCCCTCTGCTTCTTTTAGAGAGTATTTTAAATCTGTGACCTCGAGTCACCGACACACCCACCAGTGGAAACAGTTTTTCCCTTTCTAAAATATCAAATCCCCTCATGATTTTGAAGACCTCTATTAGGTCTCCTCGTAACCTTTTCTGCTCCATTGAGAATAATCCCGGCCTCTCCAGCCTTTCCTCATCATCAAGGTCCCTCATTCCTGGTACCATCCTCGTAAATCTCCTCTGCGCCCTTTCCAATGCCTTAACATCCTTCCTATAGTGTGGTGCCCGGAACTGGGCGCAGTATTCTAACTGAGGCCTAACCAGTGTTTTATATGGGTTAATCATAACCTCCTGACTCTTGTACTCTATGCCCTTATTTATAAAGCCTAGCATCCCGTATGCCCTTTTTACAACTTTATCTACCTGTCCTGCCACCATCAAGGACTCATTTACCTTCACCCCCAGGTCTCTCTGCTCTTTTACCCCCCCCTTAAGATTGTATTACCAGCCTATATTGCCTCCCCTCATTTTTTCTACCAAAATGCATTACTTCGCATTTCTCCACATTGAAATTCATCTGCCATGTGTCTGCCCATTTTACCATTCTGTCTATGTCTTCCTGCAGTTGGCTACTATCCTTCTCATTGTTTAACACCCTACCTAACTTTGTGTCGTTACCGGCACTTTAAGGAATAAGGTATGGAAGGCTAACTGCTGCGATAGGCTCACAGGGAAGAACTGTTTTGTGATAATTGTGTAGTCAGGACTGTTGCAATGCTTTTACAATTTTTAAAAGCAGTCAAAAATAAACACTTCTATGCCTCATGTTGATGGGTCACCTTTGTGTAAGGATATTATTGCATGAAAGAACTTTGCAAAGTTCTTATCTGTAGCTTTAAAACATGAATTCTAAAGCCAAGCTAAACTATCCTTTTGAGCTCATTTGCCATTACTTTGTGCCAGTCCAATTATCCAGGGGTATGTTTGGCAATGTCAATGCACGCAAGATTGATAATTCACTCCTGACCTCTGACAAACATAGCTCGTTGTCATGAAGCAACACTGATCCTCAGCAACATGTGGTGTTCCAAAGTTCAACTGGAGATGCATTGAAAGCTCCCCCACTGAATTGGCACATTACTCAGTGAGTAGCTCAGCTATACCTGGTTCTATCTCCAAACAGTGCCAAGTCAGCTGATCTCAGCCAGGACTGCAGTGCTTTGGATATCGGAAGGGTTCCTGCTCCTATGTATTATCCAGAGGCACCACTCCAGCCTTGCTACACGGGTGGCGAACAGAGGAGGATAAGTACTAGTTGCATCCGGCACCATTATGAATATCAATGCAGATAATTGGAGACCATGCAAAATACTAATTGGCTAACTAAAAATTGAATACAGTGAAAGTCGCTTAAGTCTGATCTGTATAAATCGTATAGATCTGCCCAAGTCCTGTTGAATTTCTTACAACTTATGCAAATTTCACATAACCCATACTTTGCATAAGTCATATTAAATGTATGATCCCAACTGATATGACTTATTTGAGGTTTACTGTAGTGTATAATATCACACTGCCAACCATTTTTTCCCTCTCTCGTATTCTCTCTGTCACTTTATCTGTCTGACTCTTGCTTTCTACCTCTCTTTCTTCTCTGTGTTTTTCTCTGTCTTTCTCTCTCACTGTCTGTTTGTCTGTCTCAGTTTCTATTTTTCTATCTCCCTATATACAAATATAATAACTTTGTACCTCCATGGAGTCCTGGAGCTCAGTGGTTAGAGCACTCGCCTTTCAAGCGAATGACCTGGATTCGATTCCCAGCAGAGCAAAACCTTGGGCATGTTTCTTTACTTTACACACCTGATAATAAAATTTAAAAAAAACAATAATAAATTGGTCACTTCAATCCACGACTGTTTGTGGGACACTGCTGTGCGCAATTGGCTGCCATGTTTCGTCCACAAATATACAGTCAACTCACTTAATATATTCTGTGAAGCGCTTTGAGACGTCTAGAAAACGTGAAAAGTGCTATATCAAATGCAATGATTATTATTATCTATCTCTTTTCTAACTCTAGCTGTAGGCTGTATAAAAGTATCAAAATCTGTTCGCACTTTACTGGAAAAAAATCCAATTTTACACGTGCAAAGTTGCATGCACACACACAAGGCGGTATGTGTGGAACACAATATCTGTGAGAGTAAATCACGTCCCTAGTAACCTTAGCACAAGCAGACGCATAACTGGATTTTCTTGTGAGTCACATTGGAGCCTGCTGTGCAGAAACGGTCATGTTACTGAAAGGGGTGCAGGTATCCACGTTCTATTGTCACTCTCAAAGTTCGCACTTGAAGAACGATTTGCAAATTTCGATTTCAAGATCCTCACACTTGTTTTCAAATCCCTTCATGCCCTGGCACCTCCCTAACTCTCTGACATCCTTACTCCCTAACCCACTACCAACTGCCTCCGCTCGACTGGCTTCGGCCTTCTGCTTGTCCCTTGTGCCCTCCGTTCCACTATTGATGGCCACACCTTTAGCCACTATGCCCCGAAACTCTGGAACACTCTCCCTCAATACCTCAGCTTTTGCCCCCTCTTTCCCCATCTTCAGGTCGTTGCTGAAGACCTTTCTCTTCGACCGTGCCTACAGTCACCTCTCCCCCATCCGCTCAGCTCGGCATCGTGCTCAACCACTGTCAAGCGTTCTGGGATGCTACCCTGTGTGAGAAATGCTATATAAATGCAAGCTGCTGTTGTTGTTGCAAAATACTGGTGAACAATTGATGTCAATAGAAAAATACTGCAGGGAAAGGATAAAGAGTCAAAATTCCTTCAGGAGCAGAGGGAGAAAATCCAATATGCATTTGTCACCACACACCAGATATGCTTAATTCTCTACTTAAAAGTAGAGTTTGCACCTCATAACAAAGTGTCGGGTTAAACTCTTCTCCTATTGCGCAAGTGATATACATCAACCTTGAACATACAGTTCTTAGCTATTACATTTGCAAATAAGCCTGCAAAACAGGAAAACAAATATCTAAAGGTTCACTGCTCCTACACCCAAAGTGAATGGGTTAGGTCAGGGTGAATTCAATTATTGATTTGCAATTATTACCAAATCTTGGGAAAGAGAACACTTTTTTGTAAAGTTTGGGTAGTGCAGCTAAATATTTGTGGCATAATTCATAATATCTCCACATAACAATACTAATTGCACCTTACTAGCATCAGTAAATGTCGACCCGCAAGATGAGAGATAAGATTATTTGAACAATAGAGTCTGTTCCTTGCACGTACCACACGCCCCAACATAAATTTCGTTAATTTCTCCAAAAGTTCTATTAATTGTGGTTAAAGACACAAGTGAAGGGAAAACAGAATAGTCAAGTGTTCTTGTTCTTGGTTGCTATCCAGACCCCCTTGTTGAAAAGCATAGTGTATGGATATTGAGTGAGGATATTGGTGGAGTTATGGGTGGAGTGTTCGGTCTAGGACTGATCAGCACATCAGCACTCACTCTTAAAGCTCACACAAGAATAATGGCCACTTAGTAAAGGTATCTGGGAACACCCATGAAGTACCAGTAGAAGAAAAGAAGGAGTGAAATCCGTTCAAGAGAGGAGGGGAGGGCAGGGAAATGAAAGATGAAAGGTAACCATGTCATTTGATATGTACAGCTAAGATTCCAGTACTTAAACATATCACCTTGCATCAAGCATTACAGGAATTATGATGCTTCATGTTCCACAATATCCCAATGTTTCGTTAAGCTGCTAACCAAAGTTTCAATCTGAGAGATCCAATGCCAATCCAATGCCCAGTTGGCTTCTTAGTGCAAGCATTGAGTACAGTGTTAGTTGGGAGTGGGAGAGGTGGACACTACCTCTGGCCAGACAGAGACCACTGGATACGTTCACTCTGTACTACTACTATCAACAACATCTTGCACTTATATAGCGCTCTCCACACAGGATAGTGTCTCAGAGCACTTAATAGTGGCGGAGGCTAACTCGGAGCTGGGGTAGGGGTGGGGTTGGTGACCGTAAGCACAGTCGAAAAGGAAAGTTTTCAGGCAGGACTTGGAAAAGGGGAGAGGGAGGGCAAGGAGGAGGGATTGAGGGAGAGTGTTCCAGAGCTTTGGGCATAGTGGCTGATAGCGCGACCTCCAATGTTAGAGTGGAGGGTGCAAGTGACAAGCAGGAGACACCACAATACCAGTTGAGTGGAGGCGCCAGATGGTGAATTGGGGAGTGAGGAGGTCGGATAGTTAGAGAGGTGCCAGGGTGTGCGTGGATTTGAACATGAGTGTGAGGATCTTGATGTCTATCTGTTTGGTGATGGGAAGCCAGTGAAGCCTGGCCAGAACTGGTGAGATGAGCAGGATTTTTTGAATAGTGGAGCTGGGAAGACCGGCGAGGAGTGCGTTTGAGTAATCCAGGCGGGAACGCATGCACAAGAATTTTGGCTGCATTTGAGGTAAAGTATGGTTGGAGGTGGGCAATGTAGCGGAGGTGGAGGAAGGCGAACCTGGTCAGGGACCAGATGTAGGGGAGGAGGGACAATTGGGGGTCAAACCAGATGCCTAGGTTGCGCACTAGTTCGGTGAGTCTGAGGGAGAGCCCACGGAGTTTGAGGAGTTCAAATCCACAGGAGTGAAGATGTTGAAGGGAGCCAAGGAGTAATGTTTCTTTCTAGTCCACATTCAGCTGCGGGAAGTTTGCACTTATCCAGGCCCTGATGTCTGACAGAACATCAACGGACCTGGAGTCGATGCTGGAGGAAGCAAAGTAGATTTGGTGTCATCCGCATACCTGTGGAAGTTTACCCAGTGTCTGCAGATGAGGGATCATGTAGATGAGGAAAAGAAGAGGCCAAGGATGGAGCCCTGGGGAACCCTATAGGTGACTGGGTAGAGATGGGAAGACCAATTGTTTGCCGAGATGAAATGGAGGCGGTTGGTTAAGTAGAACTCAAACCATGAGATTGCGGTCCCAATAAGGTGGATGAGGGAGGAGAGGCGGTGGAGGAGGAAGGCGTGGTCGACTTTTGTCCAGGAGGACGAGGAGGCAGAGGAAGGCCTGGTGACTGATAGAGAGAATGTCGTTTGTGACTTTGACAAGCACTGTCTGTGTGCTGTGGGCAGGGCGAAAACCAGACTTCAGGGACTTGACGAGGGAGTGGAGGGAGAGGTGTGACCCAAGTTGACCTGCAACAATGTGTTCCAGGACTTTAGCAAGAAAGAGTAGGTTGAAAATGGGATCGAAGTGTGAGAGATTAGAGGGATTGAGGGTATTTTTTTTGAGGAGGGGTGTGATAACAGCGGTTTTCAGAAAGAGTGGAACAGAGCCTGAGGAAATAAACTGGTTGACCGTGTTGGACACCAGGGGGGAGAGGAGGGGTAGTTGAGTGACCAGCAGCTGCGTGGGGAGGGGGTTGAAGCAGCAGGTGGTGAACTTCATGTGGGTGATTGTGGTTGCGCGGGAGGAGGGAGAAATGGGGGCACAGGAGTGTAAGGAGGGGGGAGTGGCAGGAGCCGTGGCGGACGGAGAAGGCGGTGTGGATGGTCTGGGTGGGGTGGAAGGGGACACTGGGGGAGAGGACGATGCAGCCAAGAGTAAGTTTTCAATCTTTGATAATCTTTCGATGATAATCCTTGCATTTGATATAGAACCTTATCAGGTCGTCGAGGCATCTCAAAGCGCTTCCCAGAATATACTGTAAAGTGAATTGAATTTGCATTTTGTCGGGTAAACGTGGCAGCCATTTGTGCACAGCCGTATCTCACAAACAGTTTTAAATTGAGTCACTGTTTTTTTTTAAGGGGATAATTACCCCATAAAAGCAATCTGCCAAAACGTCTATCAATCGGGTGTGGAGTAAGGAAACTTGCCTAACTATAAAACTGCGAAACTATAAACACTGGCAAAATTACGTGAAGCTGAGTGTGTCCTTCAAGAACAAAGGATATTTTATCCACCGAGTATTAAGTAATATTCTTATTTTTCAAGTTCACATGGAAACACGTGCTCGGCAGTGAATGGCATTATTTAGCACTGACTATAAACGTCGCAACTATCGCTTTAACAGCCTGACTCAGACAGGCTGAACAACCGTCAATTTTTTTTTATTACCACAGTAGGTGTTCGGAATTACATGACTCATTTCTTCATTGCCAGTTCAATCCCACTTTAACTCCCTGGCCCATTCTTTTAGACATGTTGTTGATATTAATCAGAGTAAAGGTTAATAATAATAATCCTTGCATTTAATATAACGCCTTTTCATGTTGTTGAGATGCCTCAAAGTGCTTCACAAAATATCCTGTAAAGTGAATTGACTGTGTATGTTGTGATGAAGTGACTCACCAGGATTTGAACCTTCTGATGCCAACAGATTTACTTGAATTTGTGGGCGAAACGCTGCAGCCAATTGCAGTGTGGGGGTTCCCTGCCTGGGAATGAAACCTCTCGTTGGAGAGGCGAGTGCTCTAACCATTACGCTACAGGACTCTGATATTGTAACAATAATCCTTGCATTATATATATATATATATATGCAGGACCATGAATCTATGCAGAAGCCTCCCTTTCCCAGTAAGCAGTATATTAACAGTTGTAACTGAAGAGTAAATATTGAGCTAACTAAAGTTACAATGGGTAAATTACAATAAGCTTAGAACAGATTTTGCCTGTAATGACTAAAATTTATTTTGGGCTTACTGGAAAAGATTGATATCAAGTGCATGTTATTCAAGAACAGTTCCTTGTCTAGGAATGCATATTTGTTTATCTAAAGGGAACCGCTGCGCATTGTCTTTTAAGGAGTGGCATTTGGCCATCCTCCTGACATGAAAGGCTCCACACAAATTTAATTTGTTGTTGTATTTGTATTCTTTTTGAGTCAAGATGTATTATTATCAGGTAGAAGTCAAAATATACAGTCAATTCACTTTATAGTATAGTCTGTGAAGAGCTTTGGGTCATCGCAACAATGTGATCAGGCGTAATATCAATTGCAAAGATTATTATTATTTGTACGATTATTGTTGTTATACAAGTGAAGGATCAAATTATTTTTAAAAAGTGTATTTCCTCTCTCAACAGGAAACACGTCCAATTCCAGACCCAGGCCCTCATGGTAATACCTTTTGTAATCTTTTTCTTCCTCGATTCTTCTTCTTTGTTCCTGTGCATTATTGAACTATCATTCGTCCAGTTTCAAATGCTCACCCCCACCTTAAAAACTTTCTCTGAAAAACAAATCAGAACATGTTGCTCAATCATTCATGTGAAGAACAGACACTTTTGCCATGATTTTCCCTTCTATATCCCAGAGACACTGCAACCAAACACCTGGTTCATTTCTAACTGGATTCCTTCATAAAGAAACCAGAAACGCATCACATGAATCTGCAGGAACCTTTCTCCATTGCAATCTAGTTTTGGAGTAGAGTTCCCCAGGAATGGGGCTCCTTCAAGGCTTATCTCAAGACCCTCCTCTTCGACCTTAGTGTTTTGGTCACCCTTCTACCGCTACCTTTCCTGCACTCCAACCCTCCTGATCCCAACTCCTAGCTTGGGTTCAAATCCCTGACTGTCTAGTGTCTTGGAACATCCTCCAGACATGAAAAGTTGTTATTGACATTACACCAGAGACTGGAAGGGATTCTCCTCTTGGATTCCTTATTAAGAACTCCAGTTAGAATTGACCACATATGATGAATCCAAATGCAGCTCTCCTTACTGCCATCCTGGCTGAGATCAGCATAAACTGGAAATCAAATCCTGAGTACTTCCATATCCGTGTGGCTCAGCTTCACACAAGCAATTGACTCCACCAATTAAACCATCAGAGATTGCACTTTTATATCTGGATGTACATTATCCTCATGAGGTTAGGTGGGAGGTATTTGATAAACTGGCCAGCAGATTAGTACCTATTATATTATTATATAGTCACAACAACAACAAATTGTATTTTGGTGTAGTGTCCAGGAGTGCTTGGTAAAACTTAATTCCATCAAATACACATTTGTCTCCTTTACCCTTAGCTTTTAAGAATTAAGAAATCAAACTTTAATGAAAGATCTGTACTCCACATCTCATCATTCACCCAGAAATGTGAAAATAGACCGAGATATAATATAGTAATGGATAATTTATGTAAAAAATGTCCATACATTATAAAATGCAGGGAATGTGTTAGTTTTAATGTTCTTAATCTGCTGCAATTTCAGAGGTTCTGCTGCGTATCAATTCTGTTGGGATCTGTGGCTCTGATGTCCATTTCTGGAAACATGGAAAGATAGGAGATTTCATTGTCAGAAAGCCAATGGTTTTAGGGCATGAAGCATCGGGGACTGTGCTGAAAGCAGGGTGTGAAGTGACACACCTGAAGCCAGGCAAGTGGAAGTTGAAATTCTGCATTGTCAAAGAAGGTGGAAAAGTTTTAAAAAGCAGATTAAGCATTCTTAATTTGGGTTGACATACAGATACAGAATGTAAGAGGCCAACCTGGTCCAATTTGTCTCATCCCTAAGTTGAAAAACAAATTCCTGCACTATATTGCTCATAGCCCTCAATCAATTTCTTCACCTAAATAATTATGATGACATTGTTGTTTGAACATGTTGATGAAGATGCTCTTCATACCCATGCTATTGTGCATTTCCACACATAAGAGAAACACCCAGTTGTTTCTTAATGAAAATAAACGATGCAGCATAGACTGAAAGCAAAAACATCTTGTTGTTGTTGTTCTTGTTGTTGTGAAAGCAAAAACATCTTGATCATTCATCTCATATCTCCCTGACAGTTGATGGCCTCATAGGTTTCCTAACCAATCTCAGGTTCAAACTTTCCTTTGGTTTCAGCACTAAGACCATGGTATTGGAATTTGATTGTAGAATTTTTTTCAATTTAGTGTTAGTTTAGAAGCTGTTTTTCTGCAGTTCTTAAAAAGAATTGTCTTCCAAATTAAGACTAAGATTAAGAACTTTAGAACACAATGTGTAAACCTTAAAATTACAGATGATGTATGATTTGCAGTGAAGATAATGAGACATTTCATGTCTCAGTAGCAAAGTCCAGTTTGTTTTTTGGTCAAAGTAAAATTCACAGCTGCATAAATTAATGCATTTTCCAACCTTGGTTAGATGAACAATAACAACTTGAATTTATATAGCACCCTCCACGCACAACAGATGTAGATATGCAACAACAACGAACTACATTTGTATCACACCTTTCACATGCAGTACAATTTGCTTTCTCCATGTTAATCCATTGAATTGAACATATAATTCATACAGGTTCTGTACACACATTTGCTCAGGCAGTGCTGTATTTTTACAGGTGCACCCTACAGATGAAATATTAAACCGTGGTCCAATCTACCTGTTCAGGGAGACAGTAAAGATACCATGGTATTGGAAAAGAGAGGGAGTTTCTCCTGGTATCTTGGCCAACAATCCCCCAGATAATATTGGTCATTCACTTCATGGCTAATTGTGGGACATTGGGCAAATTGGCTGTCGCATTTGCCTACAAAACACACAGTCATTACACTTTACAGTAAATCTTGTGAAGTGCTTTGAGGCTGTACTCACTATATGAAAGGCACTGTATCATATGCATGGATTATTATACAAGGTTATCATACGATGAGTGCTAAATATTGCATTCGTTTGTTTCATCTTTCTAAATAGATTTCTGAAGTCCTCATCATCCATATTACTTGCCCCTATTACTGTTTCCCATTGAAGGGCTGTGCAATAAGTGCCTGTGTTTCCCCAACTGCAGGTGACAGAGTGGCCATTGAGCCTGCTGTCCCCAGAGAAAATGATGAGTTTTGTAAAGCTGGACGGTACAACCTGTCACCCACGATCTTCTGTTGTGCTACACCGCCTGGCGATGGGAACCTTTGCCGATTCTACGTCCACAATGCCAGCTACTGCTACAAGTTAGTTTCTCAGGTCACCATGTATAATAACGCAAAAGCTATTGTCGTCGTCCATCATAAAAAGATTCCCAATTTTCGAACATTAACCTGCTTTTAAAAGAGCCAATATAGACAAATGGCTTTCTTTTCTGCTGTAACTGTGCATGTTTTTTTCCTTTAGTGCCCTTCTATTATAGTAATGGAAGAGTCTTGTAGCGTATTAGTTAGAGCACTTGCCTCGCAAGGGAGAGGATCCGGGTTCGATTCTCGGGCAGGGAGAAACCTTAGGCAAGTTTCCTTGCTTCACACGCCTCAGTTTACCCAGCAGTAAGCAGGAACCCGGTTGTTCGTCGATTGGGAGATCACTTTCTAGGGGTAATAATCCCTCAAAAAAAATAATAATAATAATTTGGTCACTCAATCCATGACTGTTTGTGGGACTCTGATGTAACGCAATTGGCTGCCGTGTTTCTCCTGCAAAGTATACAGTCAATTCACTTTACACTATTTTCTGTGAAGCTCTTTGAGATGTGTCAAGGCACTTCAACAAATGCAAGGATTATTATATTATTATAATGAAACTGTTTGTCCCTCATTTTTTAGCTGGTTTATCCTTTGACCACAGAAGCGCTCAACACTGCTGGCTGTTCGCCTGAGCGGGGGGTAGGAGCCGAGGGAGGTTGGAGGGGGAGGGGAAAAGATGACTGAAAGCGTGGTCAAAGAGTTAGGTCTTGATGGATCTTGAAAGAAGGGAAGGAGGGAGGGAACATTAATAATAATAATAATAATCCTTGCATTTGATATAGCGCTTTTCACATTGGGAGGACGTCCGAAAGCGCTTCACAGAACATACTGTAAAGTGAATTGACTGTATATTTGTGGGTGAACGCGGCAACCAATTGCGCACAGCAATGTCCCACAAACAGTCGTAGATTGAAAATGACCAATTTATTATTGTTTTTGGTTTTGGAGGGATTATTATTAGGCTCTGTGTGGAGTAAGGAAACTTGCCCAAGGAAGGATGAGGAGGGGGAGATGAAAGACGTAGAGGAGTTTCTCACTGGGGAACGTGGGTGCTTGCTGTGAGGAAACTGCATGGCATGTCACTCAGTGTCTGTCCTCGTTGCAACCCGCTCCCCCCTCCGGATGGCCAAGGAAGGCCAGTTGTCCAATTGTCTGTCTTGACAGTGAACCACAAAACAATGTTCTCACTTCTACCCCCCTCTCTCTCTGATCTCTCTCCCTTTTTTTGTTTTTCTCTCTCTCTCTCTCTCCCCCCCCCTCTCATCATCCTGTCTCTCTCTCTCTCAATCACTCTCTCTCTCCCCTTTCTCTGTCATGCACTGTCTTGCGGGGGGGATGAATTTTCTCTGTGCTGAAAAAATCTATTTTCATACATTTCTCACCATTCTCAAAAGATTGACATGCAATAATTCAGTATTACAGACATTTGCACGTGTTGGAGGCGGCAATTCAGTGTTGATGATTTCTTTGCCCTCGTTTCAGACTGCCCGACAACATGAGCTTTGAGGAAGGTGCATTGGTAGAACCTCTTTCTGTTGGGATTCATGCCTGTCGCAGAGCTGGTGTGTCACTGGGCAATAAAGTCTTCATCTGCGGAGCAGGTTTGGACTTGCTTATCTACATAGCCTTTTTGGGACCTCCCCCTAATGTGAAAAAAAATTGTATTAGTGAATCAGCTCTTATCGGGCATTGCTGTTTACCAAATGTATTTCTTTTAATATATTTTTAATTGGAGGCCAGACCCTCATTATAACGCCATGGTTTCGGTCCACAAACACAGACCCCGCTTCATAACAGGGCTGCAAAATTGCCCCGAAACTTGGGTGAGATACTGCAGGGCCCCAAACACTTGCAGAACTTTACTTCAGTATGTGGCCTCCAGCAAATGTCCTCCTTCTGTCCTATTGATTTCTATGGTTCCAAATAATATTCATTTCTAATCAATTATATTTTGGGAGACGCTTCTGGATGTTTACCTAATGGGAAACAGCTTGTTTATGCAAATTATTATTGTTATCTACTCTGATGTAGAACTGTAATTAGAAGACTACTGTGTTTCCACAGAAAACTGTATACGTATGCGCCTAAGGTTAACATTTGGCATATTGTCCAGGGTGTAAACAATGCGGTTCTGTTCTGCGCGTTGCACTTGTCATTCCAACTGATGTCCTTTTTTCTGTTAAGGGCCAATTGGACTTGTGTGTCTGCTTGCTGCAAAGGCAATGGGAGCATCTCAAGTTACAATCTGTGGTAAGATCATTTATTTGGTTGTGGTGGTTCAGTTTAGTTTAAACTCCAAACACTCTGGTTTTCCAAATTTTTTAACTATGGCCTTGGGTTTGCCTCTAAATTCTCCTCATGTTTGTCTTGGACACTCCCATTACGGGGGCAACCTGGCTCAGAAAGGTTGTGGGTTCAAGCTCCATGTCGGGACTTGAACTCACATAGTCTAAGCTGACACTCCAATGCAGTGATAGGGGTGTGTTGCATTGTCAGAGGTGCCATCCTTCAGATGAGATGTTAAACCAAGATCCTATCTGCCTGTTCAGGTGAACGTTAAAGATCCCACGGCACTATTCGAAAGAGAAAGGAGTTTCTTCCAGTGTCCTGGCCAACAATCCCTCAAATAAAATTGGTCATTCGCTTCATAAGAACTTAAGAACATAAAAAATAGGAGCAGGAGTAGGCCATTCGGCCCCTCGAGCCTAACCCGCTATTTAATAAGATCATGGCTGATCTTCGTACCTAATTCCATTTACCCGCCCTATCCTCATATCCCTTAGTCCCTTTAGTTCTTAAAAATCTATTGATCTTAGTCTTGAATATGTTCAATGACTGAGCATCCATAGCCTCTGGGGTAGAGAATTCCATAAATTCGCTACCCTCTGAGTGAAGAAATGTTTTCTCAACTCAGTACTAAAGGGCTGACCTTTAATCCTGAGAATATGACCCCTAGTTTTAAATTCTCCAACCAGGGGAAACAGTCTCACACTATCTACCCTGTCAAGACCCTTAAGAATCTTATAGGTTTCTATAAGATCACCTCTAATTCTTCTATATTCTACAGAATATAGGCATAGTCTACTCAACCTCTCCTCGTTTCGTGTCTGTTTGTGGGATGTTGCTGTGTGCAATTAGCCTGCCGTGTTCACCTACACATACACAGTCACTGCCATTTCAAAGAGAAACCTGTGAAGCGCTTTGGGACATCCTCCCGTCGTAAAAGACGCTATATCAAATGTAAGGATTGTTATTATTATGATTAGCAGGAACGGCAATGTTGTGCTATAATTTTAAAAGTATTTCTACCCACTATTAATCTGTGTGAGTTGAAGATCTTAGAAACTGGCCTGTCAGGCAATTGCAGATCTCCTTTTAAACTTTTTAGATTTATCAACTCAACGGTTGGAGAAGGCAAAGGAGATGGGAGCAGACTTTACAGTGATGGTCAGCAAGCAATCTCCTCAGGCCCTGGCCCAGACAGTGGAGGCTTGTCTTGGATCAATGCCAGAAATAACCATTGAGTGCACTGGGGCTGAGGTTTGCACACAGGCCGGCATCTATGTAAGTACTGATGATGTTCAGCGTGGAGTAGCTGAAATTCCACCTGGCATTACATTGTGAGATGTTGGCTCCAAATGGAATTTCCCCTACGATAATTGAGCAGCAGGAAAAGATGTTGGGTTGGTTGAGCACAATCCACGCTCTGGAAAGATGAAAAAAATTAACGTTTTAGGCTCAAAAAGGTCCCAAAGCCCCAGGCCAATTGCTGAAAGTTATTTTTTTGTCTCAGATGGGCGGGCAGATTGAATCCCTGATCACTATATTTGGTAAAGCAAATAAGAAAAAAGAGCATCACCTCCCCAGGGCAATCCAGGGGATGAGCCATTATACATATGAAGAGAAAATGACTGTATTGGGTCTTTTTTCATTCAAGTAGAGGAGATTGAGAGGAGATATGATAGAGGCATTTAATATATCAAAAGGACATGACTAGCCACATAGGCTGGAGCCCTTCTCTTTATAGTTCAGTATCACACTAAATTGAGCCAAGTTCCATATTTGTCGTGAGATATTTGCCTATGTTTGTGTTACCAATGATATCTGTAGCAATAATATATCTGTAGTTTTAATAATAATAAACATATCCTGGCATTGAATATAGCGCCTTATTACTTCTTCAAGAAGTCTCAAAGCGCTTCACAAAATATACTATAAAGCGAATTGACTGTATATTTTGTGGGCAAAATATTACTGTTTATTGGCTTAGAAAAAGTCATTTACCATTAAAATTGTTTTGTTTCATCCTTACTTATCTCACGTATAAAACTTTTTTTTAGGCTACCCGTTCCGGGGGTGTTTTAGTTCTTGTTGGCGCTGGCCCAGATATGGTGAAAGTTCCTCTAGTGAATGCAACAGTTCGAGAGGTGGATATTAGGGGCGTTTTTAGATACTGTAACACGTGAGTCCTGTTTTTTTCTTCTCAAAGACCTAAACTTGTTGCATCTACCTACAAATACACAGTCACTACACTTGACGTGAATTCCTTGTGAGAAACACGTTCAGACTTTTTGGCATTATAGTTGCTATATCAAACACAAAGGATCACTGTTACGACCTGGAAGTTGGGGTCTAAAATGCAATATTTGCAAACCAAATGTGTTACAAATTCTGGTTTGTGACTATGGGATTGCAAAACGCACTGGAGAAATTCACCACAAGTCAACCTTCTTTCAGACTTTATTGACTTTGGAATTCAAGTTTAACATGGGTAACACATTTTAGATGTCACTGTCAATTCAATGGTATATGATTCAATTAAATACTAGGCAGTAGCTTTACTAGCTGAACCATCAGGGAGCATGTGATATCTGAAATCAGATGTAATATTCAACTTTACAATATGGAGTAGGAAGTACAAATGCAGCTTCAGCACCTGCACATTGCAATCTGCTTCAAGCTTTGCCATGTCCATAAGTGCAAAGACTTATTGACACCCAGGTTACTGCAATTTCCATTCATGAATTATGGAAAAAAGTAGAACAGAGACTTCTACTTACTTATAAATGCATTCAAGCGAGAAGCAGTTTGACGCTATAATAAAGAAAGGCAGTAGGGTGGCTGTTCCGGAAGAATGGGATCAAATGGACTAAAGAGCCTTCTTCGTCTGAATTTCTTGAGATCTTGTGTGATGATTGATCCTAATCCAGATGGATTTGAATAGCTTGAGGGCATTTATTGTCCTTCTTATCTCCTGCTATCCTGGCTGATTTGTTCCATCTTTGAGCCTCCATTTGCTGCTGTCTGGTTGTGGCACATTAACTGGGCTGGGATACAGGGCAATTTCCTCTCTTTTTCTTTCCCTCCAACAAATGAAGGGAAGGAATGTTGTTGGAAGCAGACTTTTCACAGTTTTCACGCTCTCTTCCAATCATTGTATGGTGTGGCATTCCTGAAAAAGTCTTGAGCGAAACATTAGTTGGAATTGTATACAAAGTGTTAGTGAGTAACATTAATCTGTGCAGCAATGTCACATTACTTTACACGCACCATCCAACAAGGTGCATAAATGGAGTCAATAGTTTATTGAACAATAACCCACTGTATAAATCAGGTCTACCTAAACACTGAATTTTGTACTCGGAAGTTGTGCATCATTGCCAGTATCAGTGAATGGCTTATATTACCGCTAAATCACTGAGCTTCATTGTTTATCCTCTTTATTCACTGCAGGCCGTGCCAAGTTCTGGTTATTTGTAATCAAGCCACAATCTTGCATTGAAACAAATGGCCCAATGGTTAACTGAAAAAGAATACTGTTGGAGAATTTGACATTACGGCCTGTATCACGGTCTAATGCTATATTCTACTAAATTAAGAAGATCCCTTGACCCTAATTGTAATTTAAATAATAATAATATAATAATCCTTTCATCTGATATTGTGCTATATCACGTCTTTAAGACGTCTCAAAGCATTTCACAGAATATACTGTAAAGTGAATTGACTGTATATTTTGCGGGTGAAACCCGGCAGCCAATCGCACGCAGCAGTGTCCCACAAACAGTTGTGGATTGAGTGCCGAAATTATCATTTAAAATAAAAGACATTTTTGAAGGGATTATTACTCCTGGAAAAGTGATCTGACACTCGACTAACAACTGGGTTCCTATTTGCTGCTAGATAAACAGACGTGTGGAATAAGGAAACTTGCCTAATTTTTCACCCTGCCCGGGAGTGAACCCACGTCCTCTCGTTTGCGAGGCGAGTGCTCTAACCACTACGCTTCAGGACTCCAGTAAAGTTCATTGCTGATACATTTCGAGGTTTTGAATTAACTGAGGAGTTTAAAATTGTGAAATACTAAGGATTGTGTAGTATTTCCTTGTACTTTTGTGAGTGAAGGGGAATTCCCAGTAGGTGTTATCTTAAATGTAGTAAATAAGTAAAAAGGGATTAGCAAGGAGTGGTGGTAGATTACTTAAATAGACATAGAAAATATTAAAATACTTTATTTTTGCGTTTCCTCATGCCTGGCTTTCATCGCCTATCATATCTTTTCACAAGATTTCAAAGCAGGATCAAATAAATAATAAAGCCCATCTGTCAATTTGATTTTATAGTTCCAAAAGACCCATCCCATCACCATCTTTCCATTACAGTATTAGACTGCTCTTTCAGCAGCTCTAGCTGTCAACCTGTCTCAGTTTATAGCACTCTGAGACAGAGGGTGTGGGTTCAAGACACATGTTGGGAATTCAGATTCATTTTGTCTAGGCTGACATTTCAGTGCGGTGCTAAGGTTATGCTGCATTGTCAGAGGTGTGGTTCTTCAGAGGAGATATTAAATCAAGATTCCTCGTGCTTCTTCAGGTGGATGTTAAAGATCCCATGACACTATTCAAATAGAGAAGGCAGTTTCTCCCAGTGACCTGGCCAACAATCCCCCAGATAAAAGTGGTCATTCAATTCTTGGCTGCATATGGGAATTCACCACGTGTTTAGGTCCCATTTGTGGTTCAAAACCACAAGGAAAGAATGTAAAGAAATATATGTATATACCGTATACATGTATTTATTACCAGGAGGGATACAACATGAAAACCAACACTTTGGGTATCTAAAACAGACAGAAACTTCACTGTGAGAGAGAAAAAGAGAATGAGAAGCTAATATTTTGAGATTTACTAAGTTTTAATTAAGGGTCCCACCCAAAATATGTCTATTGTTCTTGTTTGATGCTGATTCACCTCCTTCGTAGATTCAGATTTTTGTTCAGTTTCACTTCCTTTGCTGTAGGAGTTTGCTGAAAAGCTGCACTACTACGTCATATACTGTACTGAACCCTCATTATGAGAATAAATCTCAGGAATTGAAGGTGATCCATCCTGTTCTTCAGTTTGACACATTCAGTTATCCACCAATAGTTGGCTGTGATCAGTGATTCATTTTGTTGGATTGAAATGACTGGACTATGACAATAAATTGCTTCTTTTTATTTGGGCGCATATGTTAAACCTTTTCAGCAATTGGTAGATGTTTTGGGACATTAGACATAACCCCACAGTTTGTCATGAAGAGGATACAAAGAATGATAAACTTCCAGGAATGCGCAGTTCCTTGGATTCATTTCCATGCCTTTCAATGGGATCTAATTTGCGTTATTTCTTAATAGGGAATTTCGGGTCATAAAAATGGTCGACTATTTCTAGTAACCAGAAGAATGTCATAGTGAACTCTAAAGCTTTCAAGATCTTTCATAGCATCCAGGACATGTGTCAACATAGAGGTTGATACATGGTTTGTTATTACTTGTACTCTGGTCTCTAAATTTAATACAATAATGACAGTTAAATGCACTGTAGTCCTGAAATGACACTGATAGAAGAATAGAAGTATCTCCTGGAATCCTAATAATATACAATAATAATAATTCTTGCATTGGTACAGCATCTTGTCATAGAGTTAAGGAAACTCAAAGCGCTTCACAGGATATACTGTAAAGTGTAGTGACTCCATATTTTGTAGACAAATGAGTCAGCCATTTTGCACACAACAAATCTTGCAGATGTTCTCCATTGACCTTCTCCATAAGAACATGCCCAGGGCTGTGTTCTTCCCATGTGAAGTACACATAAAATTCTTTTATAAATCTCTGCTTGCTTACAGCCAAATCTGAAACACAGCTCGCAGCTAAATGCCCCACTATTCAAGCTTGTTGCGCAACTACTTTGTAACTGCTCCTAAAAACTATTTTCTATAAATTCCAGCAGTTGAACAAATAGCAGACAACCTGGATTATGAAAGAAGCCATGTGACAGCCTTATTATCTGATGTTTGACAGCACAGACATTCATTTAATTTATGTTATTGTTCTGTTATTGTGCAGCATTTCACACTATTGACCTTTTGATTTATCTTTTTTGTTGAAAAATTCTCTCTCTTCTCCTAAAGCATTTGACTTTCTCAGACAGTTGAGGATATGATTACACTGACCTCCTCTGATACCTCACCCAAGTGATTACTTTTCATGTCTAAGGCTTAACAGTGAGGAATGAGGAAGAAAAAATATTACTTTTTTTTAAAAAGAAGTCGAGTTCCACTTTAACCCCATTAACTTCAGTGAAATTGCAGAGATGATATTCGCCAAATATTCTATGAAATCTAGACTTCCGTGTAACAGTTGGATTTAATAATAATAATAATAATCCTTTCTAAGACATCTCAAAGTGCTTCACAGAATATACAATAAAGTGAATTGTATATTTATTTGTGGGTGAAACGCGGCAGTGAATTGCGCACAGCAGTGACCCACAAACAGTCGTGGATTGAAGTGATAAATTTATTATTGTAAGGAAACTTGCCCATGGTTTCTCCCTGCCGGGAATTGAACCTAGGTCTCTCGCTTGCGAATGAATTGCTCTAACCACTGAGCTTAAGGACAAATACAATAATTGAAACCAGGAAATCATCAAGTCCCCAGTGATTCAAGGCAAACCTAGAGGTTGATGCATGTCCTAAATTCTGTGAGCCGAAGCCCTAATAGGTGAGATGAGGTGGACAGGTTATGTGTTGCATGCTATGAAACATGTTCACATCGCTATCTTTTTTGTTGTTGTTGTAGATGGCCAATGGCAATAGCCATGTTGGCTTCGGGGAAGGTTGATGTGAAGCCACTGGTAACCCATCGTTTTCCACTGGAGCAAGCTATCAAAGCGTTCGAGACAACAGCGAGAGGACAGGGAATTAAAGTGATGCTGAAGTGCGATCCGAGTGGTTAGAATTCATAATAAATGGACTTCCATAATATGATAATGAAATGTCCATAATATGATAATGATAATGGCCTGAAAGAATCTTATTACGAACAGGTTGTCAGGAAAAGATTTGAATCATTTTAAAAAATCTCAATTTAAAAAGAAGCTTGATGTATAGGTGAGAAGATGGTAGGGGTGAGTGTTCTGACAGAATGAGATAAAATGGTACGAAGGGCCTTCTTCATCGAAACCAATCAATCGCCCACAAAATACACAGTCAATCCATTTACAGTATATTCTGTATTTTTAGACGTTTCAGCGATATATGAAATGCAGGGATTATTATTATTTTATAATTGTAATCATGGGATCAAAGCGGCTTTCTTCGACAAACTACCAACACTGTAATAAACTGTGATTTAACACATTGTCAGACTTTCTTGATTTTCTTTAAGGAGTTTGAATTCATAATAAGGGAATCCATTGAATTAAAATTTCTTATCTTGAGTTCCAACATCTTATTCCAAAAGGGATTAAGGGATATGGGGATAAGGTCATGTTATCAGCTGGATTTAGAATAGATTAGAAGATCAGCCATGATTGAATGGTGGGACAGGCTCGAAGGGCCGAATGGCCTACCCCTAACATGTTATGTTATCAGGAAACTGACTTTAGAAAGTCAGGTTCCTGTATTTTTCCTGGCAAATGACCAGATAATGCAGATGAATGGTTGTGAGGATTGGTAACTAGGACGACAGATTGAGTACAGCTAATTGATTGAGCGTTCTTCACTAAACAATGGTGCTGCTGTTTAAGTAATAAGAACACATTTATGATGTTTCTCTCATCATCCCTTCTGCTACTTGTTGATTCACACAATAAATAGTTTGAGAAACTGACACAATTGTGTCCTTCAATGAGTCAGAAGGTTGTGGATTTAAGTCATACCTTGAGACGTTAAGCTCCCATTAAGCTGAACTGGCTCCAAGGTTGTATGCCTGGCATCCTTGTGGGAATGTGGAAATCAAATCAGTCTTCTGCGGCCGTCTCGGTAGATGGGCCCGCAATATTCCAGCGGACAACTTGGCTCATCGGGAGGACCTAGAAGGGCAGACAAGTCACTGAGGCAGTGAGTCATCCCACTCCAGCTTCTGTTAACCCTACAACCAAAGCCGTAACGGGTAAGATGTTAACCTGAGGTCCTTCCTGTTCATGTGGCATTAAAGAATCCACATGAACAGGAAGGACAAATAGTAGAATTTGAAAAGAGAAGAGAGTTTCTCCTGCTATCCTGGCCAACAGATACATTGGTCATTCACACTAGGGCTGTTTGTGAGAAATTGTTGTTTACACTTTACAGTGTATCCGCTTTAGGATGCCTTGACTGTATACTAAGACATTATACCAAATGCAAGAATTATTACAGTACGTTATGACAAAACTAAGGGTTGTTAGGGAATGAGTTAGATGCTGACATTTAATCTTTTGATTCAGATGCTCCTCGTGATTCACTTAAGCGTCAGAACCTGTTTCACAACATCACGGTATTAGTTTGGATGAAGAAGGTCCTTCAGCCCATTTGATCTCGCCCTTTCAGAATTACCCACCCAACCATCTTCCCATTACCCTATCAAGCCATTTTGTAATTGGCTTTTGTTTCATTGTATCACCCGATTCTCTATTACTAGTCGCTCAGTTTTGTCACACCCAGGAACCTTCCTTAACTGAGGTTAAAGCGTAACCAAGGCTCGTGTGACACACAACCAAGGGTGGATTTCTTTGAAATTGGTTTGAATTTCTAATGAGACCGATAGATTTTTAAAAACTAAAGGGATCAAGGGATATGGGGATAGGGCGGATAAATGGAATTAGGTTAGAAGATCAGCCATGATCTTATTAAATGGCAGGGCAGGCTCGAGGGGCCGAATGGCCTACTCCTGCTCCTATTTCTTATGTTCTTATGTTCTAAAACAAACTTTTAAGGGTATTGATAATGATAATCCATGCACTTGACATAGTGTCAATGCGATTGGAACGCCAAATTGCTTCACATGTCATTATCAGCAAGCACTGTGAACTTTGTTGGTGCAAGCCCCAAATTGATTGCTGCTTTTGCCTCCAAATACACAGTGACTCCACTCTGCAGTATATGCTGTGAAGCACTCGAAAGGTGCTGTATTAAATGTGAGGATTATGATTGAGTTTATGAATTTCAAGGTGCTATTCAATGTGAGAAGTATTCAATTGAGGATGGGGGCAAAGGGAAGACAACTGAACATTTATCACTGGACATTGTCTGTCAATTATATTATGTATATATATAATTGGAGTCCTTTAGCATATTGAGTAAACAACAAAATTACATTTGTATAGCAGGAAGCAGGGAGATCAAAAGCATGGTCGAAGAGGATGGTTTTGAGATGGGTCTTGAGGTGCAAGAGAGGGGGTGAGCCAGAGGGACTGCGGGATAGAGTTCCAGAGGGTGAATGCAGAGTGGCGGAAGGCCTGCCCGCCAATAGTGGGGCGAGCGAGGCGGGGTGCAGAGTTCTGGATGATCTGCAGCCTATGGAGGGAGGAGTTGGGGAGGCCGACAAGCAATGAGTTTGCATAGTTAAGCCTCGATGTAATGAAAGCATGTATGAGAATTTTGGCGGCCTGCGGTGTGAGATAGTGGCGGAGTCGGGCGATGTTGCGGAGGTGGGGGAAGGCAGAGCGGATCATAATAATAATCCTTGCATTTGATATAGCGCTTTTCACATCAGGAGGACGTCCCAAAGCGCTTCACAGAACACACTGTAAAGTGAATTGACTGTATATATTTGTGGGCGAACACGGCAGCCAATTGCGCACAGCAATGTCCCACAAACAGTCGTAGATTGAAAATGACCAATTTATTATTGTTCTTGGTTTTGGAGGGATTATTATTAGGCTCTGTGTGGAGTAAGGAAACTTGCCCAAGGTTTCGCCCTTTGCCTGGAATTGAACTCAGTTCTCTCGCTTGCAAAGCGAGTGCTCTAACCACTGAGCTACAGGACTCATGATGCAGATATGGGGTAGAAAGGACTTGCTTCGCAAAGCAAGTGGATCTGGGTTCATTTCCCAGGTAGGGTGAAACGTTGGGCAAGTTTCCTTACTCCACATGCCTCTTTTCACCTAGCAGTAAGGAAGAACTCGGTTGTTAGTTGATTGGTGGATTGCTTTTTTGAGGGTAATAATCTTCAAAAAATAAATTAAAATTAAAAAAAATTATAATTTGGTGATTCACTCCGCGACTATTGGCTGCTGCATTTCGCCCACTAAATATACAGTCAATTCACTTTACAATATATTCTTGAAGCATTTTGAGACGTTTTGAAAATGTGATAAGGTAATAAGGTGCTATATTAAATGCAAGGATTATTATTAAAGAAAGTCTCTCATACCTTGTGGTGAAACCGATTTGTTAAGATGATTTTCTTGTTTATATATGAAAATTCTTAAATTGCTAGTAATGAATGACAACATTTAGGGCATGTAATTACCTCTGAATAGGGGCATTTACAGTACATGTGGTGTAATTGAAACACAATACCCAGTGACATGACATATTTGTGCACACACATAGTTTATGCTGAATAGACCAGAATGCAGGGAGTTGTCCTGCGATTCATTTTGAGTAATAGAACAAGCTGTGCAATTGGATCCTGTATCATATATCAAATACTCTGTGCCATCTGATGCCATCTCCAAGTGGAAATAATTGTGACGGAAAGAAAACAATGCAGATATCCACAGTTAATTGGAAGGAGGAATATTTATTGGGAAGGAGGAACCGGGTGAGTAGTATTACTTGGAAACAGGATGTGGGGCGCTAACTGGATCCAGGGAAGAAGGTCTTGAGTGATTCTCCTCTGCTCTGGAGTAATACCATTAGTTTTCATGACCTAATTCCAGCAGGAGTGGCCTTGAGCATTGGGAACGTAAAGCTTCCTCAGTGTGCACCTTAGAGATTGATGTCTGTGGCAATCCAGAAATGCAAGGTACCGGAAAACAAGCATAAGTCTTTACATTTATAAATCGTATAATTACACAAGAACTTAAGAACATAAGAAATGCTAGACGTAAAAACAGAACAAGGGCCATCTAATTTGCCTTCCACCTTCACATAGTTGCCAAAGTTGTAAGTACACCTGAGTCCCATTCAGTTTCTTATCAAAACCACTTGGGTTTGTTTGCACTAGTCGTATTTTATAAGCAAGTCATCTCCTAACTTGTAACGCTGCTCCTCTGTCCTCCAGTATTCCCACACTTACTGGCTGCATTGAATCGCGGGAAACATAGTCTAGACCTATCACTGTATGCACACTTACAGGCTGCAGCAATGAAGTATGAATCACACATGCAAAGTGTAGATTGATTAAATCAGCTTTTACACAATTTATACAAGTTTGCCTGTAACTCAGACTTTGCGTGAGTCATATTAAATGTTATAGTCCTAACTAATACGACTTATCTGAGTTTACTTTACTACATATAGGTAGTAAGAATAGTACTCCATGGATGGGATAAAACTTACCAAGGAGAACACTAAAACAGTGTCAATCAGTATGACAAGAACTTGCATTTATATAGTGCCCTCCACGTGGGGAAGCATCTTGGAGCGCTTAAATATGATTAAATATTTAATAATATTTAGGTTGAGTTCTGATCTCCAGAGGTCATACTTACCCTGGTAGCCAGGCTGTGCCTAGAGTAATGAGTACAGTTCTGCTTATTGTGATATAAGGGGATTACTCAGGCAGTACAATGAGGAGAGCAATGAGTATAATCCCCAGTGTTGGAGGAAGTAGCTATAAGCAGCAATTAGACAAGCTAAAGATCTTCAGTCTCAAAAGGCGGTGTCTCAGAAGAGACCTTATAGGTATACACATTTTTTAAATGAGGAAGTAAGCCCAGAGCTATCCTTTTGAAGGTACGTAGAGAGCAGAACAAGAGGACCCAAGTTTAAGGTCGCAAAGTGTTTCTTAAATTAGTAAAGTATCAGGATAGAGAGCACCACCTGCTGAACGGAGGGAGTAGATGTGTTGGTAGGGTTTGATAAGGTCGCAGAGGTAGGGTGAGGCAAGACCATGGAGGGATTTAAAGGTTAGGATGAAGATCTTGAACTCGATCTGCTGGGGGATGAGGAGCCAGTGGAGCCCGAGTTCTTGATGGGTGGGAAAGGGAAGGACATGAGCTGCAGGTTGGTTATTCAGGAGGAATGAGATCAAAGGTTCTTCAATTGAACCGACCTTGTGTGTAAAGTAGGTGTTTGCATTTTTCTCTGGTGTGTTTGTCATGTGCAGCTTTATGGCCTTTTGTGCATGCAAATTAGCTGCTGCATTCGCCTACAAAATACAGTCACTACACTCTCCAGTCAGTGTATCCTGTAAAGTGCTTTAAGCCCTCCTCCTAATGTGAAAGGTGCAAGAAGTATTTGTTTGTTTGGTAGTTTCGATGAGGGGCAGGTTGTTCTTGGATTGAGGTTTCGAAAGTTAGGAATGATTCTAAGAATGGTAATAATAATAATAATCCTTGCATTTGATATAGCGCTTTTCACGTCGGGAGGACGTCCCAAAGCGCTTCACAGAACACACTGTAAAGTGAATTGACTGTATATTTGTGGGCGAACGCGGCAGCCAATTGCGCGCAGCAATGTCCCACAAACAGTCGTAGATTGAATGTGACCAATTTATTATTGTTTTGGGTTTTTGGAGGGATTATTATTAGGCTCTGTGTGGAGTAAGGAAACTTGCCCAAGGTTTCACCCTGCCTGGAATTGAACTCAAGTCTCTCGCTTCCAAAGCGAGTGCTCTAACCACTGAGCTACAGGACTCCACCTGTAGTACAACTCTCTATCAAATTCTGGTGCCAGAGCTTACCAAAAATTTACATTTCTGGAGTGTAGGACTACACATGTACTTGATTGGTTTATGATATAATAATTATTTTTTATGATTAAACAGGGTCACTTTTAATCCTGTGACATTTTAGACTTCCATTGCCTCATTTCAAATATTTCTTAATCTCTTTATAACTCAAGTGCCAAATAGCACACCCACATCCTGGAGATTTCCAGAAGATTACCTAACAATTATTCTTTCAATTAATATAGACGTCTTTTAACTGAGACAAGTAAAGTCCAGAAATGTAAATTTTTGGTAAGCTCTGACACCAGAATTTGATAGATTGTTGTACTATGGGTGTTAGCACTGACTGTGGCTTGACTCATAATACTTTAAGGGATTGGAAGTTTAGTCAGAGTCTAACTTTAGTAGCTGACTATATCTTGTTATAAAGGTTCTGTTATGACAATGACGGCCACTGCTTTTAGATCATAGAGAACAGGTGGCTCCCATTAGAACTGAACCAAACTTGAGTAAAAGAGAAGATTTGAAAGGACTTTCAACTTGTAACATCCTTTGCCCTCGTTCCTTCCCTGAGTGATGGCTTGAAGGCTTGTCCCCTGTTGTAAAGTTGATTCCCTCTAGGGGTAGTTAGGAGATCTCAAGCATGACGAGGTGGTGAGGGCTGATTATCCACTTGTTTTATTTTTTAGCATCCACATTTCATCAGTTTGAAAATTACAAAGAGAACAATTGTGAACATAAATGTTTGCTCAAAAAAAACCAAATATCAATTTTTACCATAATTTGTAATTTGCAATTTCATAATTTGTAGGCTGACATTGGTAGAACTGTGCGCTGATATTGAAAGGTTTGTGGGGGGAAAAAAAAGGATGTAAATCTACAAGGAAAGAATTAGCAGACACCTATGATGTGAATTACACTGATTTGCGTTCACTGATCACCTCAAAATCATAATCTTCACATGATTCTTCATGTAAGTTATGAAAGGAATTTAGAGATCTGTGCACGATGAACCTCTCAAACACATCAGTTTGTGTGGGGGCATTGAGGACAATGTAGAAACATTTTATGGCGAATGAGAAAAAGCCAACTCTGCTCCTTCCACATACAACCCCATTGTGGAGTCCTGTAGCTCAGTGATTAGAGCACTCGTTTTGCAATTGAGAGACCTGAGTTCAATTCCAGGCAGAGGGCGAAACCTTGGGCAAGTTTCCTTACTCCACACAGAGCCTAATAATAATCCCTCCAAAACCAAAAACAATAATAAATTGGTCATTTTCAATCTATGACTGTTTGTGGGACATTGCTGTGCACAATTGGCTGCCGCGTTCGCCCACAAATATACAGTCAATTCACTTTACAGTATATTCTGTGAAGCGCTTTGGGACGTCCTCCCGACGTGAAAAGCGCTATATCAAATGCAAGGATTATTATTATTATTATTGTGGACTCTATCCCATCCACTTAAGCTTCTGAGGGAACGTTCTATAGAATTACTTTCCAAATTCCAAAGGTTATAATATGGAACGTCAAGGTATTCACCCATCCTGATGTCCACCATTCTACAATTCAGTACTAGCCCGATATCCCTCAATACAGCATCCCTCCTTCCCCAGCACCTCAGGAACTGTAGTGTCCCACGAAATTTGATCCTTTTACATTACAGAGACACGGTGCCTCTAGCAATTTAGGACTATTGTCCATTGAAGCATCCTGTAATGTAAACTTGGCAGTGGTTTATATACACTCTCAGGATTTCCAATCTCATTCTTTTCAACACGTTGATTAATTTAGGCTCAATACAAGCAACAATGTCTCACTCTCTCCAAACAATCAAACAAATCAAATTTCCAAACATCTTTCTGTGGAAATCTTACCCTTTTACAAGATGACACAAGTCTTCCTATTACTATTCTAACAAACAATCTTTTGGCATCTAATATAGACTATATTGTGTCCTTGTGCCCAAGATTATTTATCTGACTGAACACCACTTCCCTTTCACTTCCTTGCCATCAAAAAGCTCTATTTATATATTAATGTCAACAAGAGTACGTTAGTTCCACACAATCCCCCATATATAAATTAATCATTCACTTCATGGCTGTTTGTGGGACCTTACTGTTTTTGAGCTGGCTGCCATACTCGCCTACAAAAATACGGTCACACATTACAGATAAAGCTTGTGAAGCACTTTGAAACGTCCTCCCAACATTAAAAGATGTAACATCAAATGCAAGGATTAATATCAATAAAGACAACATACTGGAGTAATAGAACAATAAGTAAGAAGGTGGGAGAATAGAAGAGAAATGTTACATGGAAAATTATGTTTCAGAGCTTCTAGTTATGATTTAACCAATATAGTGCACTTTGTACAAAGAATCGGATCTGTATAGACTGGGTAACAACTGGCGTAAAGCATCTGATTAGTTCTGGAATAGCTCAGAAGTTCTCATAGTGGTGGATGAAGTGAGCCTGGTCTCGCTTGTTGATTTGTTGACAGGCTTTCTCCACATTCTTTGTCAGTCCTGGTGGTCCACAGCTGAAAACCCCAATCTTACCGACCTGATCAGCGTTGGGGGAGAAAAAACACAGTTAAATCATCAAAATGACCCCAAACCCCACCAAAGGGGCAGGTTAGAGGATACTACTTTTTTTTGGGGGGGGGAGGGGGGGCATGGTATATACTACCAAACCAGTGGTGAAAGTAGAATCCACAACAGTTTTTAAAAGGGAATTAGAAAAAAAATTTGAAAAGGAAACAAAACTTAAGAGTTTGGGAGACAAGGAAGGGTACTGGGGCAAAATTGCTAGAGAACTGGCACAATCCTGATGAGCTGAAGTATTCTATGGTTTTAGTCTGAAGTTGGATGAAAAGGATTGTTGTTTTTACAGAAAAATGTAAGATAGACCCCATTATTCAGGCTGAGTAAAGAAAGCTTTAACATTTGTTGTGTCTAGCCTGAGTGCACTTGATTCAGACGAAGGATATTCTGTTCTTCCATAAAGTCACTGACCAGTGGAAGAACCTGTCTTGCATGATTAGATCCGCAGCACAAAGATCCCTTTGTGTGGTGATATGTATCTGTGTTTCACGTGTGCCTCATTGATTCATTACAGGTGTGTAACTTCTGCAGAGAGTCACTGAATAAGGAGACATATCCGGGCCCATTATTTTAGTAAGCTGAAATAAGGAGATACAGTTCTGCTCTAATGTTTGTCTGCTTGAGAACTGGATCGATCTTTTTTCATACAATAATAGTATTTGCAGCACAGAAGACTATTTGCCAAAAAAGCCACCTATTTGCAGCACTTCTTGCTCCCACAGTGCCCACCCCCTCTATACAATATGATGCAATGCAAATTCCATTGCAGTTAAGCTTCTTGAGCTGTTCAAAGGCAGACACGCACTCACCTCTGGATGGACCTCCTGTAGTGAATTAAAAAAGGGGACAAACTGGGGTCGCCCGAAGTGTGTGATGGATCGAAGTCCAGTGAACAGACTTTTGTTCGATACCTTTTGAAAGTGACGCTCACAGATGTACTAGACAAGAAAAAGTAGGAAATGTGTTAACATTTAATTTGATGTAGAGCCTTATCACGTTGTTGAGAGTTCTCAAAGTGCTTCACAGAATATACTGTAAAGTGATTACTCTGTATATTTTGTGGCTGCACAGCTGTGTCCCACAAACAGTCGTGGATTGGGTGACCAAATCTTTTCTTTTTCTTAAAAAAAAGGGATTATTCCCTCTGTAAAGCGATCCGCCAATTGATTAATTAAAATAAAACCACTAATGTTCTTCTGTGTCTAAATTCACCAAAAGATAGATTAATTGGTCATTCATCTCATTGCTGTTGGTAGGAAGTTACTGCTGCAAATTAGCAATGACTTAACAATCATTACACTTTAAAGTAACTCATTATGCAAAGTATTTAGATGATTTGATGCAAAAATGTATGACATTAATTGTAAGTATATTTTTGCATTGTGATCTATTACTGAAAGACCAGTTTCCACTATGCTAGAGATTTGCAGTGGGTGGGAAGGTGCGGTCACTTACCAACATGGTAGTTCTCAAGTCAAATTTCTCTGCCAACTGGGTGATGTAGATGTGAACAGAAACCAAGTCATTTTTGTCGTTCTCTTCAACTTCGCGGATGATGTCGGCCATCCACTCAAACTGCCGCTGCGTCCGAGTCACCCAGATAAAGTATACCTAATCAAGAAATGGGTCAAATGACAGTCGTACCTCATTTTAACATGTTTTGCTGTAAGACAGGTTGGCTTACATTGGGATGTGGTCATTTACGTACCCAAAAAATAGGAAATGTACCCCTGCCATTATGAAGAGCTAATTGAGCTGCGACAGCTCCGGTCCCCTTCTCTCTATCCAAGTGGCTTTTCTAGATTTGACTACCTCAAATTCCTGCCTGTTGACACTCACCTACTTAAGAAGACATTTTTCCGACCTACCTCCTTGACCGTGAGTATGGTCATCTCTCCCACACCCTCGCTCAGCGTCCAATCCCACCACTGTGCAGTACTCAGAGACACTATCTTGTGCAAAGAGTGTAATATCAATGCAAGTTGTTGAGTGTGGCCCCGCAAGAGGTTTACATGGTCTTCTCTACATTGGAATAATCTCGAAGAAGTGATGAGACACTATATCCAATGCACGATTAATATTATTATTATATAATGTCTTGCTGGACATGTAACTAAGTGACGTGTTTAGCTGACTAAGTAACTGGTTGCTCAGCCCTGAGCAATCATCTGATTTGTTAAGTTGTCAGTCCATGATGAACATTACATTGAATATAATATGCTGTGAGCAGAATATGGCTATCCCATCAATCCTAACGCTCAACCACTTCCTTACACTTCCAATGCTCAGCTACCAGAATTTCGAGTCCATTATTCTTTTGTACATAACGTCCTTGTTGGAGAGAGGAAAGCCACACTGAATGAACCCCCCCACCCACCCCAACAAAAAAAAGTACAATGGCAACACCCACTTGTTCCTTTATTCCATTTTCCCCACTCACCTTTTTGCAGGTTATCTTGCTGTTGATTGTTGATTTGAATACGAGATCTTTGAGGATAGATGCAAAAGGTGTCACTCCTATCCCTCCCCCAACTAGAACAGACACCTCAAACTGGTTCCATTCCTGATGCCCTTCACCAAAGGGTCCGTCCAGATAGATCTGCCCAAAAGAGGTAACAGAGTGTTCAGATTGTGCTGGACCATTTCACTTGATTGGATTTGAAGTTAATAGGGTGAAATCTGTAAGTGTTTCTTAACCTATTACTTGTGCTAATTAACACAAGGGGTGGAGTAAGAAAATACAGCAACTTTTACCCCAATTGTTAATAAGTAACAAGTAAGTTTATAAGAAATAATAATAATCCTTGCATTTGAAATAGAGTTTTTCACGTCTTCTCAACGTCTCAAAGCGCTTCATAGAATAGACTGTATATTTGTGGGCGAAACGCGACAGCCAATTGCGCACAGCAGTGTCCCACAAACAGTCATGGATTGAAAATGACCAATTTATTATTGTTTTTGTTTTGGAGGGATTATTATTGAGTGGCCAATTTATTATTATTTTTTGAAGGAACTATTACTCCCAGAAAAGCGATCCATCAATCGACTAACAACTGGATTGCTATTGACTGCTAGGTAAACAGAGGCGCGTGGAGTAAGGAAACTTGCCCAAGGTTTCGCCCTGTCTGGAATTGAACCCAGGTGTCTCGCTTGCAAGGCGAGTGCTCTAACCACTGAGCTACAGGACTCCACATTAATAACCCACTTCTCTAATAAGTTTCCCTCATTAATAACCCATTTCTCTAAACTCCAGTGTTGGAAAGTGCACCAACTAAAAATGGGATGGTTTTCTTGCAAAGTGGGACTTGGGTGGTTGTCTATATGACCTACACTAAAACTAAATGTGATTATATCTAAATTGCACTTATTGATAATTCAGAGATTTCATCTAGGGAACATATTGCACACGTCTCTACAATCCCACTGATTAAGGAGTTTCTCCCAGTATCCTGGTCAACAGTACCCCAAATAAGATTGTACTCTCACTTCATGGCTGCTTATGAGACATTGCTTTGTACAAATTAGATGCCACATTCTCCTACAAATACACATTCACTGTAATAATATTTGAAGTGCTTTGAAAGATGTAATAAAGATCAAATTCAAGGATTACCATTGAAACTATTTATCAAGGAATTGAAGGATTTGCAGTACAACAAAAATAAGTAACCTACTGGGATGAATGCCAAAGATTGAATTTAATTTCCTTAATTTCAACGAACTAGAATATGTCAGCTTATTTCAGCAAGTGCTGTTACACAAGGCTGTGTGGTTGGATTTCGTCTTGAACAACAAAAGGTATCAGAGTTCTGAAATTCAACTGACTTTAGCCTTATATTTTAAGATCATGTTTTGTACATGCTTTGTTACAAAATTATTTAAATTTAGACTCAGTTTGTACGTTAGTTTTACACTCTTTCTAAAAACACCAGGATTGCAATCGCTCTTAAACTTCCAAGTTGCGGTTTTTAAGTTACTCTTTCAACGGAATGCATTGAAGTCATACGTCTAACAATGAGCTTCTTGATACCCATCTTGAGATTGCATTTATCAGATTTCACTAAGGATTGCAGGGAAATTCTCAAGTGTGTAGAAGTATTCCATTTCAGTCCCCAAAATAATTTGTTAACAGGCATGTGAAGCTAAAAGGTGAAATAACAGGGAAATAAAATTGCCTGAAAATTTCCATTAGTCCAGAGGGAGCTTTTAAAATCAGTGTCAGGAGAAAAGAATGAATGAACAGGATAATTTAGCTGCTTCATAATGCCTTCCCTGTGTTATTTTACACAAGGAACACATTATGAAATGTACAAATTTTACCTGTGTGCATACAAACCCAGCCTTCTGACAAATTGCCATCTAGCAATGATCAATATATGTAATACAGAGATTGGTGAATATTCACCTTTGCCATTAATTCTGGCAACAATTTAGCTCATTGAAATCGAGCAAGTCACAGGCCACTAATGCTTCATAAATAGTCTCGCATTGGATGGAAAACACTCCCCCACTTTAATTAATGGGATTGAATTGCATCCATGTGTTCTATGGGCTTCTTGCACAGACTTCCTTTCTACATTGTTTTGCCTTCAAAGCCCTCCACAGCCTTGTTCCTCCCTTCTTCTGTGACCTGCTAATTCCATATTGACCTGTCCGCTCCCTCTGTTCAGTGGGATCCTTCCCCAACATCGCTGGTTGGGCCTTCAGCCTCTCTAACCCTACTCTTTGGAACTCCATTCCACAGTCCCTTTGCCTTCTTTTCTCCATTGTCTCCTTCAAGATCCATCTCAAGACTCTGTGACCATGCCATCAGTCAAACTCCTACCCCTACCCTCCCTGTCCTCCACCTCATCTGATCCCAACCCTCAGCTCGGGTCCAAATCCCTGACTATCCAGCGCCTTGGGACGTCCTCCTGATATGAAAGGCGCGATACAAATGTAAGTTGTTGTTGTACCTTAGGAATAATGCCCAGCTTGCTGAGATGCTCTGGTGAGTATGTTTCTCTTAACTGCGTTGTCCACGGCCCGACTGCTCGGATGTGAAGGCTGAGGCTGTCCTCGTGCGGGGCAGATGTGAGGGTGAAGGGATGATACTCATCTGTTCCCAATGCTAGACATGCGATACGCACCCACTGACCAGACTTGTACTCAAAATCTTGGGGGCGTTTAAATTCGAGGTAAGTGACACCTAGACCAAGAAAAAGTGGGATAAGCAGCTGAGATCTGTTTGGGATGGCATCATATCTTCGTGCCTTGAACTAGAGTTAAGGTGTAAGCTTTAGAAGATCAACAGAGTACTTAATCCTATCCTCAACACATGCAACCAGGGATTACTGGATAGGTATCAGATCTCACCCATTTCTTCTCACCTCTTTATCAGTACATGGATGCTAATTGTAGTGCCCTCTACTGTCCTCCTAGTTGAGATCAGCTAACTCGCGACAGGGCTCAGAGTTGATAGTTCCATCGTTAAGAGTCTTAAGTGAGTCTCAATGAATAAAATGATTAGGATTTTTAAAAATATACAATGTTAAGTAGTGGAAATCAGAAACTGTGTTCCCAAAAGGCTGTGGATGCTGGATCCATTCAAATGTTCAAGACTGAGGTGGATAGATTTTTGTTAAGTTTGGATATCAAGGGATATTGGGCATAGGTGGGTCTTTGGAGTTAAGCTACAGATTAGCCATGATTTAATAGAATGTGGAGCAGGCTCGAGGGGCTGAAACGCCTATTCCTGTTCCTACATTCCTATCTTAACACAAACTGGGTTTGTGTGAAGTATAAAGACTGGCATGGACTCATTGGGCTAAATGGCCTGTTTCCGTGCCCCATCACTCCATATATATAACGTATTAAAAGAGGTAAAGTGCTGGGAGATGCCTGCTGTTAAGTAGGATCAGGATGTTTTAAGCTGCAATTAGGTCTGAAATTCACAATGAGCAGCAACATACCTGAAGGCTGGAGCTCAGCGTTGACCACTGAAACCTCTTTCTTCTTTCTGCTGAGGCTGATGAGCTTATCTACCAAGTAGATCAGAGCGGGCACGATGAAGTACAAGTAGAAACTTTGTCTCTGGATTAAATTTGAACTTCCGTGCACAAGTACCTGAGCAAAAGTGAATAAAGAAAATCCTTCTAAATTAGGTTTTCGTGGAGATTTGGGTTCAACCAGATGTTTGCTGACCACTGATCTGCAAGGTTCCACACTCAACAATCACTGTCACCCTATCTGCAGTTACCTTTCAGCTCCCTGATCCATTAGGTAAAGGCACTGAAGCCTGTGAGTGAACTTGAACCTATGTACTACCAGTGTCAATCCACTGGACCTTGTGTACTTTTTGTGTGAGTCCCGTAGCCTAGTGGTTAGCGTGCTCACCTCGCAAGCGAGAGGACCTTGGTTCGATTCCCGGGAAGGGCGAAATCTTAGGCAAGTTTCCTTACTCCACACACCTGTTTACCTAACAATAAGTTGGAACCCAGTTGCTAGTCGATTAGTGAATCACTTTCCGGGGGTAATAATCCCTCAAACAAAAAAAAGGGTCGCTCAATCCACGACTGTTTTGGAACAATGCCGTGTGCCATTGGCTGCCGCGGTTTGCCCACAAAATATGCAGTCAATCCATTTTACAATATATTCCGTGAAGTAATTTGAGACCTCTCAATGACGTGATAAGACGCTATATCAAATGCAAGGATTATATATTTTTTTGGTCAGCAGGGTCTCTGACATATGCGGTAACCCATTATTATGCTTTAAGAGTATCAAATCGAACTGAGAGTTTATGACCACCACCGACACATGGAACTTCCCCTGATTGGAATGGAATGCACACTCTCTCATCCTACTTACCTAATTCCAGAGAATTATTAAGCACAGGTTGGCAAGAGTCAATGTTTGGGGACCCCAGAATGTGCATTGTGGTACTCTTTAACCAGCTAAAACCATGCTCTCACATGCTGTGTCTTACCAGTGTGCACTGCGAGTGGGTGAGAGCACTGGATACTGTGCACTGCCAATGTATGCATGAACTGAAATGAAGTACTATTGGAACAGCAGTAAAAGTAAACTACTGAAAAGTTGCACTGTACTTACCAGGATATAGAGGACCACATAGAGGTGGTGAGTCACCCAGAAAGCACGGAAACTAATTCGGCGGAAGTGTCGGGAGGCAAAAACGTAGATAATGGCCAGCACGATAAGGAGGAGGACTCCAGTCATTCCTGGAGATAGGACAGATTTGTTGGTTAAGCCATTTATTCCAGATTTCTTACCTTCTGCAACAACTTGAAATGATATGGTGTATATGTGGGGAGAGGTAGGAATCAGGTGATAAAACGTCAAAGAGGTAGGTTTTTCAAAGCAGAGAAGGAGGGTAACAAAAGGCATCCTTACACGAGGCTCATTATTTACTACTATTTCTTCTCGTACATTATCAAAATGTGAGTTAAAACATTCACATGTATAGATAATTAACGGGGAATGATAATAAGCTGGATTCTAGCCACACAGTTTAAACTAGTTTAAAACCATCCACATAACTTTCTAGTGAAACGTCCATCAATATATAAAGCTACTTAAGTTGCAATATTTTAAATGCCACACACAAATTACCTGGAATGGTCTGAAAGAACCACCAATAAAATTTCTGGGGAAGTTCAGACCTGCAAGAACAAAAATAGAGGTAAATAACGAGTTGGGAAATATGGGGAACAAACTTTTAAAAAGCATTTTTATGTATGTTGTATTGTGTCAAACAGCTCAAATACCTATTCATTAGTAAGTGTAGTGATGTTTTGTTCAGGCAAACGTGGAAGCAATTTTGAATCTGCAACATCTCACAAACAGCTGTGAGGTGAATGGCAAATTAATCTGGAGCATTATTGCCTTGGACATCATTCGCTTTTTCTAACTGAAATTTTTTTCTGCTCCAATTTATTTGTCACTCATGCTTTAAGACCAATCTTCTCTCTCTCTCAATAGTGTCACAGGATCTTCAATATACACCTGTACAAGCAAGTGGGATCCGGGTTTAATCTCTCATCTAAAAAATGGCATCTCCAACAACAATGACAATAAATTACATTTGTATAGTGCCTTTCACGTCAGGAGGACGTCCCAAGGCGCTGGACAGTCAGGGATTCGTACCTGAGCTGGTGGTTGGGATCAGGAGGGGTGTGGGCGGGGAGAGTAAGGGGTAGGAGAGTGACCGAAGGCACGGTCGAAGAGGAGGGTCCTGAGACGGGTCTTGAAGGAGGCAAGGGAGGGGGTGCAGCGTTCCCCAGTAGCCCAATGGAGTATCAGCCCAGACTGTGAGCTGACGTCCAGGGTGTAGAGTTTGAACCAACAAGCTTCTCTCCTGGGCCAAAACAGCTTCAGGGCCGAACCTGCCCAATCAGTAAAAGTAAATTTTTTTTGGCCAAAAAGATTTCAGCTCTCCTAGGCAAACAAACCTCAGGAAATTAATATTAAACCCAAAAAAGGCACTTGATATATGGCCAAAAAGTTTCAAAATAGGATTGCTTGCCTCACAGTAAAAACAAAATAGCTGCACCTGTATACTGAGTGGGTCTACTTCTCCTGCAAGTTTTACCCCACAGCAGCTTCATCCTGAGTCCACACACATTTTCCATTCCATACTACCCTTATTAATCTTCCTTTGACCTATTGTTCTTTGGTTAGGTCTTACCAAACACGTTGTGTATTGATTGGAGTCAATTGTGTTGATCCAACTTGGTGCAATGCTTCCCAGTATTTCACAAGAGTATAACCCTAGCCTGTGAGCTCAAGTCCATGTTATGCAACAATTATTACTATTATTTTTTTCAGGTGATAGCTCCTACCCTACAAGCATTGACTGAAACTTACCCATCATCGATAAAAACACTGGGGAACATGCAGGCAAGGTTGCTGAGCGAACTGACACAGAACGTGTAGACATTGACACCATGGCCAGCACTGTGGAAAACTAAAGAAACAAATGGAATGACTGTTGCAATATGGTATGTGACAATCCTGAATGAAATAGACTTAGGTATTATACCAGAAGTCTGACTGACAGCTCTCTTGATGAGTTTATTTGATGAATAACTGTGACATTCAGAGCGGGACATTCTTTGGTTTGATCCCCAGTCTGTATTGAGTAAGTGACTTTTAGAGAAACATGGCAGGTGGTCCGTCAGCCATCTGCCCTAGTGACTCATGCTGAATATGAGCAGATGTGGAACCTGGCAGGATTGAATTTGGCTGTCATTCTTCTCTCCTCCCCACCCTTGTGGTTCAAGAGCCTGTTTTCACAAGTAGCCCACATGTGTGCATTATTATAGTAGGGGTTGGTGACTAACTAGCAATTGGGAGCAAGAACATTCTGCTTTGAGCTGGTAATTGTAAGTAACCCAGTGCCACCCCAGCTAAGATTTGCTAACACAGAACAGACACTTGTTGACCAACCCGCTAGCCTGGCTTGTTAGCAAGGTTGCAGAGCAGTCACTGTGGCTTGGATTCTTCCCACTTGATCTTTGTCAGTGTTCACAATGGTAAACTGTATGGTTTTAGCTGGTTTAACGCCAGCATTATTCCAAATGCATATTCTGAAATCTCCTAAACCTTCTTAATCTGTAGCTAAACTCTCTTCCCCCTGGGGAGAAAGTGTACACTTCATGCCAGATAAATGGAAACCTACATATGTGAATCTCTTAGTAGTTTGGATTAGAGACTGTTAAGCATTGTAATGGATTTTTGTTTGTGTCAGATTCCCGGCCGACCAAGAAAGCCTTCCTGGCCTGGATGGTTCAGCATCACACTGCACAGTGCTGTTACCAACTGAGCCATCAAGCAAAGCCACCCTCTCCTCTACACGATTATTATTAAAGACGATTATTATTAAAGACGATTATTTATGAAGGTCAGACGGTATACTGAATAACAATAGTGAAACTACGCTCACTTGCTAGTACAACTGCAGACATTGCAACCAAGCGATGGAAATCCACAGCAGCATCAAAGGGGATGTAATAGTTGAGGAAGGTCTCGCGTAGGAAAGTGATAAGGTTGCGACACATTGTGAGCAGGATGTAGGAGTACATGAATGAGACACACGCTGCAGATCCTCGGGATATGATGATTCCAACATATGTATTCTGAGGGATACCAGATTCCTCTGCGTTGATAGCATAGTCTGGACAGAAGGCAATAGTACACTTCAATAAAAGGAACACCATCCAATTTTACCAGTTCAAAAATAATCAATATTTATACAAACACATTACGGAGCACATGAATATAGGAATGTACAGGATCAGAAAGGACCATTAAAGTCTGACCAATGCCTTTTTCGTGATCCATCTCTCCATATCTTGTGCACCCAATTCCATTTCCCATCAAAAAGCAATCTAATCCTACTTTGAGAGTGCCTACTCCAATCCACTGTCTTCCTGGGGAAATCATTCCACTTAACTACTCTCTGAGTAATGTAGCTCAAGCCATATGGCCTATTTCCCCTGTCCCTAAGTGTGAGACCATAAACCTTCATGTGGACTCTGGAGCCCACTTTACCTATAACCATTAGGAACCAGAAGACTTCAATAAGATCATCACTCGAACATCCCATTTTATGCAACCTCTGCTCAGAGTTCAGATTCCCAACCTTATGTCAATTAGTTTATTAGTTTTAGTTTGAAATAATTATGTTATATAGCTCCATTTATAGCATTTGTCTGTAGTTTTTGAATATCACAATGAAGACCTTGCTGTCAAGGTTCACATTATTCAGTGCAACACCTGGCAATACTTACGGTACGCTCTCTCCACAAACAAACCAGCTGCAATCCCGTAAAAGATCAAAACACACACAATATGTCGACGATAGTTCTCAATGAAGCGTTTGAACTGCTGAACCTTTTGGTGTACTTTACTTCTGTTGTACTTTTCACGCTTTGCCTCTGTGTAGGGTCTAGGGCGCTGGTTAGCGGACCTATAGCACAATATTAAATAGGATCCAGTCATTATAACTCTGACTTTCTATATTAAAGAATGTGTTTCATCGTCAGTAAACATTCAAAAAAGGAACATATGTTCATTTACAGTACATTCCGTGAAGCGCTTTGAGACGTCTCCAAGACTCGATAAGGCGCTATATCAAATGCAAGGATTATTATTATTATTATTTGTTTTCTCTAACAGCTTTTTTTTCTGCTCCACTTTATTTATCCATCATAAAATTCCTCATGCTTTAAGATCAATCTTAAAAATTTAAGGCTGTGTATAATTTTGGAAAGTTCATAAATTCAGTCTCCATTTGGAAATTAAATTTAATTGAAAATGATTTGAAAATGATTTGAAATTAAGAATATTCAAAATTTCTGTGTGATCTCAAATTTTCAGGCTATGGTTTTAAGGCAAAGGCCGTGAGAAATTTCAAGGCTCTGATGTGCCAATAGGATTAATAACATTAATCAGGAAACATATTTTAGAGGATTTACCTCTTTTATAGATAGATTTCTTTTATTGATAAATCTTGTGGATAAAGGGATTAAGGGATATAGGGATAAGGCGGGTAGGTGGAGTTAGAATAGATCAGCCATGATCTTATTGCATGGCGGGGCAGGTTCGAGGGACCGAATGGCCTACTCCTACTCCTAATTCTTATGTTCTTATGTGCATCCTCCCCTATCCAGATGTGAACAAGCTTAAACACATGGAAACAAACAACACTGTTATCAAAAGGTCTTACTTCTTGTTCCCTCGGTCTCGGTTTCGGAGCTCCAGCCCATCCCGTTCCACATCTGGGTCTTGCATCTCTCTTTTGGCATACAGGATGGGAATGAGTGGAGAAAAATACTCAAAATACAATATTTCAGTTCAATTTACAAATACCGTAAACTCATGCAAAATTCACATTCACACGTCATGTCTAAAAGGTTTAAAGTGCTTCATGAGCCAGGGTTGGCTGGCTCAGTGCACACTGCCAGCCTGCTCTCGTTGAACAGACTCCTTGTTATCACTGACTTTCTGCCTAATTTGTTCCCTATGTGAGATGAGCTTAAATGACAAGTGACCAGCTTATGCCCAGCAGCTGACCTACAACCTTCTTAAAAGAAGCAAGACCTTTTTTTGTTGGTTATCTTACTGGGGTTAGTAGTTGGTTATATTTGTTCCGTGGACGGACCCAACAAGAGGTTCCCAGTAGAATCTCTGATATGTGTGTCTTATTCCTTGCCTCAGGCAGGCTAAGGTGTCTGAAGTGTCAGGGATGATTGCTAAAAGTGAACTTGTTGAACAAGAAATGGATGGATTTTAACCTTTGTAGGCTTTAAAAAATACCTAAAATTTTACTCCATTTTTTTTTAGCCTTCATCTTACCAACCAGCTGTACGTTTATAATTCAATTAAAAATTATTAGCAGGATAGAATTAATTAATACAATCTAGAGGAACATAATGTTGTTGCAGTTACCAGATTGCAAGCAACATGACGACTTACTTGTTTGGTTTTCCTTTGAGGAAAGATACTCTATGATGCCTGTTGGATTTTTCTGTGTTCGGGACATCCACACCTGCAACAGCACAAGACAACATCAAGCAGAGCTGTTAAACAAATGAATCATTTGATAGGTAAAAAAGGGGAGATTGGAGAAACAGACAAGACATGTTAGACCGAATGATCCACTGCACTTCTGTGCAGAAATTGCTTGTTTTAATGTTATGCTGACCTTTCACATTGAGCTGAGCAAACTTCAGTGCACTGACATGATCCCGGAACAGATAATGGAAATCCTCCCAGGTTAAGTCTGGTTTATCCTGGAAACCCGCTTCTCTGTACAAGGAATCCATGATCTCCTCGGCCTGCATTTTTGACAAGCAGTTATTCGAGATTTCGATGAAGGATCTAGAACAAAACGTAAGTTAATGTGTCCATCTGTGTCCTGTAAAGCTGTCATTTTTACATAAAGCATAGGAGCATAGTAACAGGAGTAGTCAGCCCCTCAAACAGGTTCCGCCATTCTATTAGATCCTGGCTGATCTGTACCCTAACTCCAATACTCGCCTTTGCCCTATATCACTTGATACCATTACCTAACAAAAATCTATCCACCTCAGTCTTGAAAATATGAATGGATCCAGGATCCACAGCCTTTTGGGGGTGAGAGTTCTAGATTTCCACTATCCTTTGTGTGAAAAATGCTTCCTGATTTCATTCCTAAATGGCTTAGCTCTAATTTTAAGATTATGCCCCCTTTTTCTGTATTCCCCACCAGCGGAAATAGTTTCTCTGCAATTGCTTAACAGAAATAAATAGATTGCAAGTTTAAGAAAACATAAGGGATATGTGGGGAGGGAGCTAATAGGTGAAATGAGTTTAAAAAAGGGGAATTTAGAAAATCAGGAGGCAATGGAATAGACTGATGGGCAAAATGCCCCCTGACATTTTCTTTGCAGAAAGCTTCTATGTAATTTTTTTTGATATATTTTGTAATGAAACATGTTGCTTCTAAGGACTACATTGCTTTTCTGTTGTTGCCTTTGGCTCGATACAGTTTATGGACTACGTATTGAGCCAAAAATAACAACAGCCCCTGCAAAATTTTGCTTGCTATGTAAGAAAGTTAAGTAATGTAACACATGAGAGGAATACAGAAAAATCCCAATGGCTCCATTGGTTTACCAGTGGACGGGAATGGATTCAAAACCTGCTGGATTCACTTAGTGAACACCAAGTCCAAAAATACTGTTCTTGAGAGGAAGGTAAGTGATGCTTGTTTGGTTGAACTGTCTCTAAGATTCAGGTCCAAGGCAATGCTGATGATATAGCAGCTCATGTGTGAGATTTGGAAGTGTAGGCGTGTCCTCATTGCTACAATCTAAAGCCCTAACAGATATGATACTGGTTAGACAAGCTCTGTGCTATGCAGTTAACAATTTATAATTTTATAGAGAGTAAGAACACCTTTGACAAATGATCTCTTAATGCTATTCAGAGGATTACCATTTTGTTAGGCTTAAGGACCTCTTGGTGAGTGACATATGAAAACTTTCCTCTTAACTTTGAAAGAATCTTCACTAAAGCACAAGGTCCTCAAGAAACTCTGAAGTTGTTGTTTGAAAGCTGTTGATTTACCTTAGTAATATTGAAAACTCCTCTTTTGATAGGACTCCATTGCCATCCACATCATACATCCTAAACATAAGCTTGGACTTCTCTTCAGGGGATCCTATGCACAAAGGACAGGAATGATTGTGTTCTTTACAAGACTGCAGAGGTGAACAATTAATACCTTACTGTTTGCAGAAGTATAGCAGTTGGTGTTGGATAGAAGGGAAGAGATGAAGCAGATCAACATTTGACCCTGTGTCCAGATAAAAGCCTTAAGGTGCTCAGATAAGGACAGGTTGGTTGCATGAACACTGAACAGTTAAGGAAATTGGATTAAACTCTGCAGCTCGCTCCGGTCAGCTCCACATCCCCCGCCCCAACCGCCCAACCATCGGTGGCCGGGCCTTCAGCCTCTCAGCCCCTAGGCTCTGGAACTCTATCCCCCAGTGCCTTCGCCGCCTCTTCCCTTTCCTCCTTCAAGGCCGGTCTCAAGACCTTTCTCTTTGACCGTGCCTTCAGCTCCCCTCTTGACTCTCTACCCCCTCCTCGCTCCCTCCCTTCGCTCCCCTCACCCTGACCATTTCCCCCCTGCTCGGGTCCTGACCCAACTGTACAGCGCCTTGGGACGTCCTCCCGACGTGAAAGGCACTTTATAAATGGAATCTTGTTGTTGTAAATGACAAGGCAATATAAAATGAGTCACGCACTGCTGCACAACTGGAGTAAGTTGTTCCAGCTACTGCATGCCTCTAAAGGGTTTGGTATAAAGGTCCTATAAAGGATTACCTAAGCAAATTATCTGGGAAGGGTTAGACTCATGTGAAATGAAAACACCAGCAAAGACTATCTGGTCGTAGAGGCCTGTTTCAGTGCTTTGTAATATCTTTGGAAGTTAATTTAAGATTTTTATCTTTATAGCATCAAGGTGACAGATAGCTATAGTAATAATAATAATCCTTGGATTTGATATATCACTTTTCACGTCTTCTCGACATCTCAAAGGGCTTCACAGAATAGACTGTAAAGTGAATTGACTGTATATTTGTGGGCGAAACCCGGCAGCCAATTGCGCACAGCAGCGTCCCACAAACAGTCGTAGATTGAAAATGACCAATTTATTATTGTTTTTGTTTTGGAGGGATTATTATTAGGTGTGTGGAGTAAGGAAACTTGCCAAAGGTTTCGCCCTGCCTGGACTTGAGTGAAATATTTTTTCCTGATTTCACTCTTAAATGGCCTGATTCTAATTTTAAGACTATGCCCCTTGTTTTCGATTCCCCACGAGAGGAAATAACTTCTCTGTATCTACCCTATCAAGTCTCTTTATCATCTTAAATACCTCAATCAAATCACTCCTTAACCTTCTAAACTCAAGAGAATACAATCCAATGCAGCCTTTCCTCATAACTTAACCCTTTTAGGCCTGGTAACGTTCTAGTGAATCTGCGCTGCATCCTTTCCAGGGCCAATATATCTTTCCTGAGGTGTGATGCCCAAAACTGAACACAGTACTACAGATGGCATCTGACTAATGCACTATACTGAAAAGCCAGGTGCGGGCTGCTGAACGCACCTGTGTCAAATCTGGCCTAACGGTCCACCGACAAATCTGGCTGGACCTCCTCAAAATTTACCGCTCCACTCTAGCCTCGGCCAAGTCGTCCTTCTACTCCAGGATAATCCTGGAGGCGAAGAACAACCCCAGGCTACTGTTTTCCACCACAACCCGACTCCTCCGTCCCCCCCGCCACCCCGCGCAGGTCATCTCCTCCAACCTTCACTGCGAGGAGATGCTGGATTTCCTTGAATCCAAGATCAAGGGAATCCGCTCCGCGGTCACTTCCCCTCCAACTTCCACCCACCACCCACCCCTTCCCTCCCACACTCCGACTCCTACCCATCCTCCCCTACACACCTTCGTACCCGTTTCCCCACCCTCTGTCACTGAACTCATCCTATCCCTAAAACCAACCACCTGCTCCCTTGACCCCATCCCCACTCCACTCCTTATCTCCCAGCTCCACTTTCTTGCCCCACATATCACTGACATCATCAACCTGTCCCTCTCCTCTGGCTCTGTCCCCATTCCATTAAAAACTGCCATCATCACGCCCACCCTGAAAAAACCCTCCCTTGATGCGTCGCAGCTATCAAGCTACCGGCCCATCTCCAACCTCCCCTTTCTCTCCAAGGTCTTGGAAAGAGTTGTCGCCTCCCAACTGCGCTCTTTCCTTTCCACCCATTCTCTTTTTGAACCCCTTCAGTCAGGTTTCCGTGCTGCCCATAGCACAGAAACTGCCCTGGTCAAGGTCACCAATGATATCCTGACCATCTGTGACCAGGGCTCCCTCTGTCTCCTCGTCCTCCTCGACCTATCGGCAGCATTCGATACGGTCGACCACGCTATCCTACTCCACCGCTTGTCCTCCCACCTCAACCTTCAAGGCACTGTCCTTGAATGGTTTAGGTCGTACCTTTCTCACCGTCTTCACTTTGTCTCAACGAATGGCTTCTCCTCCACCCCCCGTACTGTCTCATGTGGTGTCCCTCAGGGCTCTGTCCTCGGTCCCCTCCTCTTCACCCTCTATATGCTCCCCCTCGGTGACATCATCCGCAGACATGGAGTTAACTTCCACATGTATGCGGATGACACCCAACTCTACCTTTCCTCCTCTACTCTCAACTCCACGACCACCGATGTCCTGACAGCCTGCCTGTCCGACATCGAGTCCTGGACGAGAGACAACTTTCTTCAGCTCAACGTGCGAAAAACCGAGGCCCTCCTGATTGGCTCACGTCAGCGCCTCCGCACCTCAGGCGCTGACACCATCAGCATCCAAGGCTGCACTCTCCACCTCTCAAAGCCAGTCAGGAACCTCGGCGTTTTGTTCGACCCTGAGCTGTCCTTTCTCCCTCACATCCGCACCACAACTGGCACCGCCTTCCATCACCTCCGGAACATCGCCAGACTACGGCACTACCTCACCCCTCACGCTGCTGAAACCCTGGTCCACGCCTTTGTCACCTCAAGGCTGGACTATGGGAACTCTCTCCTCGCCGGCCTTCCCGCCACCTCCCTCCACAAGCTGCAGGTCATTCAGAACTCTGCAGCTCGTGTACTGTCCCGCACCAGGCTTCGGGACCACATCACTCCCACCCTCGCTCGCCTCCACTGGCTCCCCATCCCCCAGAGGATTGATTTCAAGATCCTCATCCTCACCTACAAGGCCATTCACGGCCTTGCTCCCTCCTACCTCTCCAACCTACTATCCCCCTACCTACCTGCCCGTACCCTCCGTTCCTCTGGCTCCGGTCTGCTCCACGTCCCCCGCCCCAACCGCCCTACCATCGGTGGTCGGGCCTTCAGCCTCTCAGCCCCCAGGCTCTGGAACTCCATCCCCCAGTGCCTTCGCCTTGCTTCCTCCCTTTCCTCCTTCAAGGCCGGTCTCAAAACCTTTCTCTTTGACCGTGCCTTCAGCTCCCCTCTCGACTCTCTTCCCCCTCCTCGCTCCCTCCCTTCCCTCCCCTCACCCTGACCATTTCCCCCTCCTTGCTCCCTCCCTTCCCTCACCCTGACCATTTCCCCCCTCCTCGCTCCCTCCCTTCCCTCCCCTCACCCTGACCATTTCCCCCCTGCTCGGGTCATGACCCAACTGTGCAGCGCCTTGGGACGTCCTCCTGACGTGAAAGGCGCTTTATAAATGGAATCTTGTTGTTGTTGTTGTATACAGCTAAAGCATCATTTTTTCCCCTTTGTAGTGCGGCCCCTTGAGATAAAGGGCAACATTCATTTGCTTTTTTGATTACTTTTTGCACCTGGGAACTAGTTTTTAGTGATTTGTGGATATGGCCACTCAAATTCCTTTGCTCCTCCACAGTTCTTAATTTCCCTCCATTAAAAAAAATTCTGCTTTATAATTTTTCGGTCCATAGTGGATGATTTCGCACTTCCCTACATTGAACACCATCTTCCACAGCTTTGCCCTCTCACTTAATCTGTCTAAGTCCCTTTGTAACTTCCTACTCCCATCTATACAAGTTACTGAGCTTCCTAGCTTAGTGTCGTCTGCAAACTTGGATATAAAACTTTCTATTCCTTCATCCAAGTCATTTATTTATTTGGCGAATAGCTGAGATCCCACTACAGACCCTGGGGGGACACCACTTGTCACGTCAATCGAGTGAGATCGAGTGACTATTGTCATTGAGTATGCACTCAGTGTGGATTTGGATTAGAATGAAAGTCATGCTTGTAAAAACTGTGTAGTTCTGTAATATAATAACATCATGCAACATATTATCGTTGAGAAATGTATGGAAGTTATTTCTCAAAAACATAATTCAAGCTCCACAAGCTTGTAAAGATCAAAATTTGTTCCATATATATTGTGATGGCCTAGGTGTAGCACTTTTGCCTCTGAGTCAGAATGTTGTAAGTTCAAGCCATGTTGGGACTTTGAACTCAATCTTCTGGGCTGATACTCCAATAAACTGCCGGGAGTGCACTAATTGTTGAAGGCACCATCCTTCGATATTAAACTGAGGTCCTATCTTGCGTATTCAGATGGCCGTTAAGGATCCCATGGCACTACTTGAAAAGACAAGGGAGTTTCTCCCAATATCCTGGCCAACAAACTCTTTGATAAAATTCATGGCTATTTGTGTGACATTGTTGTGTAGAAATTGGCCGCCTTGTTTCCCTACAAAAATACAGTCACTGCACTATAATTAATCCTACAGAAGATTTTGCGATATCACCCTAATATGTCATGCTCTATTTCAAATGCATGGGTATATATATATAGTGATGGCCTAGGTGTAGCACTTTTGCCTCTGAGTCAGAATGTTGTAAATTCAAGCCATGTTGGGACTTTGAACTCAATCTTCTGGGCTGATACTCCAATAAACTGCCGGGAGTGCCCTCAATTGTTGAAGGCACCATCCTTCGATATTAAACTGAGGTCCTATCTTGCGTATTCAGATGGCCGTTAAGGATCCCATGGCACTACTTAAAAAGACAAGGGAGTTTCTCCCAATGTCCTGGCCAACAAACTCTTTGATAAAATTCATGGCTATTTGTGTGACATTGTTGTGTAGAAATTGGCCGCCTTGTTTCCCTACAAAAATACAGTCACTGCACTATAATTAATTATAATAATTAATTATTAGAGGATTTTGCGATGTCACCCTAATATGTCAGGCTCTATTTCAAATGCATGGATTTTTTTTTAATCTCTACAATCTCCAATTAATAACAATGAGGTAATTTTCAATGAAATTCCTTAATAAGGAACATAGAAGTGGAAGTAGACCAGACCGACCCCATATTAAGGAACCCAGTTGGAAATTGACACATATTGGACCCTGTTGACAAAAATATAACATGTCTTCCATGACTTGCTTACCTTTCATGAATATGATAAAAATATCCATGAATTCCCGGAAAGACAGATAACCATTCCCGTCTTTGTCTGCAAGTAAGAACATCTGTTCCACAAACGTGGAATCTTCCTTTAAGCTCAATGCTTCCGCAAACTCTGCACGAGTCAGCTCACAGTTCAAAGACTCCTTTGCCTTCCTGGAAGTTTCCATGTCAAAGTCTCCGGCATCTAACTTGTCAATCTCCAGAATCTAGTGAAAGTGAATAATGGATCAGTGGGGAACATCAATGGGCGTTGTGCAACATTCCAATACGATAGCAGAATATCCCATTCTATAGTAAACAGCAAACATTTCATTTGTGATTGAGCAGAATGCTGAGAGAAGGAGAAATGTTCCAGGGTTCCCCTCATTACCTGTGCAAATACGTGTCGGAAGAAAGTATCCAAAACCTGGCTTCGATGTAATTTTGTGATCGCTTCTTTTAAGATGGTTTTCTCAGCCATTTCCACCATTCTCAGAACAAATCCACTCTCCTCCAGAAAGTTTTGCAGAGTTTCGATGAAATCAGTACAATCCTCTTCGGTGTCAAAGAACATTACCTAAACAACCACCCACCAAAAAAAAATCCAACATGAGAGCGTTACTTTGAAAATGTAACTTTTTCATATTTCATATTTCATATTTCATATTGCTCATTTCAGCAATGAAATAAGATGTTATTAGGGCTTTGAAGATGGACTAGATCTTTATTTGATTTTGACAAGTACATGTGAGTCTCATCTGTGGCATGTTCTAATAATTCCACTGATATATCACAGAATGGTTTTGTATGGAAATGGAGAGGGACTTGGAGAAAAACACTGATAGGAATGTAGGGTATTTCAGGAACAGAGAAGATCACTCAGTTCTTCTGACTGATCTCAAAAATATAATTAATATCTTTGCCTTATCATGTCGTCGAGATATCTCAAAGCGCTTCACGGGATACACTGTGAAGTGTAGTGACTGTGTGTGTTTTGTGGGCAAAACACGGCAGCCAATTGAGCAAAGCAGTGTCCCTCAAACAGTCGTGGATTGAATGACCACAATATACACTGTAAAGTGGAATGGCTGTGTGTTTTATGGGTGAAACATGTAACAGAGTGGTATACGATTATTTTTTCTCTCTCATACCCCAATAATTGCTTACTTTACCAAATAGTTCATGGGATACTGCTTAACTTACAAGTAAAGCAGGAATTATTTGCACAATAACATTGTGGTTGGAGTGATTATATGAATAAGTCCCTCTTGACTTTGCTGATGCCATCTGCCCCCACTGCCACTCAGGATGGTCTGTCTCCACTTCTCTGTGTAACTTTATTAAATCTAACCATCTATACACTTTCCCTCTTCTGAGCGCAAGTTTGTGTTTCTTTGTTTCACATTATTTGACCATGATGACCATATTAAAATTCAATTTATAGGTACACTTCACAATCTTGAATACTTCAGTAAGATTTCCCTTTTCACTGGCGTAAACATTCTCAGCTTCTGTGGGCATTCCTCAATCAGGTCTGAAACCCCATCTGTTCTCAGCCTGTAAGAAGCCCATTTTGTTTCAAAATTTAAGATTGCACGGGATTGCTGAAAATTCTTAAAACCATTCTCAATTCGAAAGCTGTTTTTCGCAGCTCTGAAAAATAAACTTCCAAATTAATACCGAATGTATGTATTTTCACAATTCTGAGCAGTCTTAAAAATTGATTCCAGCCTTTCACCGTTCACTTTTCAATTGAAATTGTGTCGATCAAGAAATTATGTAAAATTATGATCAACCGATCAATTTCTATTCATTTTGTTTGAAGATTTGTAGTCTGTCTACAGTCAAAAATTTATGAAATGATCTGAATCAATTGACTTTTTCTGGAATGTAAAGACAAAGGCAAATCCTGATAGAAAGGTCTATCTGAAAACAACACAAGTCAATCTATAGTCTGAGCATGCCTGATGAACTGTCAGAATAACTGACTCAAGGCAATTTCACCAGCTCTTCCAGGCTTGGCTTAGATATTCCAATCTAAATTGACATTGCAGTGCAGTACTGAGGAAATGAGACTGTATAGAAGGTGCTGCCCTAATAAATTAAACTGAAATCCAGTTTTTTTGTCCTTCAAGGTCAGTCTCAAGACCTTCCTCTTTGACTGTGACTTCAGTCACCCTCCTACCCCCACCCTCCCTGTCATCCACCCCTCCTGATCCAAACCCCCAGCTTGGGTGCAAATTCTTGACTGGGCAGCCCCTTGGGTATGTTCTCCCAATGTGGAAAGCGCTGTGTAAATGTAATTTGTTGTTGTGGAGTTGGATATTACAAATTCCAGTTCATATTTTGAGGAAGAGCAGGGAGTGCTCCCTATTTCCTGGCCCCCCTCATCCAAAGCAATAGCAATTGCCAGGTTCCAATTAATCATTTGTGGAGTCCTGTAGCTCAGTGGTTATAGCACTTGCTTTGCAAGCGAGAGACTTGAGTTCAATCCCAGGCAGAGGGCGAAACCTTGGGCAAGTTTCCTTACTCCACACAGAGCCTAATAATAATCCCTCCAAAACCAAAAACAATAATAAATTGGTCATTTTCAATCTACGACTGTTTGTGGGACATTGCTGTGTTCAATTGGCTGCTGCGTTTGCCCACAAATATACAGTCAATTCACTTTACAGTGTGTTCTGTGAAGCGCTTTGGGACGTCCTCCCGACGTGAAAAGCGCTATATCAAATGCAAGGATTATTATTATTATTATTATTTATCTCATTGCCGTTTTGTGGGTGTTGCTGATACAGTCCTGTAGCTCAATGGTTAGAGCACTCGCCTCGCAAGCGAGAGACCTGGGTTCGATTTCTGGCAGGAAACAACCTTTGGCAAGTTTTGTTACTCCACACGCCTGATAATAATCCCTCAAGAAAAATATATAAATAATAAAATTGGTCAATCCACGACTGTTTGTGGGACACCGCTATGCACAATTGCCTGCCGCGTTTCACCCACAAATATACAGTCAGTTCACCTTACAGTGTATTCTGTGAAGCGCTTTGAGACATCTAGAAGACGTGAAAAGCGCTATATCAAATGCAAGGATTATTATTATTATTACAGATTAGCTGCTGCATTTATCTATACACCAACAATGGGGGCCTATCATAGAGCAATCACTAAAAAATGAGAAATCCCATTGTAAGCAAATCAAAAAAGATCACCACATTTGTGAACAATCAGAATAAGACTGACCCCATTGTGTGCGAAACACTTTCAGATCTTGCAATGTGATAGGGGGATAAATCAACTGCAAGTATTATTTAACTCATGAACAGGAATAACCTCTGAATGAAATAGTGCCTTTCATGTAGTATGAACGTCTCGGAAGACTTCACAGAAACAATAAGGAGCATTAAGCAAGCAGGAGAGGAAGGCGAATTTAAGGGTGTGCACCAAAGGCACGGTTAAAGAGATAGGTTTTTAAGAGGATTTTATAGACAGGGAAAGAAAGAGTAAGACGGATGGATTTTGGAAGAGAGTTCCAGAGAGCAAGACTCATTGTGGCTGAAAGCTCAGATTTGAGTTCCGGTTCATGGCACACTGCGTAACTCAACAACAACCACAACAACTTGTGTTTAAATAGCAGCCTTTTTGCAGGGTAGTATCTTGGAGCACTAAACTCACCAATGATAACAGAAATGCTACTTGCACAATAACATCTGTTGTTAAACTGTGATATGAATGAGTCCAAAGAAATAACGATAATCACAACACATCACATGTTGCAATTTTCTCTCCATGCAGAGAAAGGTCAGGATAAAGGTAATCCTAGAACACGAGGGATGAGTCAGACTTCTTACCAGATCATACTCTTTGGGGACTTTGATAAGCAGCACTCTCTGATCATTGTTGTTGGACTTGGCAAGCTCCATTTCTTCGTTCAGATTGATGATTCGGATCAGGTGTTGTTTGTTGTCAAGAACCTTGATGCTTTTGTTAGCATCAAGACGTAGATGGACGGGGCGAAGTGGCTCTGTCGGGCCTTGCCACTCACAGACTAGACAAGGAAACAAAAGACTGTAGAGATATTTGGAAGAACATTTCTACCACTTACAAAATGCTTTGTGAGGCATTATGGAATGTGTTGTACAAATGGACCATTTGATTCCCAGCTTAATTCCGTATTTTTGTGTAGTTAAAGGGGCATGCCATCAACTAACGGGGCAGTTCTGTCATAAGCATGTCCACTTAGCAATTCACATTGCTTTTTGGCAAACAGTCCTGAGGGACTGTTTCCCCTGGTAGGAGGATCTATAACCAGGGGTTACAGTCTTAAAATTAAGGGACAGCCTTTTAGAACAGAGTTGAGGAAACATTTCTTCACTAAGTGAATTTATGGAATTCACTACCCCAGAAGGCTGTAGATGGTGTTTCTTGAATCTGTTATCAATTTAAGTTCGCTCTGAATTGCCTCGTGGTTTAGGTTGACATCCTGCTGTCACTATTTCAAACGAAATGTGGAATAATTTACTGTAAAGTGCAGTAACTGTGTATCTGTAAGCCAACTCGGTAGCCAATTTACATAGAATTACAAGAGCACCAAACAGTACATTCTGCCCAACTAGTCCGGGCTTAGTGTTTATGCTCTACTTGAGCTAAACCTCTCCCCATTTCTCTCTCCCCTTCCCCTCAATTTCTTCTCCTTCATGTGTTTGCACATAGCAGAGCCCCACAAACAGCCATGGAGTAAATGACTAATTTAGAGAAGGGAGTTTATCCCTGTGCCTTGGCCAACACTACTCCCAGATTAAATTTGTCATTCATTTCATGGCTGTTGGTGGTACATTGCTGTGTACAAATTGGCTGTCCACAAAATGCACAGTCACTACACTTTACAGTAAGAAGCTGTGAAGCACATTGAGATGTCCTCCTGATGTGAAAAGCTCCATATCAAATGTGCTGATTACAGATAAATGCAAACATTTCAAACTTAAGTTGAGTCCTAGTATTAGGTTAGCTCTAGTGAACAGCTTCACAGAGACTGAAAGATTTCAGTAAAAGATAAATAATCAGATCCAAATGTTTTTCCTTACTCCTTGACTAATGGACACTCCCTCATTGTGTAGCGTTCCAATAAAATCAGTAACTCGATAGCAGCACAATGGGGTGGACTCAAACATTTTCCGCAATAATATCATTCACTGATCTGCCTTTTTAATATGTTCAGGATTGGATTTAGTTGCCTATTCAGTGAAATGATCCTATTTCAAATGATTGCAGAGGTCTTGAATATATTTAAAGTGATTTGAATTTGAGAAATGGAGCATAAGAATGCGGTCTTACAGCTATGTAGACATCAGAAAACTCATTTGTTTCAAGGAAGAACAGAAGTAAAAATAAAAACTTGCAGTTGAAACATTACCACTTATTCCTTCTCCCATTTCAACATTTTTTCCAATCGAGTCGGCCCTACTCCTCCTTTGTACTTTCTTAAACTTTCTTTTGCGGTAGAGGGCTACAATAAATGCAGGGATCAGGCATACTGGAAAAAGAAAGTGTGTGTCAATTTACATAGTAATGGAAAAGCAGCGTTAAACTATAGGAATGCATATTCAGGTTCGATTTAAACGACTCAACTGGAGCTGAAATTTTTTGCGTTACTCGCAGGGCACTTAGAGTGGGAAATCCCATTAGCGTGTGACATTGCCAAAGGCTGGACATCACTGGCTGGATTTTCAGCTCATATATATTTTAAAATGTGAAAATTCCCATTCTACAAATAAATGCTTGGTCCACAGTTTCATTCGCCATTTGCCAAGTGGGGATGCCGAGCGAAGTATCGGTCAATCTTTTCTGTCTGTTCTTCAGTTTTAAGAACTTACAAAGCAGAACCAGTCAATGATTCAATTTCTGAACTATAGGGCTCGGGAGTGATGCCCCCTCACTCGAGCAAGGTAATGAAGGCATCTTCGACTGTCCCTCCGACTATCCCTGAAGAAGCAGCACAAAAAATGAGGCAAACACCTCCAAATAATTCCACTTAGTCTCAGCCTGTGGGACTAACCATTTTTAAATTTAAGATCGCACAAATCGTGTACAATTCTTGACTTTAGTCTTAATTTGGAAGCCAGTCTTAAAGATGGTCACTTTCAAGAACTGCAGAAAACCGTCTTCCAATTTCAGACTGAATTTAAGAATTTTCTGCAATTTTTCTGCAACGTTCTTAAATGTTAAATGTTAAGCATGATAGTCTTGATTGCTAAGTCAAGGTGGATTTGTGGGTTTATCAGGTAAATCAGGCAAGTTTGGATTAATTTCTACAGACCTAGTGGTAAACAACAGAGTATCACAATGATTATGCCAAAGGGAGCTCCACTGCCTTCAAAATAATTCAGACTTATGGCCTTAGTACAAGGTTCGAAATCAGCTACAGTCAACTGCTTTGGCTGCTGGCACGGATCTCCTGTGAAAACAGATACGGAAAAGCACAAAATCACATCGAGATCCCAGAAAAGTAAGAAATCTGAGATTAAAAAAAATACAACGTGCATAAAATCCACAGCAGCTAAAACAACACCTAAAACAAGGCAATTGCTGCGTGCAAACTGATTGCTGCGTTCGCTTAGACAGACATTATACTTCATACTTTGTGATGCTTTGAGATATTTTGAAGACATGATAAGGCACAATAGGAGTCCTGTAGCTCAGTGGTTAGAGCACTCGCTTTGCAAGTGAGAGACCTGAGTTCAATTCCAGGCAGGGCGAAACCTTGGGCAAGTTTCCTTACTCCACACGCCTAATAATAATCCCTCCAAAACCAAAAAAAAACAATAATTAATTGGTCATTTTCAATCTACGACTGTTTGTGGGACATTGCTGTGCGCAATTGGCTGCCGCGTTCGCCCACAAATATACAGTCAATTCACTTTGCAGTATGTTCTGTGAAGCGCTTTGGGACGTCCTCCCGACGTGAAAAGCGCTATATCAAATGCAAGGATTATTATTATTATTATTATTATAATATCAAATGCAAAGACTATTATATACAGCTACTGTATATGTGTGTATGTAAGGTATATTCCTTTGAGTAACTGCTGTGAATATAGGGTTTTAAAAGTTGAATGACCTTCAATTTCAAAATAGATTAGAAGCTTTCTCAGGCCTGTTTTATTCTGGTGCCTCACATACTGGTCCCTGGTTAGTCTTATCACAGCAAAATATCTCAAAGCACTTCACATGTTAAATGTTATGATTGCTTCTGTAGATAAATGCGGCAAAAATCTGCACTAGGAAGGTACTACAAACAGTCCAACTGAAAACACGCAAATAGGATCTTGATTTAATGAAAAGGATCTCTAACAATGCATTTCACCATCAGTGGTGCAGTGAAGCGTCAGTCTAAGCTTGGAGTTGATTAGGGGCTTGAACCCATAACCGACAGACTCTAAAGTGAGAGTGATATATAAAGAATATATACATATACATCACCCCATGGACTCTTAATTTTAAGATAAATAATGACAAGTCTAAAATCATTGGCCAACTGAGCAAAACGGTCATGTAATTTAGAACATGATCAATTCTTTAGGGAAATGAAGAGATGCCCAAGTAGCTAAAGGACATGTCGCACACCTTTATTGTAAGCAGGTACTCTAAGTGCAAGTATGTTCTTTGGACTTGCTGCCAGCACTGTCTGGGGCAGCCACGCTTAAATCTGTACAAACAGTCTCCTCGGCAACAATTCAAACTCTCAACACGCTCTTTATTAACTCTCCAAACCTGGCCTTGTTGGGCCAGAATATCAACCACTCGAGTTACAGCGTTTTATTTAACTACCTATGCATTCACTTAGTGAATACCCATGGCTGATATAAGATTACTTAATAAGCCATTTTGCTCCTTGCAACTAGGTTTTGCTTTGTGTCTGCCCTAGTTGGCCCTGTTGAAACTGGGAACACATTCAACAAGAGATCACAGAGATAAATGTACATCTGGAATACAATGTAGTGCAATATCCACCCCACCGCGCCTCCCACTCCACACACATTTTCCTCCAGCTGTCATGTCTTTGGGAGGCTGATTTTCCCCTATAATTACTCACTCACCAAGTCACTCTACTTAACCGACAAATCGATCTCTCCCTGTGTGTTTCGCTTTCCCAGTGACTTACCAGTATTCCAGAAGAACACGTTTTGCTGAATTTCATCTGTTGTTGTATTCAAAGTCACTGCCAGAACATCAAAAAATTTAGTGTTTCGAATTTGTTGGATTTCCTCGGTTGTGAACAATCTAAAAGAAGTTTGTTTAAAAAAATGAATTGGCGAAGTTGGTGTCTCACCACAGATTTCCAAAAGTGAATCTCATTTAGCCCTTTAGCTAAGCGGGAGATATTACCTGCTTTAAGGGCGCTATATGAACAAAAGAACACAAGATTGCTAAACAGAAAAAGACCAAGGTCCATCCAGTTCGCCTTTCAGCATCCTGGCAGTCACATACAACATGCCATGCCCCAAACTTATGCAAGTTGTTGTATTTTTGGTATGTTTATTATAGTTAGCGATTGGCAGCTGATGTTTCATGGCAACACAAATCAGACCTTGTGCAGTTTAAATCTAAACATCGTGTAATTTGAGATTGGAGTTTGTGCATTAAAAAGCAATACCAAAGTGACATAAAGTAACTAAAGTGACTTTCAAATACGTCATGGCAGCAGAAAAAGAAACCACAGATCGAGGGGAGCCAAGGGAGGTTTCAGACAGTAACGGTGAAATATTTCTTAACCGAGAACTAAATTAACAACCGGAACAGGTTAACAGCGTTTCCTGGTCTCAATAGTAAAAGCTATTGAGACCAGGAGAAGCTGAACTCATTTAAAAACAGCTTGACGGTGTACTAGGAGGAGGGTACAGTAAATATTCTGGAAGGATCAGATCAAAAGGGCCGAAAAGACTTCTTCATCTGAACCCAACTTGTCCGAACTTGTGTGTGATATAATAAAACTAAATTAGGCACAACATAGAAACGACTTGGATGAAGGAGGCGTTTCAGACCATTTTATCTGATCGTTGCAGAATACCATCGCTGTTGTCTTCCCATTACTGCATCCAACTGTTTCTCAAATGAGCCCATGTTCTGGCCTTAATCACCCTTTCTGCTAACCATTTCCAGCTGAACATTTTCTGTATAAAATGATTCACAACCCTTCATAATTCTGCTGCATTCATGTATCTGAAAGTATAATTCTAGTTTTACTTTTGCTATCCCATTTCAGATACATTCATCTTATACACCTCTGCAATGGTCCCCTCTGAGACACATTCTATCGAGCCTAAAATGCCCTATATATTAGGTCACCAGGTTTGCTCCAGTACTGAATGTGATCATGCACTGAATGCCAAGTGTAATCTTGAAGGGATGTTCCACAATGGAAGGCTTGATGTAAATTGGGTTTGAGACATCTGACTGGGACATGTTTCACCTTTAGGCTCTGGCTCTCAAGATCACTTTAAGGACATGGTTTTGCCAAGTGATCAATTCACATGGGTGCAGTATAAACATGTGGGGTGGGGGGGGGGGGCAGAGAGGAGGGTTGGAGCTTGTAAGGGGAACATCAATAATGACCCCTTACAATTTTATGGGGCAGAGTTCTCCCGCTCCAATTCAATAACATAAGATTGTGGAGTCCTGTAGCTCAGTGGTTAGAGCACTCGCTTTGCAAGCGAGAGACCTGAGTTCAATTCCAGGCAAAGGGTGAAACCTTGGGCAAGTTTCCTTACTCCACACACCTAATAATAATCCCTCCAAAACCAAAAACAATAATAAATTGGTCATTTTCAATCTACGACTGTTTGTGGGACATTGCTGTGCGCAATTGGCTGCCGCGTTCGCCCACAAATATACAGTCAATTCACTTTACAGTGTGTTCTGTGAAGCGCTTTGGGACGTCCTCCCGATGTGAAAAGCGCTATATCAAATGCAAGGATTATTATTATTATTATTATTATTATTTCTCCCTCTGATCAAAATGCTTTGTACATTTAACAGGTTTCTGAAGGAAAAATATGTTCTGGACTAAAGCAATAGGAAAAATTACTGCAGCCACATGACCATACTTGGTCTGCTATGGATCGGGTTCCTGAGAGAACAGGGGGACCTGAGTAATTGAGGCATTGAGGGCATCTAGAATGTCTATTGAAACCAAGAGGATCAAACACCCTGGGGTTTTATGTTAGTGGATGTTGTCTATCTGTGTTAGGGAAGCTGGAGACCCCCTCTCCCCCCCTTACAACAAACTGCTTTGTAAACCAACTCTGTCTCCGTGCATTCAGTGCCTGGCTCTGTCCGCAGCTTACAGTACTGAGAAGTCTACAGAGAACAGCTTACAGTTCATAAACCCAGTGCTGGAGCACACCTGGACATCAGTGCTCATCCAGAACGAGTTAACAGGATGAAAAGTGCAGACGAATGAAATGCAATTGTCTGTCTCTTCACAGAATGTAAACTAACCCAACACTAATTCAATTGTAAATTGAATGCTACATGATTTCTTCTACCCTCTCCTCCTGCATCCCCGGAAGATGTTCATCAACTTGCCAACAAATATTTGTGTGTACTTAAGCTTGTCTCTAATGTACTTTGAATGGCCACTGTGAAATGCGAAGGTTAACTTAGATACAGGATGTTTGTCTAAGCTTCATGTTATTTTCTGTTGGTCAACTGATAGCCTTAAAATTTTTTGTGTGGTGTGGTCTATGCCACTTACTGACAAGCCAGAAGCCTACATTTCTCATGGTTTCTGCCTTAAAATATAAGATTATACAGGACTTGGGAAAATTTTTAAAGCTGGTTTTAATTCGGAAGCAGTTCTTTTCAAGGAATGTGGAAAAACAGCTTTCAAATTAAGAATGAATTCAAGAATTTTTCAAACCTCTGTGCAACCTCCAGCCATAAGAATGTTTGGTTTGATCTTATTGTTAAAAGATCAGCAGTCTCAAGACAGATAACCATTTAACCTTTTCAGACTGGTTTATTTTCTATTATCTACTATAAATGATAATCCTTGCTTTATGTATAGCGCTTTATCATGTCATTGAAACATCTAAACTTGGGTCACAAGATTTTAGTGTACTGTAGTAACTATTTTTGACTATTTGTGCACAGCGATGTCCAACAAGCAGCCATGAGCAATTTTATCTGAGGGATTATTGAAACTCTTCTCTTTTCGAATAGTGCCATGGGATATTAAACATCCTTTTGAACAGTTGGGTGGAACCTTGACTTAGTGCACTTTGTCATTCCAAAGGATGATATCATTGCCTCAGTACTGCACTGGAGTGTCAGCCTAGACTATGAACTCAAAGTCCTGATGTGGGGCTTGAACCCACAACATTCTGACTCAGAGATGAGAATTCATACAATATGTTCTGAATGATGGATTATGTTTTGCAGCCTCTGCACAAGGATCAGGTATTTAAATGGAACTGTATAATAAGAAACATGTACCCATTCTGCGGGTTCTCGAACCAGAATCGGTCTCCGTCTCGTATCCGCTCAAACTGGTCGATCGTAATCTTAGTGAAGAGCTCTCCAGGTGCACCGTTGGTCTCTAGTAATCCTCCAGGCCATGTCTCTAGTTTGTCGGGGTTTTTTCCATATTGCCGTTGCAATGACTCAAAGATCTGAGGTGCAGGGTAAAATGTAAGTTCTTCATTTGTATTTATGTTCAGGTAATAAAAACTGTGTCAATGAGCGCTTTGATAGAGTGTGACATAGAGGAGGAATAAGAGAATTACATTTTAAGACGATGATCTGAAAATTGAGAAATTTCAGGGCTCAGAGGTCTAAAACGTACTGAGGCTGAAGGTAAGTTTTGAGCTGCTTTGTTCAGCTAGGAACACACTAAGCCATAATGGTTTAGCCAGTTAAATCTCAGCACTGACAGCCATATGGGGGAGAGCTTTGATTTCTGCCAACCTGTGCTTGTATTCTCTGGGAAAAGGCAAGTAGGTTTGCCCCCACTAGGGGGAGATTGCATACCTAAAACTGGGAAATGGAAAATCTGTAAGTTCTTGGCAGTGAGGGATTTCTGTGTGCGTCAGATTCGCAGCAGTATAACAAAGACTTCTAGTTCATTTGGTACTCAAGGGCTCGTAAACAAAAAGCTCTCTTCTCATTGAAAGTTCTGTTTGGGTGCAGATTTGCCAACGGCATGAAATGTGGATGCCTTTCCTACTTAAAACTCAGACATATGATGTATGACACAACTTTCTATTAATATGTTAGTGCAAAGGAGTGAAGTAAAACTACAACAACAACAAAATGACATTTGTATAGTGCCTTTCACGTTGGGAGGACGTGATTTATCCTTCCTTGGTGCAATCTATTGGAAATGACAAGTTTAATTTCCTTGACAATATTCATGCAATAATACTAACCTCGGGGTGTTCAGCAGCAAGTGAAGGGTTAATTTCACTCCAATTTTTCACTGGAGGAAGTTGAAAAGCTTGTCTCATGGCGTTAAATGTTGGAAGTCCATTATCCCGTCCGTGCTGGATGGTGAGAGCGACCAAGTCAGATCGAGAAAATTTCAAAGGTCCATAGAGGTAATCTGAATCCAACAAGGCAAGTTGTCAATACATCACATTGCCAAATCAACATTGTAGCTACAACCCATCAACATTGCAATCCTAGTACTTGATATAATTCCAAGAACAGTGAGCATTCTTCAATCCTTCAAATGTAATTGCTGTCAAGTGTAGTGATTGTGTATTATGTAGGTGAACATGGTAGCTGATTTGTGCATAGAAAGGTTCCATAAACAACCTTAAAGTGACTGGCCAATTCTATCTGGAGGATTTTTAGCCAGGACACGGGGAGAAACTCCCTTTGGAATGAAAATTCAGCATTCATGAACTGGAAGTCATGCTTCGTGACTAATTCTCTTCCGAATTTGTTTAAAAAGACACAAAAAACACAAGTTGGAATTTTAGTCTTTTTGGTTTGATTTGGGGCCATTTCTAAATGCATAGTGTACACTTGTCAGACCACTTTCCCAACTCACAGTGTACAATGAGAAGCACTGGTAAATGAAGCATAATAATCATCAACGGCTTGTTGACAAGCCCCAGATGTCTGTGCTGGTGGAAAATGTGTTTGCTCAGTGAGTGGGGGTTGGTTTGTCCTGGTGATCAATGTGTATGATGAGGAGATGAGCAAGTTATGGAGTTGCTATTGTAAGAGTTAATTCCATTTCACTACTTGGTCCAATACAAGATTCTTCTACCTCTAAGGTCTTCCACTACAATGTTGTCTTCTTTCTCAGCTATCTGGGATGCCATACCAAATATAAGTTCATCAATAACAGCTTCTGATGGTAGTTCTGGCTTCTGAAAAACCGACAATTAACACAGAACTCTGTGGGTGAATTAATCCGAAACATTACAGGCAAAAACACAATCTTTGCAAACAGGATTCCTTCTGTCAACTAGAACTTGGTGCTTATGAATATCAGATTACAATATTCATGGCCAGCAAACTGTGAATCTCAAATTGACAATATGGCAGCAAGCAAAATGCCAGCTTTTTCAGAATTGTCAGCTTGGGATTCTTGAATTGCAGCCCACGGATTTTGCAAGCCACAAGCTACAATTGATTCAATAAATCTAGAGTATAAACGTTGGGTTTTACAACCCATGATCAGACTTTAACCAACTCCATCAACACAAGTCCTGTAACTCAGTGGTTAGAGCACTCGCCTCACAAGTGAGACACCTGGGTTTGATTTCCGGCAGGGCAAAATGTTGGGCAAGTTTCCTAACTCCACACCCCTCTGTTTACCTAGCAGTCAATAGCAACCCGGTTGTTAGTCGATGGATCGCTTTTCTGGGAATAATAGTTCCTTCAAAAAATAATAACAAATCGGTCACTCAATACACAACTCTTTGTGGGTCACTGCTGTACACAATTGGCTGCCTGTTCACCCACAAAATACACAGTCAATTCACTTTACAGTGTATTCTGGGAAGCGCTTTGAGACGCCTTGAAGAGGTGATAAGGCGTTATATGAAATGCAAGGATTATTATTATTATTATCAACAGAAGTTACTTTGAAAGCATTGCAATGAAAAATCTAAAGTGTTCCACCAAATTGAAACTGTTCATTCTCACCGTAAGTTACCAGGAAACGATCGTTGAGGCCAGGACACTGGACTCATTTAAAAAAACGTCTTGAGAAGGATGAGTAAAAAACAGAGTAACAATAGGATTTACAATGAGTAAATCCTGTCGGTGACCAGATATGTATCCTGCTGGAAGTCTAGTTAATGTGATCTCCTTGCTGGTTTATCGGGCCAGATTGCTTGCTGATTGCAAAGATGTGTAGATTTGGAAATATTTTGCTCATCTCGCATTTCAAACCCAGAATGTGGGAAATGAAAATCTTGCACTGCCATGTCACAGAATTCTAATCATTTGTACGCATACCTCTTCATAAGAAATACTTTTAAAATTGTGGCAATTTTAACTCTTTACCTGTCTCTTCCAGTAGTTGTTGCATACCCTAAGTGCTAGAGTTTTACTTTTGTTGGGACCCATGTTGTTTCGGAATGAACATGTCTTGTTCCTGGAGTGAGGAAAAGCAAGGCACTCAAGTATGTTCAACATTAAGCTGAAATTCAGATGTCAGAAACACTTTTAACTTACTCAGTACCCACTTCAGAAGCTCAAATTTCTCATGGTCATAGCCAGAAGATCATTATCTTAAAAGATAAGATTGTGCAGAACTTTGCAAAAATGTTAAAGTCAGCCTTGACATGGGAGCATTAAGTCCACAATTCTAAAAATACAGTTTTCCAAGTGAAGACTGAATTGAACAATTTAAAAAATTCTGCACAGTTTTAAATTTTGAAACAATGGCCTTGAGGATGAGACTGTGAGAAATTACAGCACATTGCAATTCAGGACTCTTTGATCATTGGTGCAATCTCAAGGACAGAACCATTTGATGCCTAACACTCATTTGCACAAAGGAGAGGCGATATTGTCAGCAGGGAAGATAAGAACGCATGGAATTCGAAGAGGCAACAGTCATGAGACCTATGAGGCCCATTTCTTCCACACAGCTTCAGTACGGCATTCAAACAAATGGGACAACACTTGCATAAGCCTATTAACCCAGCCATGTCCCTCTGACATTGCACAGGTTGGATTCTTGCAAAACCTTTGCTTGGTATTGGACTGCTCTAGTTTCTGGAGAACGAGGTGGATTACCACTGCTTTGGCCAGAAAATATACTAGATCTTCACGATTGTGAGTTTAAGACAAATATACAGGAATAATTCTTTACATAGAGGGTAATCAAGAGCTGGAACAGGGTTATCAGGAAGTATAATTGAGACCAGGATAATGGATGCATTATTTTAGAATCAAATGGACCAAAGGGGCTTATTCATTTGAAGTTTGCTTGTGATCCCCCTTCTCCAGATTGGTTCTGTTCAAGATTTAGTATTGCCCAGTGATTGAGACCATCCTCACCACATCAAACACTGACATCAATACCCCCAGAATCAACCATAAAACTTTAACCACATGTTCTAATAACATGTTAATGTTGGATCCATCAATCCTAGATTACAAAATAAGGGAGAATGTATTTCAACAAAGTAACTTCGTCTCAATATTTGGCTTTTCATGACATCAATCTGTTAACATGAAAGACACTAAAGTAAACCTCACATACGTCATATCAGTTGGAACCATACATTTAATTTGACTTATGTAAATATGAGTATGAGCTATGTCAAACTTGCATAGAATATAAACTCTTGAATGGGATTTGGGCAGATGTACGATTTATACACATCAGACTTATGCAAGTTTTACTATATACAAATGTAATTTGTTGCTGTTGTTGTCAATCTGGTTAACGCTCAAACTTTTAGTTACCCACTAACATACTAGTGGTTGTTTTGGTTCCTGTTACCTCATGTAGACTCCTGGTGGAACCATTGTAGCACCAAACCTCATTGCCGCAGCCTGAAACCCTGGTGAGATGCCAGGGTCCACAAACTTCTTGTATCCTGTGAATCCCAGGAAAGAAATTTGAACAGTTCTGAATTTCATACTCGTGAATCAGATAAAATATTCAGTAATTAAAAATAACTATTTTGTTACCATTATAATTAGATACATTTGTTCCCAGGTATGCGGGCAACCACTCGTATAATGCAATGTTCTGAAGAGAAAAAAGAATTACAGGAATTACAGCACAGAAAGACTCATTCCGTCCATCAAACTCAAGATGATGCTAACTCTTCCACCATTGAATGTAACTATAATTCCATGATGTTTCCCTTTACCCTTTTACAATAAAACTCTATTATAATGTGCTTCACTATCACATGAATTTGCTTATAATGTGGTTGCATATACACCCCATTCCTTGCGCATGCACACAGCTATCTTTCCATGCTGAAATGGCTTACTTCCAATGGTTGTCAACTTTACTTCCTGCTATAAGCACGTACAGAAAATAGGAAATGACATTTTGGTGATCTGCTGACTGGGAAGTCAGACATTTTTGTTCTTTTAGCATGGAGAATTAGCATTAAAACAAAATCTGATCCAGATCTCCTTTAATGGAACCAGCAGTAGAAATTCAGGGATTTCTACAAGCACATAACCTTACAAAAGTAAGGGGCCACATCTGATGTGTTAATATCACTATGATTATCACATTAATGATAAATGTGATTACTGAGGTTAGTGGATCTCGTTGCCCCTCCCCCACCCCTATTCTATCAGAAGAGTTGGACCTGAAGTTGGCAATGATGGCAATTGAATTTTGCTCTTCTTGTCAATGAACTGCATTTAATGATATGATGACTCCCAGATCACGTGTTGCAATTTTTTACCCTTGTATTTTCCCTTATTTGTGCTGATTCCATACAGCAATTTACCTGTAATGTTGCAATCACCCTCTTCCTGGCATTCTGGAACAAATCTTCATCTGACCAGGTGGGCTGCTTTTCTTTCAGCTTCGCAGCCAAGTGATTGTGGTACCGGAACCAGATAATGTTCACAGCCATAATGAAAGGATTTTCGTTCGCCCTTGTATTTCCGAAATCTGTCACATAATTTTAAATTTCTGATTTACAAATGATATTTGCAGGAAGCCAACTGGAATGCATTACGTTACAAGAGAATACGTGCGATAAAATCAGTGGCAAAACAACCTATCAAACCGCGATCTCTCACCTCCCACCAACACGTGAACACATGTAATATTTACTAGTGAGTTCTAGCACAACTGGAACCTATTTAGTTTGCTTGGCTGGAGAAACCATGAATATCTAAAGGTGTCAGAGGCTGCAAATGACTGTGTATGCCCTTCGGCATTTATCCATTCTAAATTCCAGCTCAAATTATGGAAATACTATGAACTAGTAAATGTTCTGGCCACTTTCTCACTTCCTCCCATTTGAGTTGTGCTTGGCTTCTTGCATTTTATTGCAAAATGATGTTCAAATCAACACATTTCCCAGTCCCACTTAGCAATAGTTGTCTCAAAAACAATATCCTCCAGTGATTGACTTTCCTCCTTCAAGGCCGGTCTCAAGACCTTTCTCTTTGACCGTGCCTTCAGCTCCCCTCTCAACTCTCTACCCTCTCCTCACCCCCTCCCTTCCCTCCCCTCACCCTGACCATTTCCCCCCCTCCTCGCTCCCTCCCTTCCCTCCCCTCAGCCTGACCATTTCCCCCCTGTTCGGGTCCTGACTCAACTGTCCAGCGCTTTGGGACGTCCTCCCGACGTGAAAGGCGCTCTATAAATGGAATCTTGTTGTTGTTGTTAAAATAATCCACTGGTTGTTTCATTAACAAACAAGCTACGAAGCATTTATACACTTGCCATAAAATCCTTGCAGCCCAGTGTCACCGGTTGATGGGTCAGGGTGGTTCCACATGGGCAACTTCCCTGTACTTGGCTTGGGCAGTAATGGCTTGGAACCAGAGGCCAGCTTCCCATCAGAGAAGCTTCGCAATTCGTCGCACCATGAGTGGGAAGACCCATAAATAGAGCTTCCATCGATCCATGCGGTTACCTGATTCATCTGCAATAAGGCAATGAACACATGCTCGATCAGTTCACAAGGAGTGATTTACACCCCCCCCCCCCCACACACACACACACACACTCTATTCTCGCCTACATGATTTCTGCTTATGGGAATGAAGGTGGGCTTCTTTTTGTTTTACACAAGTTAATGCCAAAATTCTTGACTTTTGACTTTCCGTTCCCGAAGACTTGAGGCTCCCCCTCTCAAATTGTAAAACATTTCTATTTCTTCAGTCTTTTCTTGAATACACGTCAGAGCACCTCTGACGTGTATTTAAAAAAGGGTTGTGAAATTGGGTTGGGATAATAACCTATCCTTTAGAACCCAAACTATTGTTCTGTTGTAAATGAACATTTGTATTATATTCTGCTTAGATTGTTGTCCCTTTGACCTCTGCTCAGCATGCTCCGGATTGCTTCATGTCCCCTGCCCGGCCTGCCCCACCATCGACAGTCTGCTCCCACCCTTTGCAACTCCATCCCAGTCCTTTTGCCTTGCTCTTTCCCTTGCCTCAGTCAAGGTCCATCTCAAGATCCTTCTCTTTGACCACATCTTCGGTCACTTTCCTATGCTTACTCTCCCTGTCTTCCATCCCTTCTGATCCCAATCCCTAGCTCAGGTCCAAATCCCTCACTGCCCAGCGCCTTGGGATGTGCTCCCGGTGTGAAAGGCACTTTTAGATGTAATTGGTTGTTGTTGTTGTGTTACCTGTATCCTTGGGTTGTTTGGACTGCGCCCTGAGTTTCTATCCCATGCACTTCGTTGAAATAAAAGTCTCACATTGCCATTTCGATTAGGATCAAATATTGGATCACCAGGAGGAATCGGAACATCAAAGAACTCAGGAGGGCACCCAGGTTTCCTGTCATCCACAATCTCAAACATTACATGATATCCTATGGAAGTTTGAAATAAGGGAAGAAAAAGTAGAAACGTAATCTTTGAAATATAAAAAATATTTTTGTGTTGATCATGAAATTGAAATGTCTCAAAGTTGTTCATGTGGTTTATCTGATGCATAGCAATGGTTATATAGGTAAACATAGCAGCCAATCTGCACTAACAACAAACAGCAGTGAATTGAATGACAAGTTAAATAGTTTCTTTGGTGAAGGGAGTAGACTGAAGTCCATGGTAGGGTAGGATTGGCATGGGTACCATGGAAGGTTAGATCGACCAAGTTACCTCCCTCGGATGTCCTCCCGACGTGAAAGGCGCTATACAAATGTAATCTTGTTGTTGTTGTTGTTGCCTCCTTCCTTTGTTTCTTATGTTCTTAGAAATATAATTGCTTTAAGATACGACTTTTATGATCTTGTAAGTTTTGTCAGGTTGGTTCAGTATATAAAAATATCACCCCTGAATTTGAAGGTTGGGACTTGAAATTCCTATAGTCTAGGCTGACACTCCGATGCAGTGTTGGAAGGGCGATCCTTTGATGAGACGTTAAACCAAGGTCCTGTGTAACTGCTCAGGTGGATGTTAATGATCCCATAGTACTATTCGAAAAGAAAAGGAAGTTTCTTTCCCCACCCCAGCCCATCCCCGTGTGCTTGCCAACAATCCCTAAATAACGTTACTAATTCACTTCCTGGATAATGTTCTATGCAAATTAGCTACCACAGTTGCCCACAAAATACACAGTGACTAAACTTTACACTGTATCCCATGAAACCGTTTGAAAAATCTTTCTGATGTGAAAAGCCCCACATCAAATACAAGTATTGTTATTTATTGTATTGTATTGTATTTATTGTTTCAGCAAAGTAGGTCATGGGTTGTGCAAACAGTAGCTTTACAAATTATTATTTGCCTGGAACAAAAAAAGCTTTCCTGAATGTTTTCCATTTGCTCAGATTCATTCCAAGAACAGTTCCATGGATAAAAAACAATGAATACCAAGATCTATAACAGGAATTAGAAAACTTAAGAACGATGGATGGCAAGGAAAGGCATTACTCACACTGAGGAGTTCAAATAAACATTATAAAATAACATTAGCTACATGATGCACAAAGCTACTTTGATGATATCTTAACTCTCCAATGTGAACCACAGGGCCGCATATAGAATTACAATTATATAATAATAATAATAATCCTTGCATTTGATATAGCGCTTTTCACGTCAGGAGGACGTCCCAAAGCGCTTCACAGAACACACTGTAAAGTGAATTGACTGTATATTTGTGGGCGAACGCGGCAGCCAATTGCGCACAGCAATGTCCCACAAACAGTCGTAGATTGAAAATGACCAATTTATTATTGTTTTGAGTTTTGGAGGGATTATTATTAGGCGTGTGGAGTAAGGAAATTTGCCCAAGGTTTCGCCCTGCCTGGAATTGAACTCAGGTCTCTCACTTGCAAAGCGAGTGCTCTAACCACTGAGCTACAGGACAATTATCATGTCCACAATCCTCGCATTTGATATAGCGCTTTTCACGTCGGGAGGACGTCCCAAAGCGCTTCACAGAACACACTGTAAAGTGAATTGACTGTATATTTGTGGGCGAACGCGGCAGCCAATTGCGCACAGCAATGTCCCACAAACAGTCGGAGATTGAAAAATGACCAATTTAATTATTGTTTTTGGTTTTTTGGAGGGATTATTATTAGGCGTGTGGAGTAAGGAAACTTGCCCAAGGTTTCGCCCTGCCTGGAATTGAACTCAGGTCTCTCGCTTGCAAAGCAAGTGCTCTAACCACTGAGCTACAGGACTCCAAGTTACATCATAAAGAAAGCAATATTTTTTCAAGAGATTGAGAAACAGATAAAGGATATTAACCAGCAAGATATGTAAGTCTGAAATTCCACCTAGTCTCAACTTGTAAGACCAACTTCTTAAATTCTGGCTTAATTTGGCAACTGGTTCTCAGAGGTACAGAAAACCAACACCCAAGTTAAGACTAAAATTTTTCACCGTCCTGCATGATTTTAAATGTTTTACAGGCTAAGAATAGTTTGGTATCCTGGGATGCAGACTGGCTGAAAGCTCAGCTGGTGGGGCAGAGAGGACGGGGACAAGAGGGAGGCCAGAGCCAGCTGGATGAGGACAATAAATCCAGCAAAGGAATAAACAAACATTTTTTTCCACAATGCTTACCAAAGAAAACACTCAACACTGTAGTGTTCCGCAGAGATGGTAATCCAGATGATCCATTTGATATTATATTGCTAATGTCTCTTGCGTTTGGTACATCTGGTTCCTGCACCGCTTGATAAACCCCGTCACCATATCTAGCCGGCATTAAGCGCATAAGAGGGCAACCTGCAAATAACATTGAAAAGGCTTGTGACTTTTAATCGATTGACACAGAAAATAGACTGCAATTATTTACAGTATTTTTTTAATGATAGGAATCCTGTTAGAATTCCCATCATCTGATCGAACTCCATAACTGGAAGCACATTGGGTCGGAGTGGAGATCCTGTGGGCTGATTACCACAAGGAGTGGTAAGGTAGATTTCTTAGTAAGGAATCCTGTTTAGAAATATTACAAATAAATTCCCAGATTTAATACAACATGTAGTGATTGGATCCAATTGATAAGATCAATTGTAACTTTGCTTGGTTACAAGTGTTGGTCCAGTGCAACTTTAACTTTATACAGCGAAGTTGTTTGATGGGTTGAAATGCATTTATGGATTGTAATTCGGTTGAGTCATCAGACTACACAATTTTTTTATGAAATGGGAAGAATTGCGCTGATGGGTAGGGGAAAATACACAAGTTCAATTATAATTTTTATAACCTGTTTCAACTACAAAAGACGCAGGCACAGGTTAAACACACAACAAGTAGATTTCTGGAAACTGCTGCAAATTTCCGAGCGTAGAAGAATGGAATTTTGGATTGGCTTTGTACAAAAAAAGGGAAGATTATAACTTGGAACACAATAACATAAGTAATGGAAGATGCAACTTATTTAGGTGAAACTCAACTTTAATGTTGGTTTCTCTGAAACTAACATCTTGTCAAAATACTTTAAGGTGAAGGATATATGAATATAAAGGTAAAGGGAAATGTCATTTCAAGCTTTGTTGATTAATTGAAAACTGAAAAATAACAAAACAATCTATTTACCTGCTGATCCACGATTATGAAATGCGAGATTATTGTACCATCCATCATACCGCTGTACCTCCCAATTAATATTGTTTTGAGCAACTAGGTGGAAAAAGATATTCCATCAAACAAGGGCAAATACCCGAAAAGCTTATTTTAATAATGTGCATTAAAACGTTGAAAGTGCAAAAGATGGCATACATTGGATTATGCAAAACAAGCCACTTAGATGGCCCAACTCCAAATTTTTTTACAAAGGTGATTGTAGAAATTAATGTTTGTGGGACACTGCTGTGCAGAAATGGTAGCCCACAAAATATATAGTCAATTCACTTTACAATATATTCTGCGAAGCACTTTCAGACGTGTTGAAGACGTAATAAGATGCTATATCAAATGCAAGGACTCTTCTCCTTCATTTTATTATTATTATTATATTTGATAATTCACAAGTTAAAGATTTCTCATCTTTTCAATTCTCGAGAGTAAGAATGAAATTTTCTGCAGAATGTATTGTAGCTGATGCTTTGCTGTAGACGTCAGGTTAGGCTTCAGCTGCGATGTGTCGTTTCCTTCTCCACCTCCCCCACCCCATTCACTGTCAAGGCTCACGCATGAATAATGATTGCTGGTCAAGGTACAAGAGGATGCCCAGCACCTGTGGAAACTATATCTCAAGAAGGTTCAAGGAGTCAAATGCCTCAAGGAAGGGAGCAAACTGGGGGAAATAAATAAACCTAAAACAGTCCCCATTGGAACAAACCTCCAGCTACTGCAGTAAAAGTAGCACACCACAGCCCAGAGGATGTATTTGGGGGCTGGGAACTTAATACTGGTTAAAGGGGCTAATCTTAAAGTTAATAAAAATGTAACTTGCTCTCTAATAGCATTAAAACATAGGGAAATGGGATTAGACAGTTCCTGAATGAAGCAAGTACGATCGTGTCTATTTGTTGTTGATGATGAGCCAAAAAGCTTTATGTCAACACTATTGTGGTGCCATACATTGGGGCCATCAATATTACTTGGCTAATGTTAGATCAAGATAGTGTGTGTATCTACGTCTGGTTATTAGAAGTATTATGTCATCACTATTTGATACTACAACAACAACAAGATTTCATTTATAGAGCGCCTTTCACGTCAGGAGGACGTCCCAAGGTGCTGGATAGTTGGGACAGGACCCGAGCACGGAGGAAATGGTCAGGGTGAGGGGAGGGAAGGGAGGGAGCGAGGAGCAAGGACACTAGCTACCTCTTCACTAAGGTATACAGTATTGGTGCACAAGATAGGCTTGTTATTTACCCTTTGATCCACTTGCCCTTACAAAGAGCTACTGGATGCTATCTCACTATCCTACTGCTATTTTGTGTATTGGAATTCCTGTTATAAAATTTTGTGCAGAACATTTGTGTAAAATCGTGGGATGAATTTAATCCTTTTATTGAATGCAACGTTATGAACCATTATTACTATTAACCAATGCAAAAATATGTCATCCGGATGTATTTTATTCTGGAAATATTGCAATATAAAGGTACGTTGCTCAAATTATGGTACCACTCCTCACATACACATACTTAGACACACACACTATCTTGGATGAGGAAATCACAATTTGTATCAGTGAAAATGGTAACAAGCTTATTTAAAAAGATATATAGTTAAAATAAAATTTACAATTAAAACAAAACATACACCCCATTTCTTTTCTCAATTCGACTTGAAATACGAAGATTTGATAGAAATGAAAATCTTGGTGAAAGTACTCACTGGTGAAGGGGAAGTGCAGGGCGATGCAAGCCCAGCCCACTGCAATCACTGCTTTCCACAACTCCCTCCGTGCCATTGCTGAAAATCTCCTTCACTTTGTTGATGGAGCTCTTGCGTACAGCTCGGCTCTGGTTAGAAAATCAGTTTCACTCAGTCAGTGAACCATACTCGACCTCATAAGAAAACACCATACATTCCTGAGTCTAGAACAACATGTTTAAAACGGCAATAATGGGCAGGGAACGTGATTCACTCACACTGAGCTTAGTTACCCAGTGTGATGAGCTGCAATAGCACCGATTGTCGATTACTTTGACATTTCGCCCACAATATATACAGTCAATCCACTTGGGAGTATATTCTGTGAAGTGCTTTGAGCCATCTCAATGACATAATAAGACGCTGTATCAAATGCAAGGATTATTATTATTAAATTCAGTCTCAGTCCAATAATTGCTGCAGATGTTTCTTACGAACATGGACATGGGAGGTTGTTAGAAAATAATTCTGACAATAAAAATGAATTTGGGGATAACCTTTGGGATAAATCACATTGTTGTATTCCGTTTTTTCTTGCCTGCACGGTCAATGAGAGAGAAAATAGTCAGTGGTTTGAAAGGCAACCCAAATGGAAAAAAAAAAGTTTCAAAGGGTGGGAGTGTTTTGGGAGGGGCACACATCAAATACTTGATTTGATAAATCATTTCCTATCCTGTATGATTCCAGTGACAAAATTGCTATCGCTATTATTAGCGATATTATTATTATTATAAAGCAGCCTAACCACCTTTGTAAGCGCTCTGGGATGCCGTCCGACATCCAGCATAAAGGACGCTATACGAATGCAAGTTGTTGTTGCTGTTGTTGTTTTTCAAGCGCTCTGAGACGCTACCCTGCCTGGCGGGTGCTATGTAAGGGCAAGTTGTTGTTGTAATCTTAGAACAGGAAGAATAATTTTAATAATTTGCAATATTTCCATAAATTTGAAACGAAACATGAAGGAGAGAAATCACTGGCGCCTGTCGTCTTTTATAACAGATCACCTTGGGGGAGAAGTGGGTGGGGTGGTGGGGGGGAAGGAGTGGAGTGGGGGGTGGAGAGGGGGGGGGGAGGGTCTAAAATTGTGTTTATTTCACTGTGCATTGAATTAACGGAACCCACACAAAAAAAAAGAGAAGCCTCGGATCCCGATTGCTGATTGTGTTAAACCCCCCCCACCCCCCCAAAAAAGACACCAACACCACAACCCCAAAACATAGTTTTTTTTTCTGTTAAAGAGAGAGAAAAAAAGAAGGCAAGAAAGAGAACACACAAACACACACGCACACACAATAAAAAAAATGGAAAGAGCACATGAGAAAAGGAAGAAAGAAAGAGAGAGAGAGAGATAGAGAGAGGGGTAGGAGTGGGGTGGAGTGTGTGTGTGTGTGGGGGGGGTGATGCCAGGCAAGAGAGAGAGAAAAAAAGAGGACTTTAAGTTCCTCTTTTAAGTGCGGGTTAAACACAAGCGGAATCCTTTAGAGCACTCGCTTTGCAAGTGAGAGACCTGAGTTCAATTCCAGGCAGAGGGCGAAACCTTGGGCAAGTTTCCTTACTCCACGCAGAGCCTAATAATAATCCCTCCAAAACCCAAAACAATAGTAAATTGGGTCATTTTCAATCTACGACTGTTTGTGGGACATTGCTGTGCGCAATTGGCTGCCGCGTTCGCCCACAAATATACAGTCAATTCACTTTACAGTGTGTTCTGTGAAGCGCTTTGGGACGTCCTCCCGACGTGAAAAGCGCTATATCAAATGCAAGGATTATTATTATTATTATTATTATTATTATTATTATTATTATTATTATTATTATTATTAAGCGCTTGTGCTGTTTGACAGGTGATGAGCCGGACTTGGGCAAAGCAGGAGCTTGAGAGCGAAGTCGCCTCCCGTTTCCCATGGCGATTGCAGGAGACCGTGGCGGGGCAGTGCAGCCGGGAACCGGGGGGGCAACCGAGCTATGTGATGGGGCTCCTGACATGGAGGAATTCACCTGCCCTTCCCCTTTCCCGGTGCAAACCAAACCAAACCACACCACCGACCGACCGCAGCAGCAGCAGCAGCGCCGCTCCGCCGCTCGGGAATCCGCGGACCTCTCCTGAGCAGTAAGGCGTCTTATCCGTTGAGAAGCGTTTTGGGGGCATTGCGTTTTAGACTCATTTTCCGAGCATTTGCACCTTTTTTTGTGTGTGTGTGTGTGTGTGTGGGTGTGTGTGTGGGTGGGGGTGTGGGTGGGGGTGTGGGTGGGGAGGGGAGGGGTGGGGAGGGGGGTGGGGTGGTGGGGGAAGTATTTGAACCCGAAAATATTTTGCTGGGATTTATAGGTTGAATGTGATTCCAACCCCCCACACCCCCCACCCCCCACTATTTTTTTCCTTAAGATAATGTTATGCCTTCCACTGCAGATTTTTTTTTAAATGTAGCCAAGAATTATTATGCCCCCAAACTCCCTCCCTCCCTCCCTCCCCCCTACTCCTTACCCCCTCTTCCCCCATTCAAATCCTCATGACATTTGGTGAGCGAAGGTTGCAAAATACCCACGACTGTCACACTCCTGCAATCCCCCCCCCCCCCCCCCCCACCCCCACCCCCACCTTTACGAATTCCTGCGTATTATAGAGATCTGAACGTATTTGCGGATTCCTTGGAATGAACCTTTAAACTGCTCTCCACTCAGAGATGGGTTCCTCAGAATAATCAGAGATCACTTCTGCTTTAAATCCATCCAACGAGCCGATCAGGACCTTTTAATTCAACACTTGGCTAAACCCCCGCTCTGTTAGATCTCTCTCTCTCTATATATATATATATTAAAAAAAGGACATGAAATGATTATTTTAACCTGTGCAAAGTCACTCGCCCTGCCTTGCGCCCTGTTCTTGGAGAGCAGCGCCTCCTGTCGGTGGAGCCGGGCCTGGACAGCGCACAGGTAAGCGACACCCCCACCCCCCACCCCCCCCCCCTCACCACCACCACCCCCCACACCTGTAAAAATTTACCTGCGGAATAACGTCGCCCAAACCCGAAGCGCTACAGTGGCGGCTCCGGCTCAAGGCTCCGCGAGGTGCAGTCCAACAAACCAGAGGGTGTCTGTCTGTCTGTCTGTCTCAGGAGGGGAGTCGCTTTGGCTGTAAAGCTTCTCCCCCAGTTTGCTCCTGAGCTCAGAGTTCTCTCGGCAGCTCCGATGGTCAGGTACTCACTGCAAGTCTCAGGCGCAGGAGGTAGTCAGTGGATGACTGGACTCCACCGTCCGGTAGCTATCACTCCGTGGGGGAGAAAGATAACGGTCCCCCCCTGTACCTCCCCTCCCTGTACTCCCTGTACTCCCTGTACTCTCGCACATCACCGCACAGTGAAACACCTGTGACTTAGCACTCACAGAGAGAGAGAGAGAGACAGGAACACCGTCCATGTACTGTAATCGTGCAATAAGTGGCATTTCCCTTAAGAAACATGTTCCACCCAGTTACACACACAGGGCGAGGTATAAAACGCCCTTACCCTCCAGCGCTTTGAAAGATGCTGTAGTGTATAATGAGGCATTTATTATTTTTTCTCTCTCTCTCTTTCTTTCCTTTTTCCTTTTAAACCAAGTTTGGAAACAGTAAAGTGCTTCCCCAACACCCACCTAAGTTTAGTCGTTAACATTAATGTACTCACAGTATACTTTGCACACATTTTGGAATTAGGTGGGAGGGGGTTTGGGGGGGGGGGGGGGGGGAGAATTTTAAAAAAAAGCAACAGATCGCCTGGATAGAAGTGCAATTTAGTTCCTGTCTTCTCCCCCCATCACCACCACCACCAAAACAAAAAACGAGGAAAGTTAAGTGAAAAAAGAATTATTCACAACTGAAACTCTCACAGAGAGAGAGAGAGAGAGAGAAAGACAAGAGATCTGTGCAGACAGCGTTCAGACTGCGACTTACCTGACTGTGCTGTTGGTGAGAGAGATGGGCAGACAGTCTGGGCGAAAAGGGGCGTCAAGGAGAAGGTGGGGAGACATTTGCATAATTTCCCGGAAGAAATGGGAACAGAAAAAAAGGGGAAAACTCCCCACATTCATTATGTAACTTACCAATATGTGGACCAGAGCCATAAAACCGCGGGTATAAATAGAGCGGACCAGATGCATCTCAACACTCTCAATATTGGAAGTAAGAGAAAGACATTCTCTTTGATTTTCTCTTATACCAACCTCACATTTCCCTCTTTTTTTTTAAAAAAAAAAAAATCCCGTCTCTCAGGTGAGTTTTAGTGCATTTTTTTCGTTCTTTTCGATTTTTCCTCTTTTTTTTCTTCTTTCTTGATGCCAAGAAAAGGTAAATGTTAGGTTTAATTACACCTCGTGTTGCCTGGGACAATTTGTCCCTGCACAGACCAGAGAAGGGGAGTCAGGTTGGCCAACCCATAAATGGTTTAATGTCTTGAAGTTCCACGTGAAGACCAGTTCTGTGTTGTTTTTAAAAGAATATTTTAATTTGTTTTTAAATGTAATTAATTGTTTTGTTGGATTAAGCGCTCTGGGACATTAACCTGCGTGAGGGACCCTACAGAAATGCAAATAAATGTATATAAATGCATGTTAGGTATTTTTTTAAAAAAAATATATATCCCCTTCACAGGAGAGTTTTTTTTTTTGGGGGGGGGGGGGGGGGGGATGAAGGGTTTATTTTCAGTGGTGATAACGTACTAAACTCTTTTTTTTTAAAAAAAAGATCACTGGTGGAATTGAATGTCTGGGAGTAAACAATGTTATTCTGATGCTTTTGCTCCAAGTTGTGTAACTCTGTCGAGGTGCAGGTGCACATGTTCCACACCGAGTCCAGGAAGGTGGTCACTAACACACACTCTCTCTCTCTATCTCTCTCTCTCTCTCTCTGTCTCCTTCCCCAGGGGTTTTGAGCATCGCCAACAGCCATGTCCTTCTTTGACGGGGTCCATCCCTTTTATCCTCACGCCAGGACAGCCTTCATCTTCCCCATCCATCAGCTCGTCATCATTCTCGTCTTCGTCGTGTTTGCGGTCACCTTTCTGGTTATCCTGCCGGGCATCCGTGGGAGAGGGGTGAGTGAGTGTGTGAGTGAGTGTGAGTGAGTGAGTGAGTGTGTGTGTGAGTGAGTGAGTGAGTGTGAGCGAGTGTGTGAGTGAGTGAGTGTGGGAGTGAGTGAGTGAGTGTGTGTGTGTGAGTGAGTGTGTGAGTGAGTGAGTAAGTGTGTGTGTGTGAGTGAGTTTGTGTGTGTGTGAGTGAGTGTGTGAGTGAGTGTGTGAGTGAGTGTGTGAGTGAGTGTGAGCGAGTGTGTGAGTGTGTGAGTGAGTGAGTGTGAGTGAGTGTGTGTGTGAGTGTCTGTGAGTGAGTGTGAGTGAGTGAGTGAGTGTGTGAATGAGTGAGTGTGTGTGTGTGTGAGTGTGTGAGTGAGTGAGTGAGTGTGTGTGAGTGAGTGTGTGTGTGAGTGTGTGTGAGTGTGTGAGTGTGAGTGAGTGTGTGTGAAGTGAGTGTGAGTGAGTGAGTGTGTGAGTGTGTGTGAGTGTATGAGTGAGTGAGTGTGTGTTTGTGTGTATGAGTGAGTGAGTGTGCGTGAGTGTGTGTGAGTGAGTGTGTGTGTGTGAGTGAGTGTGTGTGTGAGTGAGTGAGTGAGTGAGTGAGTGTGTGTGAGTGAGTGTGTGTGTGTGTGAGTGAGTGAGTGTGTGAGTGAGTGAGTGAGTGTGTGTGTGAGTGAGTGAGTGAGTGTGTGAGTGAGTGAGTGAGTGAGTGTGTGTGTGAGTGAGTGAGTGAGTGTGTGAGTGAGTGTGTGTGTGTGTGACAGTCTCTAGTAAACCTGGGCTCTGGTGCACACCTCATAGTGTGTGGGATACCAAGCAGCTCAGTGTTTGTGAGGAACCTCGTTAACATTACCATCTCCAGCAGAATTTTGTACCACGAAAGCGTTAGTTGCCAGTTTACCGTTTAATCTCGTAAAACTAAGACTGACTGAATTTTTTTTTAATTTGGAATCTTCCTCGACACAGTTTGTCATTTGTAGGAAACGTACTGAAAGTTTAATTTTCCCTTTCAAATATACTGGTTAATAAAAACTTTAATGTATGAATAGCATTCCTTTGCTTTGACTCTAAAATGAAACGTGTGAACTTAGCTTCAGTGTTCTTTCTGTTACTGAATTCTGTTTTTTTTTATATTTCCCCCCGCCCCCCCCCAGAGATTTTATGCATTTTTCAGGATTCTTATAAGTCTTTTCATTGGCGCAGTCATCGTGGGTAAGTTTTACGATGAATTCACTACAGTACTTGAATGAATATTTGATATATTATTAGTGTTTAAAAAAGAAAACACCTCATCAAATCTGTACCCACAGAACTGAATGTGTGTCAGTGTATTTGTACATAATTAAATTGATGGGTCCACTTTGGCTAAGTCTCTGTGAAATGTGGTTACCTGTAACCTGGCAATGAGAGTCTTACAATGTGTGTTCCAACTTCACATTGGAGGGTCCAATTTCACGTCTTACATTGTTAGAGATGAATCCGTCTCCTAACCCGCATTCACTGCTCTATGATTGACCCCCCACCACCACCACCACCCCCCATACGACAAGTAATCGATCCTTGTAAATCTATGGGAGGATTAGCGTGTGTGAGGGAGTTTACATTTTTGCGGTGTATGGTTTTGAATGCATTCCAGACAGCATACGCTTAAAAAGTGGTTTAACCCAAATTGGGAAAGTGTATTGTACATGGGTGACCTCGCCCTGAAACTTGCAGTGACTGATTTAATTAGCTGTTCTTCTTCAGCGATTCTATCAAAAAGGCTAATTTCAGAAGTGTAAAAGGAGGCAAAACAAAATTAGCTTCAAAGCGATTCACAGAATTTATTGTAAAGTGAATTGAAAGTGTATTTTGTGGGATAAATGCAGCAGCCATTTGCGACCAACAGTGTCCCACAAACAACCCCTTTTTTTGAGAGAGATTATTACCCCCAGAAAGCGATCCACCAATCGACTTACAACGGGGTTCCTACTTATTGCTAGGTGTGTGTTAAGGAAACTTGTCTAAGGTTTCGCCGTGTCTGGGAATCGAACCTGGATCCTCTTGCTTGCAAGGCGAGTGTGCTAACCACTTCGCTATGGGATTCCACTTAAGGGTTTAGGTGTTGGTGCTGCACAAGGGTCAGAAATGATTATCAGGTTGAAGTAAAGACCAAATAAATTATGTTGATCTCCTTAATCCATTATTCTATTGAAGGCTAAGAGAACAATTTACATAAAGTGTGACAGACCAATCTTTGTTGATATATCTACCTTTCTCCATGTCTACATTTATATTCCTCTCTCCAGTACGCCTACAATAACATTATTAGACCAGCAGTGTAGTCAAGCTAATTTAAATTCATGCCTTTTTTTTGTCTCGATATCCCTTTTAAACGTCATACTTTTTCACAGATTTCGAAATTGAAATACAGAACTGGACTAATCTAGACTTCTGTACTATTAGAAGTCTCAACCATCTGATAAAGTGCAAGGATTATTATTATCAGGATCAGGAGTCCTGTTACTCAGTGATTAGAGCACTCGCCTTGCAAACGAGACACCTGGGTTCAATTCCAGGCAGGGCAAACCTTGGGCAAGGTTCCTTACTCCACACACCTAATAATAATCCCTTGAAAACAAAACAATAATAAATTGGTCATTTTCAATCCACGACTGTTTGTGGGACGCTGCTGTGCGCAATTGGCTGCTGCGTTTCACCCACAAATGTACAGTCAATTCATTTTACAGCATATTCTGTGAAGCGCTTCGAGACATCTGGAAGACGTGAAAAGCGCTATATCAAATGCAAGGATTATTATTATTATTAAATGAAAAATGCTCACTTTGAAGCTCCAAAGATAATTTGTCAAAGCGTGAGATTGAAATGGTGTGATGACTCATTGTTTTCAAGAAAGAACTCTTTTATATGTGTGACTAGATCAAGTTAGTCAGTACAGCATTATAGTTGATGACTAATCACGTATAACTTTCATCCTGCAGTGGTCAATTTTACCAGTGACTGGGAATCTGGATCTGTTACAGTAAACACAACATATAAATCTTTCAGCAAAGAGGCAGTCTATGCCAAAGTGGGGCTACATATCGGACTGGCAGGAATCAATGTCACTCTGAAAGGTAAAAAAGACACTGCATTAATAGAAAAATACCTTGACATATTTCCTGTAAATAATGAAGGTATAATGTATAATGTTCAAGACTAATGCTTTTCTATGGATAACACAATGGTCTACAGAAGGCTTCAAGATGTATTACAAATTATTCCAATAACAAACTTGCTGTTGGCCTTTATGCTGTAACATAGGTTTAACATGATAGAAAATCAATGATATGATAGACTATTGGGCAAAAACAGCAAAGAATGGATATTATTGTCCACCTCTTAATGGACTAAACTGATGATATTAAGGATGGTGTAGCAATAACCACAAATAGTTTTTTGAAGTCCATAATTATGTACCAACGAACTTCATGACGAAACATGTTAACTATGGATTAGTGAAACATTGGGGTCTCCTTTATGAATAGTATTGATGTTCATATTGAGTATTTTAAATATTATGAAAGGAAAGGCTAATATATTTCACATCCTATGTGTCTGCAGGTCTGCCTGTGAACCAGCTAAATGAAACCATAGACTACAATGAGAATTTTCCTTGGAGTTTTGGATTAGATTATAATAAGGAATATCACGAAGGGCTTGAACAAGGTCTTCCAAACCCAATTTTGTACATTGCGGAAAAGTTTGCTGTCAGCAGTCCCTGCCTTGTTTATTTACAGTACAGATTGTCTGGGCATTTTGCAACAGCCATGATGTGGTAAGTAATATCTATCTTTTGTCATTTAGGTAGTTGTTACATTTAAGATCAGTTGCCTTGATTCAAAGATACGACTGATGACAACCACCAAACCAATCAATTAAATAACACGCAAGTCTGTTATAATTAATTGGTAGGTGTGGTGGTCAGTGCACTCGCTCGTAAGTAAGGGGACATGGATTTGATACCTGGGCAGGGCGAAACCTTAGGCAACCGTACTCCACATCCCTCTGTTTACCTAGCAGTAACTATGAACCCGGTTGTTAGTTGATTGGCAGATCGATTTTTGGAGGTAATAATCCCTCCCAGAAAATTTTTGGGATGTGTCACTCAATCCACTACTGTTTGTGGGACATTGCTGTGTGAAATTGAATGCCGTATTTCATCCACAAAACGCACAGTCTCTCGACTTTACAGTGTATCCTCTCAACGAAGTGATAAGGTGCCATATCAAATGCATCACTTATTATTATTAAGGCACTTAGAAAACTAAAAAAAAGTAACATTAACTGTTTGCATGTTAGAAAACTAGAAAAAAGTAACATTAACTGTTTTCATGTCATTTACAAGATATTGATTGCAGATGTAATTTTTTTGTGTGCAATAGGGTGTCATTTTGTGCCTGGGTGCTTGCCAACATTCTCTTCTCCATGCCAGCTATAGTCTATGGAGGCTATATGGCAGTTATCACCTCTACATTCATGATCTTTGGAGTTATTTCATTTGCCACAACTCGGACTGTTCCTCTATGCACTATTCAATTTGGTCCATATATGTTGAACACCAGTTTCAGTGTTTCGTTCTGGCTGACATTAGTGACAGGTAGGTGCTGTGTACTGTAGAATAAATAATGTGAATCGACAATAATAATCAATAACAATATCTATGCGTGTCTATAGTCTTATCTATATGTTTATCATACTATTGATTGACTGGGAGGTGTGATGAAAATCTCCAGTGCACTCATATCTTGAATTTCAAACCAGCTATGTTTTAGTTTTAACCTAAGATGAAAATAAAGAATTACATACAGAATTATATATATATATATATACTCATGTATGCCACCTCCTCATGCAATTTTCCCTGTGTCTGGAATGGAATGTGCTGACGGAGAAATTTCCATTTATAGGTGGGCAGAATAGGGAGTCTCTCTGGTAACTAGAAATATGTAACACATTTCTCTCTAACATGAAACATCCATTGGAATGTATTGTTCCTTTGAGTCAGTGTCACAGACATGCGGATTTCTTTATTAAGAAGTAACATAAATTCAAGACAGCTGTTATTTATACTTCAAATTGTTGTGCTTTTGATTTTTTTTCAAGTATAAAAATTGAAGTCTATCTAATTCCTACTTAACTAAATGATTTACACCAAAATTGCATGAAACACAAGTAATTCGTACAAATTTAAATGACTGTAGTGTTTCTTACCAGAACAAGATCTTTGGTAAAACCCAAATCCTATGAGTTAATAATGTGTTTTGGATTGAGACCACAATCTTTTTTATGGACTAAACACCTAAGGGTTTTTGTTGTGTGCCAAAATGGATTCCACTGTATTATATTCAAAGCACTCTCACCTCTGGGTCAGAAAGTTGTCGGTTTAATTTCAACATTGACGCTCTAGTTCCATTATTGTAGGTGCAATCCATTGGATGATATGTTAAACCAAGGAACTAGATTTCTATTTTTATTTCAGCGGGATAGCAAAGATCCTGTATTACTGTGTACTGAGAAGAGGAAAGGGAGTTTCTCCTCATGTACTGGCCAGAGCTAGAAAATGGAGAAAAAAAACAGGTGGGAAGTGCAGAACAGGTCAAGTCGGTCTTGGAGTGCATGTGCCTAAATGCACGGAGTTTAGCTGCAGGCTCAAGTGGTCATAGGGGGATATGATGTAGTAGCAGTAACAGAGACTTGGCTCAAGCAAGGACAGGAATTGGAGCTGAATATTCCTGGCTACAGTGTATTCAGGAGGGATAGGGAAGGAAAAAAAGGAGGGGGTGTGGCTATGTTAGTCAAAGATACGGTTATAGCCGTGGAAAGGGTTGAGGTGCTGGAGGGCCCCAAAACGGAATCTATCTGGTTAGAGTTAAGGAACAAAAAAGGAGCTGTTACGCTGATAGGGGTATTCTATAGACCACCAAATAGTGGGAAGGAAATAGATGAGCAGATCTGCAAGCAGATCTCAGACAGATGCAAGGCCAATAGAGTTGTGATAATGGGGGACTTTAATTATCCCAACATAGACTGGCAAGACAACAGCGCAAAGGGCAAGGAGGGGGAAATATTCCTAAAATGCATACAGGACAACTTTCTTGATCAGTACGTTTTCAGTCCAACAAGGAAGGAAGCAGTGCTAGATTTAGTTCTGGGGAATAAAGTAGGGCAAGTGGAGCAGATTTCAGTGGGAGAGTATCTGGGCAATAGTGATCATAACATCATTAGATTCAGAGGAAAGAGACAAGGACAAGGTAAAGATATTCAACTGGAAGCGGGCAAATTTCAGTGAGTTAAAAAGGGACCTAGCCAACTTGGACTGGAAAGAAAGATTGGCAGGTAAAACAACTAAAGAGTAGTGGGAAGTCTTCAAGGATGAAATAGCTTAGGGACAGAATAAATACATTCCCACAAAAGGGAAAAGTAGGGTTTCTAAAGCTCCCTGGATGACGAAGGTAATTAGATCTAGAATGAAGCAGAAAAAGGAGGCGTATGGCAAATGTTAAACCCAAGATACAGAAGACAACCAAATAGAATATAGGAAGTGCAGAAGAGGTTTGAAAAAGGAAATAAGAGGGGCAAAAAGACTATACAAAAAAAGGTTAGCGGCTAACATTAAAGGGAATTCTAAAATATTTTACAAACATATCAAGAAAAAAAGGCCAGTCAAAGGTAGGGTGGGACCAATTAAGGACCAAGGGGAAAACCTTATTGAAGGCATGGCTGATGTGCTGAATGAGTGTTTTGCATCTGTCTTCACAAAAGAAGTGGATGCACCAAATGCCGCAGTATCGGAGGAGAGGGTAGAGGAAATGGATAGGATAAGTATAAACAGAGAGGAAGCACTGAAAAGGTTGACTGCGCTGAAGGTAGATAAGTCGGCTGGTCCGGACGGGATGCAAGCAAGATTGCTATGGGAGGTACGGGTACAAATAGCGGAGGCTTTGGCTACAATTTTTCAATCTTCGTTGGACACAGGAGTGGTGCCAGAGCACTGGAGAGTGGCCAATGTGACTCCCCTGTACAAAAAGGGACAGAAGGATAAACCTGGGAACTACAGGCCATTCAGCCTAACATCAGTAGTGGGGAAACTCCTGGAGACTATAATCCGGGACAGAATAAATCTTCACTTAGAAGAATATGGGTTAATTAGGGACAGCCAACATGGATTTGTTAAACCAAATCTTGTCTAACAAATCTAATAGAATTTTTCGATGAGGTAACGGAGATGGTATTTAATGACAATAACAGTTAGTACATTACATTGTGTTTTGAGCATTAAGGTAACTGATAAGGCGCCATAAATCAAGCAGAAAAAAAATCAAATGAAATCAAAAATGAATTATCATAAATTATTTCCTCAGAATCCAGTAGTTTATTTTTCTAAGGCAGTGACTACAGTATAGATTGAGAAGGGAGAAATAACCTATCCTTTCTCTCTTTAATATAGCGTTGCTGTGCTTAATCTTTGGAGTAATTGTGGTTGTTATGAATCACTTTGACCCAGAGAAGCTCCGAGTATTTTTTCAGCTGAGTGGAGACGATGCTGATGATGAACAACTAAGTGAAGGTCTATTCAACAATGGTTACACCGATGATAATGGGAACACATTAGGTTTACAGGTGAGAAGTGTGAAGCTACCTAAAAACATAACTTGTTTATATCTCTTTGTTTTCTGCTCTCTCTTGTTCCGTTATTTACCTGTCCCACTGATTAGCAATACCACTTCTTTTTGAAACCAAAGAATTTGAGTCTCAATGATTGTAGAAAAGCCATTTGCATAGGATGAATAGGATCGAGAATTAATCATTTGCATGGGATGTGAGAGTTTTTCATCTGGCAATAAAGAACAAAAAAAATCTATGAGTGCTGCATATGGGAAAAGGATATAAGTGTGTGCCTCACATCCTTGACCATTGCATGAAATATAAGGGACAAGAAGCAGTTGAATCCTCAGTGTATTATAATAAGGAAGACTACTATTGTCAGTAAATTGGCCATTCTTTAGACCACATTTAATGGAAATTGCCAATTGATGGGCTCTCTTCCCAAAGGATCAAACTCCACCTAGTCTTTGGTCAGACCATTGGATCTTAAATTCAAGATCACACAGATTGGCGAAAGGTTCTTAAATTCTGTGTTAATTTGGAAGATGGTTCTTCTTAAAAGCTGCAGAAAACTGTGACCTCAATTTTGAAGACAAACTGATTTTGCAGGCTAAACTGAGGTGAATTTATGGATCACAGATCAATACTTTAAGTGACAATGAGGAAATAGCTATTATCAAATCTTTAACCAAATCAGTATCTATACCCAGGGATTGTTACAGGCACATTGTTTAGGGAGGGGGGAAATGTCTATTTCATAGACTCCTAACTGTAGGCGTATGTGTCTGAGGTGTGAGGAAAAGATCAGGCACGAACGTGATGCCGAAACAAACATATTAATGTTGACTGTGAAGGCTCTTGTGTGAATAATGTCCTCTTAATACAATATAATTTACATTTATATAACGCCTTTCACGTCGGGGAGGATGTCTCAAAGCGCTTGACTGGGCAGAGCACATGAGCTGGGGTGGGAGCAGAAGTGGGTGGGGAGGAGAATGATGACTGATGCGGTAGTGAAGGTACCTGTGGAACCGTATCTCTGAAAAAGGAAAATGTACACCAAGCGGAAGGAAGTAAATTAGCAAGAAAGGAAATGATTTTAATCCACGTGATTATACGGGGTCAGTGATTTACTTTGACTTTTCAATTCAAATTTATTAATCCCCAAAATATTTTCAATCCAGAGAATGATCAATCCCCGAAAGAACAACGCTGTGGTTTACACATGAACCTGATGGCATTGCTGAACTAAGGTAATAGTTTAATTCAAACTACCTTAATATGTTTTTATGGACTGTGGTAATAAGTTAATAACCATGCATAATAATACTATTAATAACAATCTTTGCATTTGATGTGGCCCCTATAAAATAAAAATGGCTCAATGTATTTCACGGGTAATTACTGTCAAGTGCAATAATTTTGTTTGCCTCCCAAAACAGCTTTGAAGTAAATAATTAATTTACCTGGAACACTGATGTCCATGACCATATTCTTGCTCCTTGCAGCCAGCCATTACTGGTGGCATAGCCCATTTCTCCCAACTCTTGATCTTTATGTTGTTTCTTAGTTTGTTTGGTTGGTCTGTAGGCTCTTGGGAGAGGAAGAGGAGTGATATTCTGCTGGCCTGTATGTAAAGCAATTTTGACAGTGGAATTAAATTTTCCCAGTTATAAAAATTATAGTAATACCCCTTGCATTTGATATAGCACCTTATCACATCATTGAGACGTCTCAAAACGATTCACAGAATATATTGCAAAGTAGATTGACTGTACATTTTGTGTAAATGAAGGGAGTTTTGTTGATGCACACTTACAAATTTAGAGACGAGTGTCTAAGAGCTGATCACTATTTTGTATGAAAATTTTTGTTCCTTGCTTATAATTGGGAAATCGAGCTGCTGATCATTGCATGATATCCTTTTATACATACTCATGGTGGGGAACAAGAGAAAATAAGGGTTAAGCAGTGTTAGATGCTGAATGTTGTAAAGGAAATGAGTGCCAGACATTTTGCATGGCTTTAGTTTTTAGGAGTAGTGCAAAATTTTAGAAGATTCTTAAATGCATTCTTAATTTGGAAGCTAGTTTTCTACGGTTCTTAAAAGCTCTGATTTCTAAATAACAGATCAAAGCTACCCAGGCATCTGAAAACTTGTCCTTTCTCTTTACTTTCAGGAGCAATACCCATCTTGTGTAGGAATGTGACAATACTGCTATCCTATCTTGAAGGATGTCAGTGGACCAGAGGACTCTTTATGTTGTCATTTGACTGCTATTCTTATAGAAGGCTGACTTTTAGACTGCACTACCCCTCTTTGTGGATTGACAAGGAGGCTGATTGCTAGCACTCCGTGTTGTGTGAACAAATGCACGTTTCCAGATCTGTAGAAGATATTACAGGACTTTGTTTGAACCGCTGTAGCCCATTGATTTGTTTGACTGACTGGCTCATGGCACCAAAAGGACAGACAACAACACATGGGCAACTTAGCTCCATTTGATGTTGGCCATGACACATTAAGTGTTTCATATGCGTTCAAATGCATGATCACTCCATGTAAAATATAACAAGGATTGCAATATACTGTAGAGTACAAGACCAATGCACTTTAAGGACGTGAAGAGTTCCCTCTGCTCTGTACTCCATGTAGCAATTGTGGGTTAAGGGCTAATTTTGCTCTATTAGTGTTCAGTGAATTGAACCCTGTACATTGTTTTTTTTAAAAAAAATTAATGTATCTAATGCAATTTTATGTATATAATTTCATTACAAATCTTCAAAGCCATGTTATTTATAACGTTCAATTGCAGTAGATTTATTCATAAAAGCACTTGGACAAAATTCACTGAATGTATTGACTGTAGGGAAATTAGTGTACATTTAGATTAGAATAACCAATTTAGTACATGGAGTACACAGGGCATAAACTTTTTACCATGAGTCTTTACTAGTAGTTTAGATTTTGGAATGACATGTTTCAAGTCCCAAGATACATATACTATAAATGTATTCAGCTTTGGGACTGCAATGATATTGTGACTATGGGTGTTTTGTTGTGTTTAAATTATTAAGGTCAAGACGCCATACTTTGCAATACAGAATAAATGAATGTTATTGGTCTGTACGTGTATGCATGTTATTATTATTATGGAGAATAAATGAATTTGTTAGATTCAATGAGTCAGTAAAATACAATGGATGTAATACATTACCAGATGAAATAAAAAAAACTTCTCAATTATACTGTATTTCTTAGCTTAATCTGTATTTAAAAAAATATAAAGGGAACAAGGGAACTCTGCTGCAGATTGGTCTTTAACATGGATGTCATTGTGACTGCTTGACTTACCTCTGCATAGTAATAATAAATAATAATCCTTGCATTTGATATAGCGCCTCATACTGAATATATAGTAAAGCGAATTGATTGTTCACAGCACACAGCAAAAAACAATTAAGAAATACTGTAGATTAGATCCTATTGTAAATGTATTACAAAGTTGTAACCAACTCATCCTAATGATATAATCGCATTGTTTCCCTTATTCAAAATCGCTGGAATTGGAAGAGTCAAGTTTGGAAAGATTCTGAATTGTCGATTATATCTCAGATTTTAATCTGCTTTCCTTCAGTGGTTTTGCATCTATCGATTGAAACTAAAAATAGTTGTAATAATAGGTAAGAGCAAAATCTCCTGCAGTGAGGCAGGGTTGGGGAGAGAGGAATGACTGTCAGCAAACATTAAAATGCATCTTTAGCATCTTAATGCTGCAGGTTGGACGTTCATCTGCTCCATTGTAATACGGATCAAATCCTTCTTAAAATGGTAAATTGATCATTGAAAAAGAATGTTTGTAATTAAAAGTTGTTCCTACCTTTCAAAGTGGATGGTGTGTGTGTATGTGTGGGTGTGGTGGTGGGGTGGGGCTGGGGTAGGTAATTAAGATAATTAATTTTAAAGCAAAAATTCGTCCAGAAGAAAAGTTCGAATTTTAAACAGGGCATTTTGGAATAATGTACCACTTGCTCTGAGTTGATCAAAAAACGCTGAAACTGTGCCATCTTGTGGCAAAATCCCTCCGTTACCACCTCGTTACCCACAGATTACTTTGGGTCTTTTTTTTGTTGTCTTGTGCAGGTTTTAAAAAAATTTATTGAAACTTTCCTTTTTTTGTCTTCTTCCTGTTTTCAATTTTTTAAAACATTGATTCAAACTTACACCTTTGTTAATATAATCACAGTTAAATAATTGCTTGTGTTTGTTGGTGTTTTATTGCCAGTTTGATTTTGTATTTTGCAGTCCCTGTGTGTACTGCATTTTATGAAAGTCTAGTTTGCTGACAACAGACTAATGTGAGCTATTTCTAAAAAAATCTCTATCACATAGAGTTCACTTAGGTCAGTTGGCATTCTTCTAGTTACCTAAAGGAATCCACATGACTAATTCCTTATTAAGGAATTTCATTTAAAAATACCACAAGACCTCAGTCAGTGTGTGTTTAAGAACAATATTGGAGGATATTGGGATATGTAAAATTCTCATGAATTCTTAACAGGTTTCTTGTATTTCTTTACCCCTGGGTTAGAGGGAGGGAAGGAGAGGTTGTATTTGAATGTAGATATGTGGGGATGTGGACCCGGGTTCGATTTCCGGCAGGGCGCAAGTTTCCTTACTCCACACGCCTCTGTTTCCCCAGCAGTAAGTAGGAACCTGATTGTTAGTCGATTGGCAGATCACTTTTCTGGGGTTAATAATTCCTTCAAAAAAAAAATAATTTTTTCACTGTGATTTTACTGTTTGTGGGACACTGCTGTGCTCAATTGGCTGCTGCGTTTCGCCCACAAAATACAGTCAATTCAGTTTAGTGTATTTTGTGAAGCACTTTGAGACGTCTCGAATATGTGATAGAGCACTATATCAAATACAAGGATTATTATTATTATTATTTTTGTTCAACCCTCAGCTCTCCTTTAAACCTTATATGTTATTTTTGGACTAAGCTTCCAGGTGTTATCCTATCTGACAGGTGCTACACAAGTGCCAATTGTTGCTCCTGAGGATCTCTTTTGGCTCTGCACAACGTCACTTGTGATTGGTTTTGTTTGCATCCCAACAGAGATGCTGGCCATTGGGAGGGGGGGTGGGGGAGAAGGAAGGAAAGTCGAGAGATGATAAGAAATGAGGTCTTAAATGAGGTTATTCACAGCGTTTATTACGAGGTTAGAGAATCAACCGAGGAAAACATTATTCGCAGTGTGAGTGGCCCGTTCCAAGGTGATACTCAAGTTGGGGATTAAACACTGTAGACAACAACCTTCCTCAGATTTTAGTTTTAGCAGGATTGTTGTTGGCAGGATTGTTGTTGGCAGGATGAAGCAGGCGGTGGTGGGCACGATTGCTGGCACTGTTGCACAGGTGGTGGGCAGGACTGTTGGCACGATTGCTGCTGCTGCTGCTGTTGGCATTGACTCTCGCACTGCATTATCACTTTAATTCCTGTCCCTCGCTTGGAGGTCTCAAACCCTTCAGTGGCCTGCTCCAGGGGGAACCGATGGGTGATCATGGGCTTTACGTCCACCTTCTTGGTGCTCATCATGGCTAAAGCCATCGGCCACCTGTAATACAACAAGAGCAAAAATGCGTATCTAAAGGCTACAATATTATCAGCCCCGAGTTGAGGGTTGAACCATTTAACCAATAAATGGAACTTTGCCAGGTTCCAGCAGGAGCCCTTCCTAATGTAACAGGTACAAGTGCAATCGAGCAGGAGTTCCCAAACTGGGGTCCGCAGAGCCTTGCCCAAAGTTCAGAAGCTATGAAAGCTTATTTGGACTATGGATGCGTTCACAAGGTTCCAAAGCAAGGTATTTAAGGGCAACCAATTGTGGAGGCTTGGAGGGGGGTGCAGGAGCATGAGAAGCAGATAGTCTAAGTGTGGAAGAGGGGTCCTCTGTTAGGATACCTAATGTCCTGGGGGAGGAGTTGGGGTCTCGAACCTAGAAAGTTTGGGAACCCCTGGAATAGAGGGATCAGTTGGAGGACATCAAGGAAGGACAGAGTGCAGCAGTGGGGTCAGCAGCAGCTCTGCCTCTGTTTTCATCTTTCCCATTATTTTCATGTTGTCTTTTTAATGACTTTAACAGTTCAGGTTATTTCTTCCTTTTTAGAAACAGCTGATTAAAGTTTCTAAAGGGAACACGTCCCCTTCCAATTGGGTGTTTGTTCCTTTCAGATTCGAATCTAACATTTTTATCTCGTCCCCAGTGAAATTAGATTGTTTTCCTGGTCCTTTTCCAGCTACTTCTTTTAGCACTGGGACTGCACAAAGTCTGGCAGCAAGTTAATGGGCCTCCATTCAGACGGCTTGTGCTACATACAGTCTGGCTACTGAAGTATGAATCATCAATCCTGCTCCACCATTACCCATTCTGCTTGAGCAGCATAAACCCAGCATCAGTTAAATACATTGAGACAGCAAATCAAACTCATTTGAGGATGCCGATTTCAGCACTTACGTGTTAGTATATCTCAACACTCCCCGGATATCCAACTCTCTCAACGCTGCGTTAGACACCGGGATATTCACTGAAGCTGGACCAATACCAACCAAAACCACCGTCCCTCCAGAACGTGTAGCCTAAGAGGGAACAGGGAAGAGGGAAGAATAAACCCAGCCATTTTCATTTTAAATCACTGGTATGAGATAGATTGATCTTTCCTAATTCTGTTGACTCCATTTAGAAATAGAGAAATAACATAAAAAAAACAGTAAAACCTGTTTTGGAGAGTTGAATTGATTGAATACTTACATAGATCCCAGCCTGGACGCAAAACTCAGCCCCAGTGCACTCAAGGGTTACCTCTGCCCCACTGCAACCCAGAGCCGTCTTCACTTTCTGGGCAAATTCGATGGGGCATGTCGGGCACTTCTCTACTTTAATGGTTGCACTGGCTCCCATCTGCTTGGCCTTCTCCAATCGTTCACATGAAAAGTCTAAAACGGTGAAACAATGGGATTAAGAGATATTTTTAAAACTCATTTTCTCTCCTCCTAATACTTAAAGAAAATGGACTTTGTTTTCCTTGCACCAAGGGGGATATTTTCACACATATCAGGTGCTCTTCAGTATCTCACCAAGTGCTAATTTTCCAAGAGTAAGCTTGAGTGAGTATGGGCAGACTATTTTGCCAATGGGGGACCACATCACAGTCAAGTCCAATGCTGTCCTTATTAACACCTACGCACACACACACACACACACACATGCGTACAGGATGGCTATCAGGTGAAATAGGAGCTTTGGCTGATTTTGATCTCCCTGTCTGGGCACTGAGGCCAATTGTAACTAAGAGGAGGCAATAAAACACAGACTGGGCTTCAAACCTGGAACCTTCCCAACATACAGTTCAGGTAATGACCGAATAAACTCAATGACCCACTGAAGGAGCACTGTGATTTAAATACAAAACATCTGCATCTCGAGGTTTTGGCTTGTTAACAGTAAACAATATTCTGCCCATAACACAGAAACTTATTGAAAGATACGCAACACAACCTGCCAGCCCCATGGCATATTGGGGAGTGGAATGAATGTATTGCTCAGATCAAATAAAGGGAGAACAATAATGAGAACGGAATACGGTTTCATTGTGTGACTAGTGTCATTGTTAAGAACTCTCAGGCCATGTATATATTACAGGCTAGATGTCCCATGAAGGCATCATCTCGGAGAACATCCCTGAAAGAACAAATGTGGATTGATAGGAAAATATTCTTTTATAGTAGAATTCAGGATCGTAACAACTTTAAATTTCATATTAAAAAAGAAATTGATGGAAAAATAACAAGTTTCCTGGGAATTATTGCAATAAAACAGTACACACAGAGACACACAGTATCTGCGGGGCACCAATGTGTCATTGGGCTGCAATGTCAGCAACATTTTTAGTTGTGGACATGAGGTATGCAGGAATTGTTCCCAACTTTGAGACAGCGGTGTGATGTGGAATGATGCAATCCAGGTAAGCACAGGATTCGAAAGAGATTCAAACATACGGAGACAAAGAGATGTGCAGAATGAGAGAGACATGCAGAAACATATGAAAACACTTAATATCCGGCCTATTTTATTACCAATGATGATCTTAGTGCCAACTAACACGGATATTGAGCTCTCTACTGTACTCGCAAACACACCACATCCACACTAGTCTTACCACACATCAAAATTTGAGATGCTCCCATAGCCTTTGCAATAAGCAAACAACAAAGTCCAATTGGCCCTTAATAGAAATAAGAATCTGTTAGAAAATTATTAGCAATGCACAACAGGATCTAATTTACAGTAGTTCTTAACAGATTCCTGAACAAAGAATTCAAGTTATTCCAACTGATCCACAAGAACTTCAGTACAATGCGATCTACTGCTGAAGCTACAACTCATTCATGGCACTTACTTACCGCAGTAGGGGACAATTCAATTCTAAATAGATATCTGTGGGGGTGGGGGGGTGAATTGCCCCAATTTTTTCTGGGGATTCTGTTTTTAAAATGACTGGTGGATGTTAGCAACTTTTGTTTTGCTTAATATTTATTTTCTAAAGTTGATCTGCTCAAAGAGGGGTAAAACAATACCCTTCTAAAAGAAAGGAATAATATATCGGTCACTCAATCCATGACTATTTGTGGGACACTGCTGTGCGCAATTGGCTGCCGCGTTTCACCCCCAAAATGTAGTCAATTCACTTCACAGTGTATCCTGTGAAGTGCTTTAGGACATCTCAAAAATGTGATAAGGCTGCTGTATCAAATGCAAGGATTATTATTATTATTATTATCAAAATGTACAATCGTTCTCACTGCTTTAAACGCCAAGAAAAGGCATTGATTGAATTCTGGAGAGTCCACTCACCAAGGAGTATGGCGTCACCTGGTGTCGGTTTAGTGTAAAAACACCTTCAGAACAGAAGGGTTGCAAACTTTACCCCACAGGGAATGGAGAGGAAGGAAAATAAATAAGCAAATGCAGCAAAAGTGATGCTAGGAACCAGAGTGAAATCTGTCATCTGAAAGTGTCAGTCTGCACTGGTCCAGCTCCTTACCAGCTCCGCAGATAAAGACTTTGCAACCCAGCTTCACTCTCCCTCTGCGACATGCATGAATACCAACAGAAAGCGGCTCAGCCAATGCAGCTTCCTCAAGGCTCACACAGTCTGGAAGCCTGAAACAAGAAGACAACTATTATTCCATAGCTCTTTCCTTACATTCAATAAACTGATACTGAATTAATCTAACGTAAAGCTGTTTATACTGAGAACAGGTTGAACATATGGAAATTTGCCTTTGAATATGGTCGAATTAATTACTTTTAGCAGTGACTGGGACTTACATCACAATATCTACTCAACACGGCATATTAGACCATCTAAAAATAGGTGTTTATAAGGGAATTACATAGATATTAGAGGAAAAGATAGGGAATTGGGATGAGGATTAGAAGCAAACACAGATAACCTCATGAGGCCTCCTAATAAGTCACCGCTTTCTTTGATTCTAAGATGTAAAGTTTGATACATTCCTCATGTTCATCATTACTCAGTATAATAGACTACAGGACAGTGCACAGAGGTTTCATCCTGCCCATAGTAAAGGTGGCTAAAGGAGATTCCATCACTATTATTCAAATGTCACCATGGTCTATTTTGATCATTAACATTAATTAATATTTGATTAAACTGGACATTGGGGGTTACTATACTATCAGGACACTGAGTTCCTGAAAGAGCTTTAGTAACTGGCAATAATAATTTTAATGTGATTCAAGTGGTGATGTAAGTACTAACTTGTAGACATAGTCTGCCTTGTGAACAAAGAATCGGCACATAAGCCCATCATCAGGTGGAGAAGAGCAGAAGTAAATCGTCGGAGACAGATTGTAGCGGCCAGCTTTAACGTAATCGTCAGTATCTCTGGGGACACCAGGCTCAATGGCCACTTTGTCACCTACAGCAAAGCAAACACAGGTACTCAGTACACAATTATTTAATATTAGGATTAAGAACTGTGATTGATGAGTTATCCATACGTTCCAAGTCTTAGATTGGTCGAGAACCCACACCCATTCTCATCCTGAACCTCTGACCAAATCGAACTTCAGTCAAATTGAGATGAATAGCACGCGCAGTTATCTTTCCTTTCCTTTGTCTATTTCAAATCTTCCAATAGCACAGGCGTCGGGCAGTGTTGGGAGGTGAGGGAAGGTAGAGTGGGTCATGGCACAGATGTGGGGGAGAAAAGGGTTGAACAAGACACCTAGGTTCCTGACTGGCTTGGTGAGGTGGAGTGTGCATCCAATGGATGCTGTATCATCAGAAAAACTTCCTTCCATTATCCTATGAGACTTGGGTAACTGTGTTGAACAATGTCAAATTTCATAAGGACCAACCTGTCTTGACATTCGTCACTCCACAGCCCACTTTTTGGATGACCCCTGAGCCTTCATGTCCCAGAACCATTGGCTTTTTGATCACGTAATCGGCCAATTTCCCAAATTGCCAATATATGACGTCAGTTGCACAGATCGCAACTGAATTCATCTTGATCAGAACCTCTGAAAACAGAAAAGCCGAGATTTGAAACCCGTCAAACAATTGTTTTGGTTGGTGCCAACATTTCTACAATATATTCTGTGAAAAATAATAATAACCACTTTACAATATATTCTGTGAAGCGCTTTTAGATGTCTTCAATGACGCGATGAGGCATTATATCAAATGCAAGGATCATTATTATGATTATTACGATATGCAGCAGTGCTTCAAAGCAAAATAAGATACACTTTAAGGTTTTCAGAATCTGTTGTTGAAATGATATGATAATGTGTGATTTGCTTTCATAGAAAGAATAATGGTATTTGTTATTATTCTGCCATCCAAGAACCTAGTAATGTGGACTGATGAGAAGCCATTGGAGGACACCTAGAAACTCCATCTAGTCCAATCCCTTCTCTTCATGAATCTTCTCTTCCATTGCTTTTCATTTTACAATACTGAAATAAACTGAATTTTATTTATAAGCGTAATGCAAAAAAATACAGTTACCAAACAGTACAATGATTCCCTCTTTGAGAGGCTTGATGTTGAAGCTGGTATATCAAATACTGTAATAATACTAACAATAATCCTTGCATTTGATATAGCACTTTTTACGTCTTCTAGACGTCTCAACGCGCTGTAAAGTGAATTGACCGCATATTTGTGGGCGAAACGCGGCAGCCAATTGAGCACAGCAATGTCCCACAAACAGTCGTGTACAAAGATCATTCTTAAGCACAATCTGTAAGCAAGTCAGTGTCTAGAATACAGTCAGGGAAACATGTATAACTTGATGAATTTTGGATCTTGAATGGTGAATGCAATAATGTATTTTCCAAATTAATTTAAAAAAAGTGTTTATAAGATATGGGTCAAAGAAATAATATTGAAAGAGTATAAGGGAAAAACACAAAATACCTCCAGGATTTACTTCTGGAACTTGACGCTTTTCCTATTGAGAAAGAAAATATTCTTTTTACAAAACTTGAATCCTTTACACATCATGTACATTTAGCTGTAAACCAGAACTGCTAAATACAAGTATCATAATCTCAACAACAATAAAGATAAACAATAAAATTAAATCTTTAAAATGAAATAAAATAAACAACAATAAAGATAATATGTTTGGCTCCTCGATGAGAATCTTATTCGGGCCAGGCCAATAATCTGCTCAGCAAGGCCATTTATCTTCTTGCCCTCATTAGACCTTGGAATAATTTACTGTTTAATTGATTGATGTCAACACCTTTGCTTCTAAAGTCTTGGAGAGGAGGCTTGACCTCCTCTTCAATCGTGCCTTTGGTCACACTCCCACCACCGCTCTCCTCCCTGCCCTTCAACGCTCCCAATGCCCAGCTCAGGTGCACATCCTTGACTGTCCAGTGCTTTGGGATGTCCCCTTGATGTGAAAGGCGCCATACAAATGTAACTTGTTGTTGTTGCTGTTGATACCACACATTCTAAAACAATCAATTTACAATCAATTATGACCATGACTAATTTCCTATTCCATTATTCTTTGTGATTTAATTAATCTTTTGGCTATTCTCTCAACAATTTAGGCGGCATATCCAAGCTCCAGTCCCTTACACTTCTCAATTCCTCCCTATCTATGCTCCCTCTCGGTGATGTCATCCACAGACACGGGGTTAACTTCTACATGTATGTGGATGACACTCAACTCTACTTTTCCACCTCCAGCTGCAACCCCCAGTCCCCTGAAGTTCCTTCAGCTTGTCTGTTGGACATCAGGAGCTGGATGAACGCAAACTTCCTGCAGTTAAATTTCCAACAAGACAGAAGCCATACTCTTTGGCTCCTGCCGATGTCGTCGGTCAGAGGGTAGTGAATTTATGGAATTCTCTACCCCAGAAGGCTGTGGATGCTCAGTCCTTGAACATAGATTTCTAAAGAATAGAGGGATAAAGGGATATGGAGATAGGAATTAGGATGGAAGATCAGCCATGATCTTATTAAATGGCGGGGCAGGCTCGAGGGGCCGAATGGCCTCCTCCTGCTTCTATTTCTTATGTTCTTATGTTCCACAGTTCTGACCTTCTCAACCTACCCCACCTCGTCCATGCCTTTATCACCTCTCGGCTGGACTAGTCTAACGCCCTCCTCGCCGGTCTCCCCTCCTCCACCATTCATAAAATGCAGCTCATTCAAAACTTCGCCGCCTGCATTCTCACCCAAACCAACATCCACGCCCTGATTACTCCAGTCCTTGCCAAACTCCACTGGCTCCTGTCACAGAGCGGATCCACTTCAGGATCCTCACTCTAGTGTTTAAATCCCTCCATTCCTTGCCCCCCACCCCCACCGTCCGCGCCTGAGAATGAAGTAACTCATCTGTGCTACCAACGTCTTCCCTTTGACATCCTCTCCTACCCTTGCCCAGTAAAAAAAAATCTTGTTCCACATGAAACATCAACTGAAACACTCAGCGATTCCAACAGAAGCTTAGAATAACCATCCAACATGGGGTGCCAAAGCAAAAATGCAGCAAAACGTTTAGGGGGGTGGGGGGTGGGACGTCCTTTGGATGTCAAAGGACGTGGAAACTCATGCAAAAAGTTTATAAACCAGGACATTGCAGCCAAACAATGCCAATGACGTCTGGTCAAAGGTAAGACTTTTTGTACACCAATTTCATGGGGGGGTAGTGGTTGGGGGGTGGGGGGGTCACCAGGGTGAGTGCTTTATTGCGTCAAGGGGTTTTAGATGGTTTGTTTGCCTGTGTGTGTGTGTGTGTGGGATGGGGGTTGGGGGTTGGGGGTGGGGGTTGGGGGGGGTGTGAACTGATGACACATACATTTCAATCCCTGTAGTCTGGGAGATGGCAGAGTACAGTGCGGATAGACGGGAACCCCCTTTAAACGCACAGAAACTTAGAGATCGACCGTCTCACTCCCACACGATTTCCACTCCTCAACATCTTTCCCCCCCAAACTTTTCTGCTTTTTCTCTCTCTCTCTCCCGAAGAAGAAGGAGAGGAGGAGACATCTGGGAAAAAAAAAAAACCCAAACCCCCCAAAACTCCCCCCCCAAAAATATAAAAACTCGTATCAGTGTTTTACTTTATAATGGATTTTCCTTCCCCCCCCACCACCCCCACCACCATCACCACCATCACCACCTCCTCTGGTGGATCAGAACCTGGCAAGTCTAGGGCACAGAAGAAGAAGAAGAAGAAGAAGAAGAAGAAGAAGAAGAAGAAGAAGAAGAAGAAGAAGAAGAAGAAGAAGAAGAAGAAGAAGAAGAAGAAGAAGAAGAAGAAGAAGAAGAAGAAGAAGAAGAAGAAGAAGAAGAAGAAGAAGAAGAAGAAGAAGAAGAAGAAGAAGAAGAAGAAGAAGAAGAAGAAGAAGAAGAAGAAGAAGAAGAAGAAGAAGAAGAAGAAGAAGAAGAAGAAGAAGAAGAAGAAGAAGAAGAAGAAGAAAAGAGAAGAAGAAGAAGAAGAAGAAGAAGAAGAAGAAGAAAGAAGAAGAAGAAGAAAGAAGAAGAAGAAGAAGAAGAAGAAGAAGAAGAAGAAGAAGAAGAAGAAGAAGAAGAAGAAGAAGAAGAAGAAGAAGAAGAAGAAGAAGAAGAAGAAGAAGAAGAAGAAGAAGAAGAAGAAGAAGAAGAAGAAGAAGAAGAAGAAGAGAGGCGAGATCATTACCAATTTCAGTTGTCCTGGACAACCGGTCACCACGCTCAGGTTATCTTGCGACATCTCTTGAATCTCTCGGGCAGATGCTCTGGGGTTTTATTTCTCTCACGACCTGATCTGTTGACGGGTCCGAGCTTTTTTTTCTCGCAATATCTGCTATTTCCCTTTCTTTTTTCTTTCGTCCGCAGGAGCCAGGCGGGAGGACAGCCTTCACCACGCCAAGACACCAAATAACTCGTCCCCCTCCCCTCCTCGCCCGCAAGGTTGCTACCCTTTAAACCTCAGCGGGTCATAGACATCACCGTGGAAACCATTGAAGTAGCAAAAGAAACATCATCGGTTGTCATGGTTACAGCAAAATGATGCCATCCCTCCTCCCACCCTCCCCTCCCTCACCCACCTACACCCACCCACACACCCTCAATTGTCACTTTGCTGGACCATCATTGATGCAACATCAACCAATGAGAGGCCAACTTTGTGAATCAGAGGGTGCCATTGGTCCCAAAGTAGGTCCCCCCTCCACCCCACCCACCCACCCACCCAAGGGGAGCCAGAGGAGGCAACCAAGGTCTCACAAAATATAGCCGGAGAAAGTACTGAGGGACCTCATCAAACCCTCAGGGGTTTGGGTGCTTGAACTGAGACCCTGTCGTAATGGGACTCTCCACAAAAATGGTCACCGTTCAGCACTGCTGAAGCACTCCCGGACACTGCCCTATGTGAAAGGCACTATATTAATGAAAGTTGTGGTTGTTGTTGTTGTTGCTTAGTCTCCGGGTAGTAGTAGTAGATGGCGTCGATACCACAGAGGGAATGCTTCAAATTCTTAGAGCATTGGGACCAGTTCTGGGTCAGCAGCAACCTGACCAGGATCTGATGGATCGGGCTTCATATAGGGAGAGGTGGCGCCAGTGCGCACAACTTACAGAGATTTGGGAGATGGTTAAAATAATGGCAGGACCTACTGAAAATCCAATAGTTCTTAGATAGAAACCTTAAATTTGTTCCCCACCTTCGCCCGCCCCACCATTGCCCCCATCCACTGGAACTCCATCCCGCAATCCCTCCCTCTCCCTTGCCTCCTTCAAGACATATCTCAAGACCCTCCTCTTCGACCATGCCTTAGGTCACCCTACCCTCCATCCTCCCTGATCCCGACTCCCAGCTGGGGTCCGAAATACTGATTGTCCAGCGCCTTGTGACGGCTTCCCAACATCAATTTTGTTGTTGTTGATGTTAAATTGCTTCTGAAACACATACTGTTGCATTTACTATGGTAAATGAGCACTTATTATAATACCCATGTGGCTCAAGAGCATAGGTATATAATAATGTTTTCTATCTTGCAAGGAAAATTAGATGGGATATCAAAAATATAATATATACTATATTGTTTATTTGGGTTTAGAAATGAAAACGTATTTTTATTATGATAATTTTCACTAAAATCAATAACACGGTTCATTCCATAGATTGTAATATCAGAATAGGTAGCAATATTTAAGATTTGGATTATTAACAAATTAATAATTGAAGGCATCCAACACAGACTGCATTATATTTTGCAATACGTTAGAAGCCAAATAATTTGTGGAAGGAAAAATGTGGTTTAATCCTGAAACTCACTGACTACCAAAATGGTTTGAGCTGTGGGCTCATGTTTTTTGATGGTCTCCCTTGTTATTTGATCCCACCCACCATTCTACATGAGAATGCTGTCTAATAATATATTTGCTGAAGGGTAATCTCCAACATACATTCTACAGAATCTATTTTGGGGAAAATATTGTGGACATCTTTTTCCTCTTCTCGAGGGATACAAACAAGGTGACAAGTGTAAAATTAGAGGTCAGATTATTAGAAGTGAGATGAGAAAACAATTTTAAGCAGAGGGTTCACAAAATCTCAAGACTAGTTTGGATGAAGAAGACCTTTCATCTCATCTGATCTCATTCTTCCAGAATATCCCATCCTGTCACCTCCCTACCGACCTCAAGCTGCTTTTTAAAATGAGTCCAGTATCCTGGCCTCAACTGTCATTTCCTGGCAACCTCCTAGATGTAGCCTGCGCCATATAAATATAAATTTGTATTGCATTGAATTGTAACCTGTTCCATTTGTTAATTACTATCTGTTCTAAAATTGCCCTTTGAAACTCTAAACCTATGTTCTTGAGAAGATGTGACCATATTACTTCAAAAGCCTATGGAAGTGGAATCAATTGGGATGTTAAAAGTATGATAGGTATTTGGGAAGTGAGGATGTGAGGTATAGGGGAAAAAAATGTGAATAAGATTAAAAGAGGTGTACGATTTAATTGACTGGTAGAGCTGGTTCAGTGGGCTGAATGTTCTTATGTTCCTATTGCTTTAACAAACAAAAGTCTTACAATGAGGTAATTCACAGCGTTTATTACAGGGTTGGACAGACAATTGAGAAAACCACTTTATTCCCAGTGTTTGAGGTTCTTTCCAAAGTGGCTGTTAAACAGTGGTTGAACACCAACAACAGACCAGACCCTTTCTCAGATTTCAGTGCTGCGTTCAGCATTTTGAGCATGGTGGTGGTGGGCATTGTTGCTTTTGGCATGATTGTTGGGGTGGTGGGCATGATTGCTGGCATTGCTGCACAGGTGGTGGTGGGCAGGACTGTTGGCACGATTGCTGCTGCTGCTGTTGGCATTGAGCCTCGCACTGTACAATCACTTTAATGGCTGTTCCCTTGCGTGCGGTTTCAAACGCTTCGGCAGCCTGCTCAATTGGGAAACGGTTAGTGATCATGGGCTTTACATCCACTTTCTTTGTACCCATCAGGGCTAAAGCAACCGGCCACCTAGAAGAGAACAAATACAAAGCGACGATAAACTCAAGTCTATGCAGATGATCCATCAAGCAGGTGGGAATAACGGAACCTATTAATTGCTTTTTTCAGCAACGTGAAAGATTAAATTATTTTGTAGGGTTCAACACTTTTCTCCCTATTGCTACACTGGAAAGAGGGGGACATCAACCATTCACCACCAGTCTGCGAGTTGCCAGGTACCAGCCAGGTTCTCCTGTGACCAGGTATTTCTAAGATCTGTCTGGTTAACTTAGAGTAATGGATACAAGCTTTTTTTCCCCATTTACCATACTTTTGGAATGATAGTAATGATATTACTCAGCAAATGAGCTCTGTTTCACCTCTCTTCCCACCCTGCTTTTTCGGGGAACAGGAGAACCAAAACAGAGTTTAATGATGAAAATGTGAATGATCTCAGTCAGTGTTTCCGTCTATCAGTCTGAAATACAATAACAGTAAATAACAACCTCAAAGCAGTAGTCTATGCAACACATATGCAATGCTTTTGTGATCTGCGAGTGTAAATGACTTTTACTTTTTTTTTAGTACTTACGTGTTAGTGTATCTAAAAAGCCCTCGGACATCAACCTCTCGAAGTGAGCCATTTAACATGGGGAGGTTTGCTGTAGCCGCACCAACGCCAACCAACACCAAGGTTCCTCCACTGCGTGTAGCCTGAAATAATGAATTAATACAATTTTATTGTAGCACAGAGCTGAAAAGGCAGTAAAATAATACAACAGAGGCAAATATCAACTCCCTCTGAAAAAAACAAAGGAGCATTGGGTTATATTTACGACATAACTCCTATGTAACTAAAACTATTCGTCAAGGTGTGAACGAATAGAAAATGCAAATCTTTTTAATTGAGCTGTAAGTTCTCTTCATTTTTCAATACAATAGTAACCTCAAGCTCATAGCCTACAAAACAATAACAACAACTTACACTTATATAGTGCCCTCCACGCAGGGAAACGTCTCAGAGCGCAGAGCGCTTAATGGTGACGGAGCCTGACTGTAGGCACGGTCAAAGAGGAAAGTCTTCAAGCAGGACTTGAAAAAGGAGAGAGAGGGGCAAGCCGGAGCGATTGAGGGAGAGTGTTCTAGAGTTTCGGGGGGTAGTGGCTGAAAGTGTGACCTCTGATGGTGGGGCAGAGGGTGTGAGGGATGAGCAAGAGGTCAGTGCCAGTTGAGCAGAGGTGCCAGGTAGTGGAGCAGGAGGTTGGAGAGGTAGGGAGGTGCCAGAGAGTGAAGTGATTTGAACGTGTGAGGATCTTGAAGTCGATCGGTTTGGTGATGGGGAGCCAAACAGGCTGGGCCAAGACTGGTGAGATGTGGGTATGGAGTTTGGTCTGGTGAGTATGCAGGTGGCAGGGTTCTGGATGAGCTGGATTTTTTGAATAGTGGAGCTGGGGAGACCAGCAAGGAGTGCGTTTGAGTAACAACAATAACAACTTGCATTTATATAGCGCCCTTCACATGTGGTAGCGTCTTGGGGCACTAAACTGGATCCATTGGCAGAGTTAATTTAAGGTAAGATTTGAGATATTTTAACTATCAGATCCATTTATAAGAAAGAATAAAGATTTTCTTTAATTGAGGTAATATTAAACCAGTTCTGGTATTTCTCACGGGTAATAATCCTTGCATTTGATATTGTGCCTTATCACATTGTTGAGCGACTCAAGGCATCTCAATATAGTCTTGGTCATCCACAACTCAGAAAAGTATAAGAAAAATAATAAGGATGAGCACCTTGAATACTTACATAGATGCCAATTTGCATGCAGAATTCTGCCCCACTGCACTCAATGGTTACCTCAGCCCCTTCGCAGCCAAGAAGACCCTTCAATTTCTGCGCAAATTCTAGAGGGCATGGAAAGGGCTTTTCCACTTTGAGGGTAGCATTGGCTCCCATCTGCTTGGCCTTCTCCAGACGTTCACAGCTCAAATCTAAAATGTTCGCAATGGGATTAAAAATTAAAAGAAAAAAAATCTTCCCCCGACAACAAAACAGATCTTAGATTCAACATCATCTGCCATATAATAAGCCCAAATGTAAGAGAGCAAAGAATGGCATCTTTCACGCTCTAATTGGTATAACTAGCAAATGATCCATTATACCTTTATAAGAGAAAATCCAGACACAGTCTGCGAAAGTTATCTATCACTCCATTTTCACTCTGTTGCATTCCAGCATCTTATCATCTTCCCATCTCTACTGTCAGTGATAATAATTTAAACTCTTAAAATCTTACTTAAATCTGAGATAAAGGTTTCAGATACCTGGGATTTCTCACTGTCTTGCCTTTATAACAAAAACAACAACAAAATTACATGTATATAACGCCTTTCACGTCGGGAGGATGTCCCAAGGAGCTGGGCAGTCAGTGTTTCAGACCCGAGCGGGGGGGTCGGGGTCAGGGAGGGTGGAGGGCAGGGGGTGAAGGAGGGTGCTCGAAAGTACGATCGTAAAGGAGGGCATTGAGATGGGTCTTGAAGGAGGCAAGGGAGGGGGAGGGAGGGGGCGAGGCGGAGGAATGGCGGGATAGATTTCCAGATGGTGGGGGCGGAGTGGCAGAAGGACCGCCCACCAATGGGGGTAAGGAAGGTGGGGGATGTGAAGCAGGCCGGAGCCCACTGAGTGGAGAGAGCGGGCAGGTTGATAGGGGGTTAGGAGATTGCAGAGGCCAATATGCCAATTGTATGAAAACTGTCCATCAAGGCCACCTTTGACCTCAATAAAGGTGTGCTCATTACCATTCACCATTGAAACAAGTAACATTTAGAGAATGAAGCAGGTTCATTTCTGGTACTTTTAGGAGATGGACAATGAATTTAATGCTCTCATTGAAGTGAGGAATATTTAGGAACCCTCACATTTAGATGCAGTATCAACATCAAGCACTCATGATCTACGTTCTAAACAATATCTTTATATCCCGACCAGTACTCCTTTACACACCACTGTGGACATTAGGAGGCTTTCATAGTTTAGAAACAGGAATACATTAGGGTGAGATGAAATGGACCAAATAGTTTTGTCTGAAGCTCTCTTGAAATCTTTTGAAATAAATAAGCACGTGTAACTTACTCACTCACTCACTCACTCACTCACTCACTCACTCACTCACTCACTCACTCACTCACTCACTCGTGTGTGCACTTACCACAAACCACGATTTGAGCTGCGCCCATAGCCTTGGCAATAAGCAAACAACAAAGTCCAATTGGCCCTTAATAGAAATAAGAAAATGATTAGGAACATACAACAACAGGATCTAATTTACAGTAGTTCTTAACAGATTCCTGAATGAAGAATTCAAGTTATTCATACATATAGGAAGTATGGTTTACTTTCAGCACTGCTTCCTATTTATGGCCTGCAATGTACACTGCACAGGGAGTGATGTTAGTGGTGACCTGACAACAAAGAAAAACTGACCAATGGCCATTTTTGAATGCACCCTGTTATAATGCAGTGTCTGGTGTTATAGAATCAAACCGCCATGTTATAACTGGGTCAGACTGTGTTTACGTATTTTTCTCTATGTCTTTACATGTGTAGAAACATTAAGTTAGACCCTTCAAAGGTAATTGCTGGGAAATGAATTGACTGTGTACAAAGGCAAACATAACAGCCAATGTGCACAGCAATGTCCCGCAAACAGCCTTGAAGTCAATGGCCAAATTTATCTGGTGGATTGTTGGCCAGGACACTGGGAGAAACTCCCTTCTCTTTTAAAATTGTGTCAAGGGATCTACTGTATCTACCTGAACAAACAGATGGGATGTTGGTTTAATGTCTCATCCAAAGTACAGCACCCTCTGACATTGCAGGACTCCCCCACTATTGCAAGGGAATGCAGCATAGACTGTGAGCTCAAAAGTCCTGATGGTGCTTCAACACCTTATAACTTTCTGACCATGAGGTGAGAGCGTTATCAACAGAGGCAAGCTGACACCTGCTAGAAATTTTCAAAAGTCTAATTTTTCTCCCTTCTTCAAAAACATAGCAACTCTTTTCTTATAAGTGTGTCTATAATTACCGAGCAATTCCTTTTGGAATTTGGCAGCTCCTTACCTGCCCCAAGGATCAAGACTTTGCAACCCAGCTTCACTCTCCCTCTGCGACATGCATGAATGCCAACAGAAAGGGGCTCAGCCATTGCACCTTCCTCAAAGCTCACACAATCTGGAAGCCTGCAACAAGGAGACGTTGTTAAACCATAGGACCTTTCCATATAAGAAAAGTTTGACTGTGTTAAAAGGTAGCGTACACCTATATTGCAGAGCACTTCATATTGCAGGGATGGAATAGAATATGGAGATAGAGAAAGTAACTTCTCTGATTATAAGTATTAATGGGCATTTTGTGAACCAATCCATCAGAGGCAATTTTGTAGACAAGATCAACAAGTTAGACTGAGAAGCTGTCTGGTTTTCTACCACAAGTGATAGATACATTTGAGGAGAGAAAAAGGCCAGGCTGAACACACACACAACTTCACACACCAAACTTTTATATTCATGCACTCTCTTGGGCAATCATTTAATGGCCAGAAGCAAAAAAAAATATAGGCAAAGCAATATCTGTAGTATCTAACAGCTTACAACATAACCTTGGAGCTAGCAGATGGTTCCGACTCCTTAATCCTTTGGAAATCGTAGCAGCTGAGAAATGTTCTTGTGATTGTTTGGTCTGGATGGCTACAATATTTTTTTCCCAGCTGGGTGTCTGACACATACGGAAACCCATCACCATGCTTAACAGTATCCAAACCAAACTGAGAATTCCTACCTACATATGGAATTCCCCAGAGATAGATTGTTGGAATGGAAAGTGAACTCTCTCTCTGGAGGGATGCACCCTGATTACCTAATTCCAGAAAGTATTAGGCGCAGGTTGGTAAGATCCGAGGCTTGAGGACCCAGAGTGTGCATTGGGGTACTGCTGGAATCTGACCAGCTAAAACCGCAAAGCTTGCCATTGATATTACTGTCTGGCAAGCTTTTCCACTGTTTGTTCACCCTACCAGTTAGGGCTTAGGCTTGCAGGGTTTACAGGAGCTGAGTGGGATAATTCCCTGCTCCAGTGACTGGTCTGCCCTTCCAAGTCTTGATGATGAGCTGTCATCAGCAATGCCCTGGAACACTGAGGACCCGCCTGGCTCAGGAACCTGACTACCGAGACCACCAGAGAGGGCTGGCTCGATTCCGACATTCCGTTGCTAAGAATCTCACCTTAGAGCCAGTTCAGCTCCATGGAGAACCCACTTATACAATATTACAGTGGTTTTAATATTGTAGCAATCCAAACTTTTATTCTCCAGGAAAGCTTGTAACAACAAGGTTCAAAGTAGTGTTAAATCAATGTCCGCTATACTACATGCCAAATTTACAATCATGTTAACTTTAACCATTAAAAGATAACCAACCATTGAAAAAAACTAGAGATGCCAAAAAAGGCTCTAGACATATGGTTAACACGAGGAAAGGAACTAACTTGTAGACGTATTTGGCTTTGTGGACATAGAAGCGGCACATGAGTCCATCATCAGGGGGCGTAGCGCAGAAGAAGATTGTTGGAGACAGATTGTAGCGACCAGACTTAACAAAATCATCAGTTTCTCTGGGGACACCAGGTTCAATGGCCACTTTATCACCTGTAGCAAAGAAAACATTCTCAGTGTACAATCTGTCAATGAAAAACATTAGTGTTAGGAGTAAATACTATGGATGGTGCGGTAAGTACACGAAAAACAGCATTTGGTGCTTGAAATGTTGAAAATTAACTTACCCTCTGAAGGTAAGATAAGGCTTTTAGCAGTCACTAGAGTCTCACATTGTGGGAAATGAACAATAACTAACCTTGCTTGACATGTGTCACTCCACAGCCCACCTTAGTCACAGTTCCAGAGCCTTCATGTCCAAGAACCATTGGCTTCTTCACAACAAAGTCTCCTAATTTTCCATGTTGCCAATAGTGAATGTCAGAGCCACAGATCCCCACAGAATTCATTTTAATTAGAACCTCTGAAAAACACAGAAACCTTGGAAATACAGTAATTTCTACAGAACACTGTGGATGGGAGAATTAATTTGCTTTGCTTATGCTATTTTTCTTCCACTCTCTTCCATAACTCGGTTGACACTTTATACTCCTTTTCATTCCTACTGAGTAATGTACATAAACATACCATACATTGCTATCTAATACCTTGCTCAATGGATATTGTTCATGTGTAAGTTTTGATCACGAGTATTGGAAAGCTATAAACCCTTGATCTGCAAGTTCTACATTGGGTGCTGTATTTACCAAGTTAACTATCAGAGTCTGCTTTTTGCTGTTTGGGGTCTAAAATACAATATTGTCCAACTGCATTTTAAGGAGTAATGGTAATTTCCATTTTGTGAATATCAGCTTAGGTTCGAAGATCACTCGGAATTTAAAAAAAATGATGAATTGCAAATTCCAAGACATCTAAAGTCCAAATGAAAATGGTGGCATGAAATGAATGGGAAGATCGATGATTTTTACCTATTCACAAACTCAGTGCAAATATCTCAATCTGATTGATGTAAAACCAGAAGCCACAAATGAATGCAATGAATCCATTCTAAGATATATTTTAGACCCTATTGTGTAACATAAACAACATCAGAGAAATTAAAATGACTAAGCCATTTTACCTCCAGGATTTAATTCTGGAACTGGACGATTTTCCTGTTGAGAGAGGCAAGGCAAATTTTAATAAGGTCTGATTTACTTGTGGCAATAATAATGAGATCAGCAATACTACAGCTTAAAAGAAATAATGTGAAACAGATCTATCAGTCATTGTGGATCCCAGCTGGGCTTAAAGGGCACCAACTGCCTTTGGCATCACCCCATTTTCTTGAAGGAGATGGGGGATATGGATATTTTCCGTCCAACAGTAAATTGAAGCTATAAGTTTTTATGTAATCTCTACAATTGCCTTAGATCAAAAATTCATCAAGCTGGTAATTTCCCTTCCCTCCTTTAGATTGCATCCTCAAAGGTTTCTAAACAAGCAAGTCCCCTCAACACTTTGCCTTAGCGCTTAGTAAAGTCAGTTCCTCCTGCTAAGATTAACAACTTAATGCTGACTATATCACTGTATAACTTGCAGTATAATAAGAGGGAAAAAGCTTACCAGTTTCAGTTGTCCTGGACAGGCAGTCACCACACTTAAGTTTTCTTGAGACATCTTTAATCTCTCAGGCGCCTGGTGACTTCAGGGTCACTTGCAGATGTGTTCACTTTCTGCGGGTGGTTGTTGGCAACCAAGCACTCGAGCTGAAATGTCAGAGGTGGAGATTTTCTTATCCCTGTACTTCTCCCTCTCTGGACAAGGTGGAAAAGATGTCACCTTTAAAGCACAACCCAGACTAAATAACTTGACCAACTACAGTACAGAGTTTAACAGGGAAACATCACACACACAGCCACGGCAACCATTGTAAGGTAAGCAAACATCATCCTTGCTATTGTTACATCAGTTGCATGGCCTTGCCATCCTTGACATTTCTGAGCCTCGATTGGCTGAGAAAGTAACCTATGGAGTTATTTTTCAGCCGATCAGCAGTCAACTTTTCAAATTAGGTCAAGTTAGGGAGGAAGTTTTTAAAATAAGATGTCTAGGAGGAGAAAGCACTTTCTTCCCTGCCCACTCTGCCGTTTCTTTCTTGCGATACACACACATATACATATATACATATATGTATATTATATATAGAGGAAATATTACCCTCAGTGTGCTCTGGATTGGCTATATTTAATTGTAATGGGAGACAGGCTTTGACCTGAACCCAGTGTGACTCAAGAAAAATCTCTATTACGCAGAGACAGCTCCAGATAGCCACTGTTTCTCAGTCCAGAAGTTCGGATTAATTATTAGAATAGCAGTGAAATAAACTGGCTTCACTGGGACTGGGTATTGTACTGCCATTTGATATTATGCATTCAATAAAGGTGCCAATTAATTATGAATATTCCAGGCAGAGGTGATATGCTGTGGTTGAAAGGGTAATCCAAAAAATGATACAACATCTGGAATTGCAAATACAAACAGCAAAGGAAGAGGCCATTCAATCCATCATGGCTGTGATGGTTTCAGCTATTCCATTACAGCTGACCACTCGAATCGCAATCACCAGCTCTTCTCATGTACCCTTTTATATTGTTCTTCTTCAAATAGATTATCCATTTCCTTCCTAAATAGTAATCATACTCCTTGTATTTGATGTAGCTCTAATAAGCGCTTCACAGATAATTAACTGTGTGTGTGAATATCAGCGGGAAGTGAAGAGGTCAGGAGCCTCCTCCAGCCAAATTCACATGTGAATAAATCACCAATTGAGCATCCACCACCCATGAAACTGCATGCCAGCACGAGCAGGCTAGCGACCAGGAGCAGAGATATGCCAACGGGGAGGAGAAAATTAGAAAAATTGAATTATAAAGCACAGAAGGAGGCCATTTGGCCCATTATGTCCATTGTGAAAGAGCTGTCCAAATTAATCCCACTCCCCTGCTCTTTCCCCATAGCCCTGCAAATTTATAGAATCATAGAATTGTACAGCACAGAAGGAGGCAATTAGGATTAGAAAATAATTGGACACAAACGTATTTTAAAAAAAGAAAAACATTCTGTTCCAAAATTTCATTTTAACATTGATTGGTACATTATGTCACTCTTTCCATTTGTTTATTTCCGTCTTACTGAAGCTTTCCTTTTATATGTTTCTGTCTATTCAGGTATCACTGGCTTGAAGTAAAACCTTGACTAGACCACTTGAGGGGCTACATCAACAGGCAGAGCTTGAAAGTGGAACAATCCAAGGTTAATGTCTACAATTCTCCGCTCAAGATAATTCATTGTAATGGTTCTGCCAACTCGGACTAAGAACACAGATTTTTTGGGACTAAGAGGAGCATCCTTTACATAGGCGGAACAAATGGCACCATAACTCAACTGTTAAAATTAAAACATTACAATGAATATTCTTCACTCACAGCATCTAATTTTACTGAGTTGAATGTATCTTCGTTATGGAGGATTACATCATCCAGAACAGTTATGAAACATTGACAAAATGTAATTCTAAACGTCTGCCAGGAAGAACCGTAAGACACCCAAGTTTTCTGCAGGCTGGAAGGCAGAAACTGTTTGTTTTGAATCACGTTACTGGATCTTTAACATCCCCTGCACAGTCAAACGGGACCTCAGTTTAACTTCTCACCCGCAAGCCAGCACTTTTGACAAAACAGTATTCCCCCAGTCTTGCACTAGAACATCAGCCTGGGCTATGAGCTCAAGTCCCAACGAAGGACTTGCACCCAGAACTGACTGACCTAGAGAAAAGAATGCTACCAAATGAGCCAAGCTGACAGCATAATGAAAAATGTAATGCAATCGAAAGGCAATGTACATTTTTAAAAGAGTTGAACAGACTAAAGTCCTGTGAAATGTTATAATGAGAAGAGTCACTAACATTTCCCCTTTACTGTTCGACTAAAGATATTAATGATGAAAGGCATTTTCCTTTTTAAAAAAAGCGCGCGTGATTTATATGAAAGGTGGACTAAAAATGGATTGCTGCTTTATATCCGTCACTTTGTATTCTTACTGTCAAGTCTACATCATTAACACTGATGGATAATCATTGGTTACACATATTAATTATAACTTTTTGAGCAGTTATTATTCATGAGTTCATATGAAGGTTATTCTAAAAGCATGAACGAATGGGTTTAGAGGAAGGTTAATGGAATAGGAAGACTGTCAGGAGTGGTCAATGCTCATAATCGACATTTCTTTTTTAAAAAAATATAGCAGATGTATAGAAGTGAAAATGATACAAACTTGAGACCATAAAATACTATATAACTAAATAAAGAGTTAATGCAATTATTTTATATTGTACATTTTCATTTTCTCCAGTGAGATGTGTAAGGTGCAATCATTTGATTCCAGTTTGCAATATTTGTAACGCCGAATTCTTGGAGATGCTGCCACTTAGGACAGCAAACAAAAAGGTATCTGAAAGAATTCTGGAATTACTTTCTCAATCCCATTCTCATCCTCAGTACTTCTAAAATATTCTTTCTGAGATGTCTCTTTTTCAAGTCTGTTGAATACGTTGGGCAAGATTCCTTATTCCACACAAACACCTCTGTTTACCTAGCAGTAAGTAGGAACCTGCTTGTTAGTCGATTGGCAGAATATTTTTCCGGGGTCATAATCCCTTCAAAATAATAATAATTTGATCGCTCAATCCACGACTGTTTGAGGACATCTCTGTGCGCAATTGGCTGCCGCATTTTGCTCACAAAATACACAGTCACTACACTTTACAGTATATCCTGTGAAGCGCTTTGAGACGTTCTGAAGATGTGATAAGGTACTATATCAAATGCTTATTATTATAATTATTTTAACTAGCTTGTCATTCCTCATATTCATTCATTTTTAACACTGGGATTATCCTCATTGCTATCTTTGCACTGCCTCTGGGGGCCAGTCAGTCCCTGATGCTAGATCTTGCAATATTGCTCTGTTGACACTATAAAAGAAAAGGGAGATTCTCCCAGTGTCCCGGCAAAACATTCCTCTAGGTAAAATCGGTCACGTCTTGTGGAACTTTGCTGGGTGCAAATACACAGTTACTATATTTTACAGAAATTCCTTGTGAAGTAGTTATGTTTTGACACTATAGGCACTATATCAAAGGCAAGGATTTTTATTATGAAATTAATGTAGGGTTGAGGACTTGGAATATGAATCAGCACTTACATCTTGTAATGTTCGTGCAGTCCCAGCAGGTATGATTACAACCTTTCCATTAGGAACCTGTTCCAAGCAGGTCTGAGTACTCTCATGCCTTATTATTCGATGCAATAAAAGGTCAACTGGTAAGCAATACGTTTGGGTACTTTAACATTAACATTCTGTACACAGACAAAGATAAGGTGAAAAGCATCAATACATTTAAAATTATCCTTACATTTGGTATAGCGCCTTCCACATTGAGACAATGTCTCAAAGTTCTTTAAGGATTTTACTGTAAACTGGAGTGACCATGTGAAAGCATATAGATATGTACGTACAGCCGTGCCAACAACCTGACCGTAAAATGTTTTCAATGCTACAAGTCATTTGAAGCATGTAAAAATGCCTGTTGTATTTACACATATCTGTGGAATGTGACTGCAAAGTAGACAATTCAATTTCCTTGACATTCGCCCACACTGTCAAACCTCTGCTTAAATAATGAGCAGAGTTCAGAAACTGGGCTTGATATCTGTCTCAACCTGTTTTCCCAGAGACGATTATTTGCATGTCACACAACTGTGCTCATTTTGAATCTGTCATCAAGGGCCAGTCAGGCATTCATGGAATAAAGCAAAGTCAGGACCTAAAAGAGCTCATTTTTATGACAGGCATATGCAAGTAGGATTATATCCAACTTTAGGGTCAATTTTGCTATATGTCATAATGACTTCATAATTATTACCAGCTTCTTGCTGTTAACTAGAAGTACATAATAACAACATGTTTTGCATTTGATATAGCGCCTTATCAAGTTGTTGAGACATCTCAAAATGCTTCACAGAATATACTATAAGGTGAATTGACTGTGTTTTGTGAGTGGCACGACATTTCAACTCCAGGTAACCCCACTCTGAAAATCGGTCGAACCGGAGACGTTTTTCGACATGATAATTCAAATGCAAAGATTATTATTGCTGAATGCAGTAAAATGCTTCTAAATATTCTGCAAAGATAATAGTTAAAAATAAATGCGTTTTTCAAAATCTAATAAAGCGGTGTTAGCATGGTCAACGAGCAATATAGCACACATTAAATAAGCCTACTCGCTTCAGGCTGAAAGTAGTTTATTGGCATATTGTTTGAAATACACACCCCTTGACTCCTTTATAAACTTGACAGCTTCCAAGCAGTTTCATTTCTGAGATGTGCATTCAGATTGAAAAACTATACACACCCTCAGTGTGAAGCTATACCATCAGCCGCATAAAGGTGAGACACTTTCAATACAATTGCTTACTTAACTTTGTGCAAAAATGCACTGAAATAAACAAGTGCAAATAATCGAATGAAAAGCAGTGCCGTATAAATAAATCACTTGAAACAAAAGTGACTTTCACTGTGGTTTAACTTCCTGCTTTAAAAGTGGTGGCAGACTATAGGATAGAGGTCTGGGGTAACATAAAAGTTGCAAAGTACATGAAAGGCTTTATATAAATGCAATTTGTTGTTTTTATTGTTGTTGAGTTTCAATATGTGTGAGATTTATTATAATGTAAGAAAATGTATTGATGTAAGATAATGTAAGAAAAGGTGAAATGCTGACTGTTTAACCAAACATTTGGATTAAGTTAGAAAGGAACTGTTTTATTTGATTCAGAGAAGTTAATTTTCTGAAGCAAAGCAGATCAGTTTCCCAACAAACTTTCATCAGAAGTGTAATGTGTTAGCTGATGGGCTGTAGAATATAGGAAGGAAGTTAATAGAAACTAGCGTGAATATAGAAAATACTTAAATCAAGAGGCTGCTTGATAAAGCATTAAAAGGTTTTCAAATATTGTGACAAATAAGGATCTTTATAATAGGTAAAAGACTCCTATAATTTATGATCAGCAAGCTTAGCATTTCAATGGCAACCTGGAGGATTTTACTTGGCTAAATTCCAGCAGTATCCAAACGCACACTCTGGGCTCCCAAAACCGTGGCTTTCCTCAATCTACCCTGAATAATGTGTGCAACTAGTTTTTTTCTTGTGGGTATCGAGGGATATGGAGCAAAGGTGGGTAAATGGATTTGAGGTGCTAATCAGCCATAATCTAATAAAATGGCAGCAGCCAATTGCGCACAGCAGTGTCCCACAAACAGCCGTGGATTGAGTGACCAATTGTTTTTTGAAGGAATTGTTACCCCCAGAAAAGCAATCCGCCAATTGACTAACAACCAGGTTCCTGCTTACTATTAGGTAAACAGAATAATAATAATAATAATAATAATCCTTGCATTTGATATAGCGCTTTTCACGTCGGGAGGACGTCCCAAAGCGCTTCACAGAACACACTGTAAAGTGAACTGACTGTATATTTGTGGGCGAACGCGGCAGCCAATTGCGCACAGCAATGTCCCACAAACAGTCATGGATTGAAAATGACCAATTTATTATTGTTTTTTTTTGGAGGGATTATTATTAGGAGTGTGGAGTAAGGAAACTTGCCCAAGGTTTCGCCCTGCTCGGGAATGAAACCCAGTGACTGTGTTGGTGATACCATCACGGTTATGGTGAAGGAACAAGTTTGAAGTTACACAACAAACAGAATGTGACCCAAACTGTACACAGTACTCTAAGTATGGTCTCACTGATGAAGGATTGGCAGGATTACCCTACTATTTTGGTTTGCTATTGATCTTTTGATACATCCCAACATCTGGTTTGCTTTACTCACTGCCACAGAGCATTGTTAGGAGAGTTCCGATTTATTGTCAATCAGGACCCCCAGGTCCTTTTCATTTTCTATACATATTATTTTCCTTCCTTTCAAATAGTAGTCCCTTCCAGGATTTTTTGTTCCCATCTGAAGTACTTTACATTTCTCCACGTTGAATTTCATCTGCCACTGATCTGCCCAATTTCCAAGTATGTTCAAATCCTCCTGTAATTTATCTTGTTCAACTTTGCAATCTACCACCTTCATTAGCTTGGTATCATCTGCAAACTTATCCTGAAAACTGCAAACAAAGCAGAAAGTATGAACAATTAAACAAAAAGGATCATAGCATAATGCAACCTCGCCCTGAGGCACTCGTCCGGCTCATATTACTGGTTAGAAACCTTTTCCCTGGATGTCTGATGCAGGAGTGTAAGCAATTCATCTAGTCTGCTTCCTTTCCAGTACCTACCATTAATCCCTGATTCTTAATGACTTTTCAAGGCCTGTGAGATTTGACTGTTGTATTGTAAAGCCACTACTGTAGCTCAGTAGTCAAAGCACTTATCTCGCAAGTGAAAGACCTGGGTACGATCACACTCCTCTGTTTACCCAGCAGGTAAATTGGTCACTTAAAATCCAAGACCGTTTGTGGGACACTGCTGTGTCAATTGACTGCCTCGTTTCACCCACAAAATATAAAGTCAATTCACTTTACAATATATTCTGTGAAATGCTTTGAGATGTCGTGAAGACATGATAAGGCACTATATCAAATGCAATGATTATTATTATTATTGAAGAACCTTGTTATTGGTTTGCAGCCTGTAAACATTCCCAAATGTCCTTTATTCTACATATAAAAGTAAAACCATCAATTCAATAATTGCTTTGCTACTCAGTGTGTTTCCCAGTTGTTAAGCATTACTGAGGGTTGAGCAATAACAACGTTTTTGTCTTGTCATTTCCGGTACTCATAAGAGACGTGAAAGGATGACTCTGTATGATGGGATCTCCCCGTTCTACGCTTCACCGAGGGTTTCTGCAGGATTCAATACCATCGAAATTGTGATCATTCTTATATTTTTAATTTTCTTTGTGGCCTTCCTTATTGTACTCGCAGGCATCCGAGGATCAGAGGTGAGTGACATACCCTTTTTGTAGAGAATTGTAGACATCTGGAAGTAACTGCAAAGCAATTATTGAAGGTTCTCCAAATCTTATCGTAGTATTCAAGATTAATAATCCTTGCATTTGATATAGCCTCTTGTCACATGGCTGAAATGTCTCAAAACACTTCACATGACTTACTGTAAAGTGCAGTGACTGTCTATTTATAGGCAAAAGTGGCAGCTAATTTGTGTATGGCAATGTCAACACACAAGGTGAATGATCAATTTTGACCATGAGAAATTTCCTTCCTTTTTTGATTCAGTCTTAACATTAAAGTTGTTTTTCTGTGGTTCGTAGACAACCTAAGAGAAAATCAGCTTAAAAATCAAAGCAGTATTTAAGAATTTGCCAAATTCTGGATGTTCTGAAATTTTACAAAATTAAGATTAAAACTAGACTCTGTGGAATCTCTCCCCAGTTGTTGGGACAGTTTAGAAGGATCTTTGTACTTGATAACAAACAGCTGCCACTTGGATAACAAAGTAGGAAAAACAGCTGATTCCCCGATCCCTTTGACCAAACCCAGAGCTCACCCATATGGAAAATATATATATATATTAACTGTTGATTTCTCCTGCCTTCATCCAAAGAACCAAATGACCAAATCTCTCATGTTTCATTCTCATACTTTCCAGATGTGAATGTACAGTATACATACATTATTGATAACAGACAGTTTGCATTTCCCTCTGATAATGTGTGCCCTCTAACCTGTATATTTGTTTTTCAGCGACTGACCTGGTTATTGCAGATTTGTCTAAGTCTCTTTATTGGTGCTGTTATTGTTGGTGAGTGAGGTTAAACTTTTTGAGGTGTCACTACATCACACCGCATGTGGTAAAGGAGTTTGTAACACAAAGGCAATTCTGGGAATGATACGTTAACCTGTGTGAACTACATATAGCTTTAGTTGCTGCAAAGCATTGCGGAGGAGGGCAACAAGTCTGAACCCAGTTTTAGAGAAGTGAGCTCTAAAATGAGCAGAAAAACTAGAAGACACCTGGACATATTTAGTGGATACAAACAGGAATCCAGAAAATAAAGCTAGAACAATATTTCCAGATATATTACACAGATGGTAGGGTAATGGGAAAGTGATGGAAGGATGAGATCAAACTGTCTGAAGTTCCCTGTTTATCTGATCCTCTTTAGTGATCTTGTAATCAAGGTGTGTTATGAAGATGCCAAAGGACACCAGGTCACATGTCTGTTCAGCCACCTAGTGAGCCCTTTATTTCATCCCTTGACATGGGAGACACGCTCTGCTAATAATAATAATAATCCTTGCATTTGATATAGCGCTTTTCATGTCTTCTAGACGTCTCAAAGTGCTTCACAGAATAGACTAAAGTGAATTGACTGTATGTAATTGTGGGTGAAATGCAGCAGCCAATTGCTCACAGCAGCGTCCCACAAGCCGTCGTGGATTGAAAATGACCAATTTATTATTGGTTTTTTTTGAGGGATTATCATCAGGCGTGTGGAGTAATGAAACTTGCCCAAGGTTTCACCCTGCCGGGAATCAAACCAGGTCTCTCACTTGCAAAGCAAGTGTTCTAACCGCTGAGCTACAGGACTTCACTCATCAAATTTGCTCATCAAATTCTCTGGTAAAATGTGGGACAGTGATAAACATGCTAATTTAGCGCTTGTATCTGCTATGCCTGTTTATCAAGTTAGAACAAGGAAACGTCTATACATTGAATACCTATGAAAATCTATCTTGCCACTGTGTACTCTCAATAATGAGGAGGGAATGAAAAGAAAAACAAGTTGGCTTTTTGGAAACAATCCAAGAGTGGTATAATCTTTCATCATTTAGTAGCACAAATAGTCAGATGTATGTCAGAGACAGTTGACATGTACAGTTAAACAATACTCATGGACGTATTCACTGAGTTAGTTGAGGCATAATACAATGGAATAAACTCAAAATAGCAACCGCGCACACCTGGAGAATACAGAGGAGATTGCTTGTTTATATTTAGAAAGATAACACATTGCTTTCCCACACGCTCCAGTGTGCAAGTCCCCAGAGGAGGGCAGCAAACATATGAAAAGTGAAATAATATGCAGTGTTGCTCAGCAGTGATCAGCTCTGCAAGTCACTGTAAATCAAGTCAGGCACTTGAGGGAAAGTGTAAAGTAATTTGGAGTAGATCCCCGTAATTCAGAGGTAATAGAAGACAAATTGTGGGGTGTGTTTGCTATATTTCTGAATCAACTACACACATTATCAAGTCTGTTTAAAAAATGCATAATTTCCATCACTAACTATATTCTTCGTGATGTGGTGACAATAGCAGATCAGAATGAGCAATTTATTTGCATTTTATTTTATTATATTATTATATCTATTAAACATACTTTCATATCTGATGATATTAATTTGTCCTAGTGCCTTTCAATTAGAGAGGACAGCTCAAAACACTTCGTAGGATTTGGTGTAGTGACTGTGTATTTCAATGACAAATAAATGGTTTCTTCATTTCTTTCCAGTGGTTAATTTTACCAATAACTGGGAAAGTGGTTATGCCAGAGTAAGCACAAACTACAAGTCCTTCAACAAGGAGAAAGTAGATGCTGAAGTTGGGCTGCATATTGGACTTGCTGGAATCAATGTAACTCTAAGAGGTATATAATAATAATCATTGCATCTGATATAGCACCTATAAATGTCTATACAATATAAGGTTTAGGACAAACTGTTTATACAATATATAGTTTGGGACACGATATGTCAAGCCAAGTGGTGCCAAAGATGGTGGTAGACAAACTGGATGGACCTCGGTCTTCTTTCGCTTCAACAATTCTTATGTTTTTCTAGTGTCAAGACTAATAACTGTATATGCACATGGATTTCACCAACATGACCATCCGTTCTGATCACATTCTTTCTCACTCAGTCTCATTTAGTCCTAAGAATCTTCTGCTCTCATACAGCCTCAAGCAATCCTCAGTATAGTATAGGCTTCCTCTCCTCCATCCCCACTGAGCTCTCAGAATCTCCCATGTCTGTACAGGCTTGTTTAACCCTTGGGATCCCAGAATAATTGTAATACACTGATAAGATAACACTGTAATACTGGGATTCCTAGTATCTTGGAGCTGGCAGTAAACTGCTGGCCGCTGCTGGATGCTCAGTTATGAGAAGAAGTCTCCATTTGCGCAACCTTTTGAGAAATCCAGTTAAGAAAAAGCACAAGTTAGACTCCAGTGTTCTACGATTTGACTGGCCTTCTCATGCAATACAAATTATTTCATCAACACATTTCACACTGTATCCATGCTTACTATGGTACACTTGATGATAATAATAATCCTTGCATTTGATATAATGCCTTGTCACGTCATTGAGATGTCTCAAAGCGCTTCACAGAATATACTGTAAAGTGAATTGACTGTATATTTTATGGGTGTATATGTGACACCTTGTACCCGACTGCTCATTAGGGGTTATCTCCTTGGGATTATCACTGCAATTGTCACCTCCTGGAATCTACTTTGTTACTAAAGGAAGAAACTGAATGCTGAGGTGAGAGTATTTCTTGTGGCGTTGTGGAGTATTATTCGGGAGATACCTTAATCTGACCCAATCAGTATCAGGGCTTCTCCAGCTCCTTCACATACTTCTCTTAATAGAACCATACCTAGTGCAATTCTACTGAAAAGAACTTCAGATTCCCAAGGGATTGTCTATATATGGCAAGCTCTGTTTTGAGGAGATCTGGATCCACTATCTGGAAGTTGCTTAATTCTCCACTGTCACGGATTAATGTCCTTATCAGTGTCGGAACCGTAGATATCATATCCCTTTTACAATGGATTTAAATCTCATCTCGATTACTACCAGTAGCGAACTGCCAGTCAGTACACTGACATATTATTACATTCATCATTTTCTCTCTTCTCTGATACTGGTCAAGAGCTCTAATCTAACCCAGGGTGCCAGATTGTGAGAACAGAATTTGAGTCTAAACGTGACACACACAAACCATCCACTAATAGCCACGTACAGTTGGCAGTTTTTTCCATTGTGGATTAGACCCTAGATTAGTGAAATCTGTATTCCCATTGGTCCCATGGATGAGCATTAGGAAGCAGTAAAAGGCTATATTTCTGGACTGAGCTGAACCGATGGAGCAGTGTAGCACCAGCCTTGACAGACACACACACACACAAAGCTTGTTATATAAAGAGGATGCTTGATATGACTTCCCTGTTGACGATGTAGCAATTAAACAAATGTGATAATGATAACAATAACAATAATAATAATCATAATCCTTGCATTTGATACAACACCTTATCATATCGTTGAGATGTCTCCAAGCGCTTCAGAGGATAGACACCAAAGTGGTTTTGACAGGCAAAAATAATGAATTATAGTGGAGTGGTTCCTGTGTACAGCTATCACAGTCTCTGTGATAATGTCACATAAACCCCACATTAAATATGGCCAGTTTCCAAATATTGTATACTTCCAACTCTATTCTCAGGTAAGTTATTAGTTTATTATTGCTTGTTAGAACATTGTCTGAATAGGGCCAGCACAGTTAAGTGTAATCAGAGACCTTTGTCTGAAAGGGACATCATTCTAATGTAAAAAGGTGATAAAAGCACTATATCAAATGCAAGCATTATTACTATTATTATTATTATTATATAAATGCAATGTGTTGTTGAAAGTCAGCTTTCGCTGTCAGGTCGGGTTGGATTATGACCTTGAGTACTGCTCATGGAGTTTGAGTCAACAACTATCTAACCCAAAGGCAAGAGTACAGTCAGCTGAGCCATGCTGAAACCTTGGATGGCGGAAATCCATAGGAAGGTAGACAGGTTTTATATTGGATGAGAAAGAAGAGGGCTTGAGGAGATGAATGGTTTATTTCTGTTCCTTACTCATGCTCTCCAAATTGCCCGCTCCCTCCGTTCATTGAGCTCTGGCCTGCTCCATGTCTCCCGCCCGACTCGCTCTTCCATCGGTGGCCAGGCTTTCAGCCTCTCTGTCCCCACACTCTGAAACTCCATGCCCCGGTCCCTTCGCCTCGTTTCCTCCCTTGCATCCTTCAAGGCCAGTCTCAAGAACCTTCTCTTCGACGGTGCCTTTGGTCTCCCTCCCACCTCTCTGCCTTCCCTCACCACTACACCACCCCTCCCCCATGCTCAGGCCCCGACACCTAACTGTCCAGCGCTTTGAGATGTCCTCCTGACGTGAAGGGCGCTCTATAAATGTAATTTTGTTGTTGTATTTTGTTGTTGTTCTTATTATGCTGACTTTTGAGAACTCCATAGTAACCTGTGCAGATTCCTCTCTCCTCCAGCTTATGAAAAATAATAATGTATTTGCAGGAATCCCTGAGAATCAGCTGAATGAAACCATAAACTACAACGAAGAATTTCTTTGGCAGCTTGGATCGAGCTATGAAGGGCAGTATCAAGATGGACTCGAGAGGGGGCTCCCAAACCCAATTTTATATCTAGCAGAAAAATTTACTCCAAGCAGCCCTTGTGGTGTTCATTTACAGTACAGAGTCTGTAGCTACTATGCATCAGCCACCATGTGGTAAGTGCAACTAATATAAACACAGTTAAACCACAACCACCCTTCCTATCACCTGTTCCAATCACCAATTACCCTCTGAGTAAAAAGAGACAGTACAACTCCTGATAGAACTCTTTTTTTTAGTTAGCCCTGTTATTGCGATGCCTGTATTTTTAAGGTAAATGCAGTAGGCAACTTGTACAAACTACCATGAAATGAATGATCAATTTATCAGGAGCACTGTTGACCAGAGCACTAGGAGAATACTCTGATGTGGGGCTTGACCCCACAACCTTCTTCTGATCCAGGCAGAGATTGCTGCCAAATGAGGCAAGCTGGCACCTCAGGTGTTAAAAGTGTCATTTTTGGCTGCAACAGGAAAAAACAAGCCCCCAAACGGCTTTGCTGGAGCAATTGGAGGTTTTCTGGCAGATCTTAAAGAATATGCTCTGCAATTTTAGTAAGTGCCGTGTTGAGTAACACTTTCGAACTTCCAGTCTCGGTTTCAATTACTACTAACCAAAACATTCATTTTGGTTTAAAAAAAGATAAAAACTATATTTAAATTGTATTTTTGAAATCCAGTTGCTCATGTCAATAGTACCACCTAATCATAGATCATTTTATTGCACATTTTGCTATGAATGTAAATATCTGTGAAACATGCTTTCCAATTATGATAAATAGGCTTTTTTTTTCTTCACTTATGTACGATTTCCATTGAAACCACAGGCATTAAATTCTTATGTGAACAAGTGGTATATGCTATATGCTTAACTCTTAACTTAAATCTTTTCACTATTATAAACACAGAGGTTTAAAGTCTGTGTTATTACAATAATGCATTCCTCGTGTTAATCAATCCATTTTGAGTTATGAAATGCCATAGACTTACTCCATTGTAAAATAATTGGTAGATTTTAAAACTGACATGTGACAAAATCCATCATTTGCTTTTGTGGGCCACACTGTAGAATTTTCTTGTCAGTTCTGACTTGCACAGTAAAACTCACATAAGTTTGATTTATATAAATTGTATAATCGCCTAAGTCATATAACTGTCCAAGTCCCGTTGAATTTCCTATTATTTATAAGTTTCACATAACACATACTTTACATAAGTCATATTTAATGTATGGTCACCACTAATACGACTTATGTGAGGTTTACTGTTTTAACAATGGAAGATCCTGGACAACAGTCGTTTAGCTCAGATTCAGAGAAGTTACACTTCAGATAGCCAAAAGCCAAGCCCAAAGGTTAAGGTTGAATTTAGAGCTGAGTTTTATGCAGCCAGGTCCACAGAAATCCAAGGTTGCCTATGTGGCTCATCAGTGAGATTTATACATGTCTGTCTGGCACATATACGTGTCTATCTGACATGCACAGTTAGAGATCTTCAATAGAAATGCTTGTAGCTTGAAGAAAACCTGCCTTACAACAACAGCAAGATTACATTTCTATAGCGCCTTTCACGTCGGGAGGATGTCCCAAGGTGCTGGACAGTGTACAGCATTTCAGACCTGAGCTGGGGTCAGGGTGGGAGAGGGGAGGGGACAGGAAGGGGGTGTGGTCGATGGCATGGCCTTATGTTCTTAACTGAGTGGGCTGGTGTGTTTCTTCTTACCAGGGTGGCTCTGTGTGGTTGGCTCTTATCCAACATCCTTCTGAAGATGCAGGTCATTTTAACCGGGGCATACATGCTACTGGTAACGGGCTGTTTCATGATCTTCTCATTGATCTCATTTGGTTCGACGAGAAATGTTGTTCTCTGCCAAATTCAGTTTGATCAAGTGAAGTTAGAGACCGCTCTGGGTCCATCTTTTTGGTTAGCATTAGTAGCAGGTGAGTACCCAGTTCATCTGTTTTGTCCTGTTTGGAAAAATAAATTTATTTTAGCCTCATTACTCCAATTGGTATTTAAGTAACCTTTAGGTGTCAGCCTGGCTGATTTGGTGGAATTCCTGACCTTGAGTCAAAAGGTTGTGGGTTTAAGCCCCACATGAGGAATTTGAGCTTATAGTTTAGACCAGGAATAGGCAACTTGCGTGCATAATGCCTTCCGTACCTTCTCTCCTTCAGTGCGTATCGCCTCAGTTTTAAGCCTTTTATTCGAACTATATTTTGGCAGAAACCAGACTGATATCTTTTTTTTAAAACAAATCATCAGAAGAGAAGAATAAAATAATAATCCTTGCAATTGGTATAGCACCTTAACGACAGAAGAACGTAACAGAATGCTTTACGGGATTTACAGTTATGTGTAGTGACTTTTATTTTGTAGGTGAAGATGTATGCTTGTCTTAAAATGAATTGATTTTTTTAAAATGAAACAAAATGTCTTTGTTGGTGCAGGTTTACTGTGTTTCATTATTGGAATCACTATCATTGTTCTGAATTTTGTGGCTCCGACAATACTGAGAAGATTGTTTCTGCTGAATGGAGATAATGATGAAGATGACTTCATAAAGGAAGATCACAGTGGTAAAGTTGACAAATCTGTGTCCAAAGAAGCTGTACCGCAACAAGTGAGTGAGAACGAAAGTCTGAAGTGCAGTTTGCGCTAACCAATAAATCAGTGGGACTTTCCTAATTTGTATTACATTTAATTAACGCCCAACTGTGAACAGAATAGTATCATCAGGGATATGGAAAATGAACATTATACAAGAACAGGAGTAGGCCATTTAGCCACTCTGCCATTCTATTAGATCTGGGCTGATCTGTACCTCAACTCCAATTATTAGATTAATTCTTTAGATTTTTCCCACTCGACTTCTGTTGACCCTAAATCCTAACTGGTAGCCCCAGCTTGACAAGCAGCAGGATACTTACCAGTGTCTTGTTCCAGCCGTTAGCTGGTAAAATTTCAGCGGCAATGGTAAAGTACTCTAATGCCCGGCTTCTGTCAAACTGCTTGTGTTCTCCTTTGGGGGAACGAAACTGTGAGCTCCGAAACCAACAAATGGAAATTTAGCCTCTTTGAGTTCTCGGCAGCAGGAGCAGCAAATTTGTCACCACAGCGAGTTCACAAGAAATTTATTGTTGAGGTTTATTTTGCGTTCCTTTTTCCCCTCATCATTGTTCTCTTCTCTTTCCTAGAATGTGAACTTTGTTGTTTAAACCAGGAGAAAAAATACCTCACTGCAACTGAAGCCTACAATGAGATCTTTCAAATCTATTCCTTCTCACAACGGAGTCTCGCTCTTATATCAATTTATATATCTCATCTTTCACAACATCTTGTACCTGTTCCCCTCACTCCACCCCACACAATACAATGTCTAAGCAACAATCAACTCAGGAGGTCCTTACAAAACTCCAAACTGGAATTATTCTGGAGAAAATCTGTGTGGATCCTAACGATACAAAATCCATTTTAGGGTCGTCAACGAATAGTTGGATATGAGTTTTGAATTAGAGGGCAAACTGAAAAAAATTTTTGAATACAAAATAAAAATCACACGTAGATAAAAGACATGAAGATTTTATTGTTTGTATTCCTTTACATTAACCACAACAGACATACAGATGAAATCATAGTCACTAGAATGATAAAATTGGTCCTGCAAAGTCCAATAATAGCATAATCTAAAGATTATTTTTCCCTTTAAGGCCCTGACTCAGACTGGGCTGTATTACTATGGGCAACAAGTGACTTTCTTCATGTGTGACCTCAATGAGTGTCAGCATATTATTTGTCCGTTGGGAGTCTCACGGCCAAACACATGCATATCACATGCCCATGAGCACATACTTAGATCAATTAGCTTGAGATCAAACCCAGGTCGGTGTATCTCAGTTTCACAAGGGCCAGAAACCTTTTCAAGTGAGATATTGGGAGAAGTTCTGTATTCATTTTAAAATATTTTTGTAGTAAGTGACTCCGTGAAACTTATTCATTGATGTGGGTGAAGCACTCTTCTCCTCCAATCCATAATATTTGCTGTTGTTTATACATTAAAATTGTATTGGTGTTACGGATAAGTGCTAAAGGGCTAAGGGGATCAATTTAGCAAGTAGAGGGAATAGAGTTTATTTAATCCACGGCAATGTAGACTCAGCAGAAGATAGTATTACCCAATGATAACACCTTTACTAAATGGAACAGTCATGCTCAGTAGAAAGATTACAACTCAAGACCAAACTTTAGGGAGCAAGGGAAAATCCCCTTTTATCTTTATCCCATTGACAGGGAAGTCATGATATGTATGTGATATGTGGAGTCCTGTAGCTCAGTGCTTAGAGCACTCGCTTTGCAAGTGAGAGACCTGAGTTCAATTCCAGGCAGAGGGCGAAACCTTGGGCAAGTTTCCTTACTCCACACGCCTAATAATAATCCCTCCAAAAAACAAAAACAATAATAAATTGGTCATTTTCAATCTACGACTGTTTGTGGGACATTGCTGTGCGCAATTGGCTGCCACGTTCGCCCACAAATATACAGTCAATTCACTTTACAGTGTGTTCTGTGAAGCGCTTTGGGACGTCCTCCTGACGTGAAAAGTGCTATATCAAATGCAAGGATTATTATTATTATTATGTAACCCATTGATCCATTCTCCCTCCCTTCCCTCCCCTCACCCTGACCATTTCCCCCCTGCTCGGGTCATGACCCAACTGTGCAGCGCCTTGGGACGTCCTCCTGACGTGAAAGGCGCTCTATAAATGGAATCTTGTTGTTGTTGTTGTTGTTCTTCTTACAATGTTGGAAAGTTATCTGTACATTAGTTAGTTTCAGAGCTGGATCTTCACAGTGTCCTGTTGCCTTAAGACCTCCATTCATTTGAGCATTAGTTTACACGGGTAGTTTACACGGGTTGACTTTTACTGCCAATGACCCTTTCTGATCTACGTAGATACAAAATGGCCATCCAAGCAATGGAAGGGAAACAACGTCAGTTTGGCAATATTTATTAAAACTTGTTACAGCATTATAAATACAACAGTTAACACTTAATACAATTCTTACATTGAAGAGTCATGAACCCATCAAATCACAACAGAAAACATAGACACAAGGAAAACCAATGCTCAAAAATAGACACCTTATGTTGGGAGTAGAGAATAATTATGCACAGTTATATAGATTTTACAACCAGGTTATGTAAACTGATCTCTAGCTAACCAATTATTGCTTATCACTTACTATTGTGTGTACGTTTCATAGCTTTGTTTATCAGTGCACTGCTGGGTTCGCTCTTCGCCATTGGTACATTGTGATGCACTAAACCTTGTGAAACTCAGTCCTACCAGTTCACATGATACAACACTTCTCTGCAGTTTGCTTCAAGTCTTCCAGAGTTGACTGGGCTTTGTCCTTCAAAGTGTCAAGGTCAAGGTTCTGGATGTTGGCCAGCTGTCCGATCAAAGAGTCCTTCTCCGCCTCTTCCTCATTGTCTTCCTCTATCATTTTAGCTAACTCTTTGGGCAGTTCCACATCACCACCAGCCAACTGGATCTGGTTCTCATCCATCTCGCTCTGGAAGAACAATATGTTAAGAGGGTTTACTGTGACTGGGCAATTTATTCACTGGCTTTCCATCTTAGGGCTGTCACTGAATAGTTGGACATCGAGCTGAAGATCAGAAAGGGGAGTGGCCTTTGATTTAATGAACTCTGTTAGTACATTCATAATGACACATGCAATGCTGTAAGGGCTAAAGACAGAGATCAGTAGTGAGGTAATTGCTTTGGTGTATTAATAGGTCAAATAAGAATCTGACTTCAGGGGATTGAATAGTTGACTTCAATAATTACTATTCGTGACAGCCTTATTTTACATTCAAATTACACGGTTGAAGTTGTTTGTACCATAGGTGTGGGATTAGCTTTCTATTTAGTCTCTCATTAACAGAGCCTGCATCCACCCCCAAAGTGTCGCATTTTACCAGACTGTCACAGAGGGAGCTTAAATGTCTCGCACCATGGTCCTTCATTGCTCTCAGTAGTTGATTTTTTTTTAACATTCATATACAATTTCACGAAGCTTTGATGTTAATTGTGCTCACGATCTGACTTCTTTGGACGTCATTGAAAGACATTTCTTTCAATGCAAAGATCGACTTCAACCGAACTGTTGAGACTCGGTACCATGGAACAGAAGTGTGTGCTACCTAAATGAGATCAGGATTTTGTGATTTTTCACTTTAATCACAATAGGGTTCAAGTTGATGGGATAGGGTGTATATCGTGATGGAATAATAATAATAATAGTAATAATAATAATCGTAATAATTCTTATCAATCATCTCCAGAAGTAGATTCCTTCAGAATATAGTTTCCATGAGACAGTGCACCATACTTGGAAGGAGCCGTGTATGTATGTATGCCTTGGATTTGTAATAAAGGAATCCTATTATGACACATTGCAAACTAATCCCAATTAAAGATGATTTTCCATATCAGAAACCAGACCAATGAGCTGCTACATTTACATATCAGTTTTAGTGAGAGCTTTCAGTCAATTGGTTGTAGACTCAGGTCCAAGGTCAAGGTCTTTGAGTGCATAATCCTGGATGACATTCCAATGCAGGGTTGGAGGAGCCCTGCATTGCTGCAATGGAGGACATTTGAAATCACGCTGTCCTCCAAATGGAATGTTAACTTGTTAAAATTTAAAAATTGGTCAGTTCAATCCAGGACTGTTTGTGGGACGCTGCTCTGCGCAAGTGGCTGCCGCATTTCGCCCACAAATATGCAATCAATTCACTTTACAGTCTATTCTGTGAAGCGCTTTGAGATGTCTAGAAGACGTGAAAAGTGCTATATCAAATGCAAGGATTATTATTATATTATCCAATGTTAAATCTGCCTGGTCAGGTGGATGTTAGAGGATGCTAGTTTGGAGAAGCTAGCACCCTCTGAAATATTAGGCAGAAAGGCTGTAATTTCTGGCATTCCAAATTAGTAGGTTAGCCTATTTGTGGGATGCAAAAAAGATCTGTCTTTTTTTCGGGATACATTTTAATTTACTTAATCCGCAAATTGAAATTTACTGTGAAAATAAATATACTTTGTGAATCCACCTGGAAACAGAGTGTTGGGTCAGCCTCAAAGTGAGGGCAAAAGTCATTTCATCCTATAATGAAGGGTGCATAAAATGTGTTGCTGACATGCCAACTTTCCAAATCACAGTAAATCATCTCTTTGTAAATCCTCGGGATTCATCTTCTTGCTTACAGGATAGTTGCAGGACAGTAAACCATGCAGTAACAATCGAATACACATTCAACTGTGAAAATGCCATCAGTGTATTTTGATATCCCAATGACTGTGTTGGTGTCATGAGGAACCTGCTGTGACATAATATAGGAAACACTCAGCATTTAACTGTTTCAGTGCCACTTATAAGACGTTGAGGCCTATGTGTCTAAACTGTCATCTGTCTGTGATAGAACCAGGAACTACAAAATAATAGAGTGGGAAGCATGCTTTTTTTTTTTGCTTTATAACAGATCCCTTGTAACTTAATGTTTGTTTGTTGACTGATAGACATTGTTGTAACATAGAATTTCTCAGCATAAGAGAAGGCCATTTGGCCTATCGTGTCTGCGCCACTGCCAACATTGTGGTTTTAATTTATTCCTTTTATTAATCCTATTTTCCAGCTCTTTCCCAATATCCCATTATGTTTCTATTGCTGTATTCAGTTTCAATAAGGGACATACTGTGTCGTATAAGAAAGACTCTAATTGTCCAGTCAAATCTGCTCCTTACACAGACCATTATGCATTTCCACCTTAACCCATTTAATCTGCTGAGAAGAAGCTGTTCTCTCAAAAACAAAGTAAATCAGCTAAATTTCCAGAACACCTTGTAACCTTCTATCCTACAAGATCCATCCTTCTTTGATAATTCTATAGTTCTATTTTGCCCACATGATATACAGTCAATTCACTTTACAGTATATTTTAGCTTTTTGAGATGTCTTGAAGATGTGATAAGGTGCTATATCAAATGCAGTGATTATAATTGTTATTATTATCATCATCACACAACTCATCTTATTCCAACACAGTGGAAATAAAATCTATACTATTTCTTGAATTACGCCACAAAGTAGTTCAGACTCAAAACATTTTTTGTTTCCAATTCAGCGCATACCCAGTGCTACACTAGAATACCACACAGAGTGCAATCGGCTACAACTAACCATTTATGACTTAACACACGTTAAACTCCGGCACATTTTCTAAACTTGTGCACCATCACTGAGGTGTCTAATTAGCGATATTTCTTATCTGGATTATTTAATAGGGAATCCATCACCCAAATGAGGGATTCCTTCCAGAACCGGAGAACTTCACACTAACTCTGACAGAAGCAGAGTTGTCCCAGGGTTAATTCATATTTTTACTTGTTATTAATGTTAGTAGCAAGAGGAACTGCTGTGTTATCAGTCTTTTCTCAGTGACTGAATGGCTAAAATATTTTGCTTTGCTTCAGAAGAGCACCATGAATCTTCCCCACTCTCATGTTGGACAGTTGCAATGGTTTGCATCAGGCCTGGGCACATCCCCCCTTTGAAAACACAAGTGCAAATGCAGCAAGGAAAAACAAATCAGAAAGACTTTTCAATATGCGTGATTCACTCATGCAATTTATTTTAATACAACATTAAACTGTTATCAGATTTATTTTGTTCCTTTTCCTGTGTTTTTTCGTTGGTCTTTCCTTTCTTCCCACTTCCCACTGAGTCTCTCACTATTCTCCCCTCCTTTCTTTGCTTTATCCTTCACTCACACTAAACGCCTTGTTGTTCAAGCTGTTTACTTTTGGCTGCTTTAATGCTCAACAAACTCTCCATATTACCCTCTAACCCAACCTTCCTCCATGTTCTCCTCTAACTTGGCCTGCCTCCATATACCTCTCGGGTCTGATTCAGTTTTGTCTCTCTCGTCTTATCCACCTTTGTAAAGCCTTCTGGCTCCTGCTGTTACATTTGAACCGTGGGGAAAGCTAATGGAGATTGCAAAATGATTGAGCCCATTCTGCAGCTCAGCATCACTGCTGTCAAAGAGGGCAATGAAAAGTCTTATCCCATTTGACAATGAGTTGCCATGTAAATATGTGGACACATTTGTTGTAAGAATACCTTGTGAAAAAACTAAGGGATCCATACATCCAAGTACGAGAAGAGCGATACCAAACTCTGCCAGAGTGGAGGATACAACAGAGTCCCAGAGAAGTGTGTAATCAAATATCAGAACCTTTTCTGATCAAGTCAATGGAAACTTTGTGACAAAGGCAACTTTTTAAAATCAATGGATTGATGGTAAGACAGAAATATTTGAGCATTTTTTTCTACTGGGAGAGCAATGGTGAGTCCCAGCAACTGACCCTGAAAGGCCTGGGAATTGTCTGAAGCTCTGATTTCTATTTAATACAGAAGTAAGGGAGACATTATGTAACTCTTGCCAGGCTACAGGGAGAGAAAATTCTAAAGGGAAAGAATTCCTGTGTTTTTCCCCACAGTTCCTTGGCCAATGGACCTCGTCCAACCAACATAGATAACAATTGATGTATGAAGCCTTTTCCTCCTAACGTGAAAGGCAATATATAAATTTCAATGATTATTATTCTTACTATATTGTTGACAACAGCAAAATACACAGTCAAAGAGAAAGAGCTGTTTTGGGGACATTGCCAAATGTAACTGCTTACCTTTGGGAGTCGATATTTGTCCCTGAGATGAGTCCTCAGTGTTGCTCTCTCTGCCTTTTTTTGAGCAAAGGTAGCATCGCGTTCCATTCTGCAATGAAATATACAATTAGAGACACTTAAAATGTCTATAGCAGTAGACCTGACAGTTTTGAAAGTATCACCAGATTATGGTGTCAGGTTTATTTTGACCAAACCATGTAGAACCACAGGGCAATAAGAGCCATGCCCCGATTCCCCCACAATGTTTCTGATCAGATCCATGTCACCACGAGACAAAAAAGATTTTATTTCTGTTCAACCCAGACACAAGAGGCATGGAATCCGGTTACTGGGAAATGTTCTGAAGGTGGGAAATAAATTTTTATAAAGAGGGTTATTATTCATTATTATTATCAATCCTTGGCAACATTATTCAGAATTTATTTGCTCATCATGTCCTTTACAATAAATACTCTAAATAGGCTCCAATAAATGTGGAGTTCATTGTAGCTTTCAAGAGGGAAGTAGACAGGCATGTAAAAGAGAGGGCTCGAAGAGATATGGGGATAAGATGGGTGGTGGGATTCAATTGATCTTCTTGTTCTGTGAGCCGATGCAGACGATGGACCGAATGGGTTCCTACTGCGCTGTAGATTTGTGCATTTCTAAATGGTTTCTAATGTAGCACACTTGTAAATGCATATCAAATTAATATTTTCACTATTCTGGCATCAGTTTACTTAATTTTCTTGACTGTGAACTAATGTATGACTGTACTCTGAGCATTTCGTATAGCTAATTCATTATTGTGGGCTGAGCATCATTATTCTTTTTTGGGAAGAATTGCAAACTTACCCCTTATACATTATTGTAATGCATTATACTTCAATTCTATTAACGTTAAATAGAAGTTCATCTGAACAAATTGTGAAACTTGCTGAACAGAGGAGAAAAATACATTACAATAGGGCATTTGTTACATGCAAGTAATGGCTCATAAACTACCTCTAAGAAGAATCTGTAGAATTTTTTTTTACAGATACTCTCTCTATAAGGAGTAATGATGACATAATGGTTCTCTATAAGCAATTACAAAGCCGTAATGTAAATAAAACAACCTTGCCATCACTCCTGGGCATCTGTTGTTTCAATGTGCAACTTTCTAGTGTGGTATTATTGTGTTTTGAATCACATTTTGGTCAGGCTGAGAAGGTGATGGTCAAATTGCTTCATGTGACTGATGGATGAGAATATGCTTTCCATGAGTTTAGAATCTGTTTCTCGACAAAGTTGTTTCGACTAAATTACAATGGGGAGTAGATTTTGGAGGGTGGAAATGTTATTATTATAAATAAAGATATTATGACCAGTGTCACATCTTCATTCTTGAGCCTCTCCATATCTTTATTGTTCAAAATTTATGGCACCAGGCTCACAGTCACCTCAATAAGTTTGAAAATAAAAGATTTGATCATTTACAATTGCAAAAATAATAGCAGAATGATGACAGAAAAGCCAAAATAGAAATAGTTGGCAAAACATTGGCTGCTGCGTTTGGCCCAAAAATATACAGTTCATTCACTTTACAGTATATTTTCTGAAGCGCTTTGAGACATCTCAAGGATGGAATAAGGTGCTATATCAAATGCAAGGATTATTATTATATTTTTACATGTTACAAAGTTCACTGTTCACTCAGAAATTATTCCTCAGTGTTCTACTAAAGTCAGAAGCAAAACCGGGGAGATTTCATTACTTTCTAAAAGTATAATTTAGTAGATTAAACTAAGAAAGGAAGTCTTTAACATAAGGAAATTGTGGTTTAGTACAATATGTAAGGAGGTCTGACAGCTGTGAGCAACTACAGAGTATGAGCACAAGCCAAGTCTAAGGTTCCATCTTCTTTACTTACGTAATGTACCAAAGTGCCCTCTGCTTCCCTTCCCTGTCATCTCATGCAATTCAAATTGAATTATTTAAGGTCAAAGGAGAATTTACTCATGACATTTTCTTGCTTAAAATGTACTTTCAAAACAGGATCATTATGCCAAATAAGGAATCCTCCTCCATGCCATTTGCCTGGACTTTTTATTAATGCACCAATGAGTAATCCCCTTTAATCAACATTCTTTCATAGCGCGTGTGTGTATGTGTGTATAATGTTTTTACAGGACACGCATTAATCCTACTGTTATGTGTACTCCAAGATTAAACCCTCATCTGTGGCAAACAGACAAATTCGAATCCACAGAAGTGATTGGAATCTACCAAAAAAAACATTTTTAGGACAGAGATTCCTCATTTCTGAGACATTTGGTATTGAATCATTCATCACATTGATGGTAGAAATTGTCTGTTTATATAATCACATCACATCCGGCAGGTTTATCAACTGCCGACAACTGGGATTTAATCTCATCTGACACAGTTTGTACGTTTTAAACCAAAGGGTTTGCAGGTTTAATGAATTTATGTAATGCCATAAAAAGACACACAAAAAAGGAGAACTCTGATTTCAAAAGATTCAGAAGTAAATGGTTCTAGGTTTGGGAAATATCTGCAAAGTGCAAAGTAACTGCAAGGCAAATATTCCCTTTAACCTCATCTCTGCACTGCTAAAGCAATTAAAGGGCCGCATGTGTTTACATTTTACTGCATCATTTCCCCTAAACCCTACACAGTGATTTTGTTTACAAACACAAACAGAAATAGCTGCAGAGTATCGCCCACAAAATGCACAGTTAATTAACTTCACAGCATATACTTTGAGATGTCTCAATGACGTGATAAGGTGCTATGCCAAATGCAAGGATTATTATCATTATCCCAGATGCACTTGTTACAGGTGCATCTTTCAATGTGCTTTGCTGGAAGCAAATAACCCAACTGGTCTGCCTACATTCCCAGAGTAAATAGTTGAATGCTTTTTGCTGCATAAAATGTTCCATTTGTTTTAAAATAAAAATATCACATTTTTATAGCAGCGAAGACTTTTAAAAGCAAAGACTGCTCGTTTACCCAGCTGACACTACACTGCAAAAGAACAGATTTGGGTTCTATTAGTTATTTAATGGTAGCTGCCAAAACCATCATTGAGATTTGTGGATTCAGGGACTGGAATTGTCAAACAGAATCTCACTCAGATATCCAAATAGCATTGAACTCATACACTCCAAAAGAGGCATTCAATTAATCTACGTTCCTCGAGGTATTTCCGATTCCATACACACACAATGTAGTATCAAGGACAAAATACACAGTCAATTCACTTTACAGTATATTCTGCGAAGCACTTTGAGAAGTCTCGAAGAAATCATAAGGCATCTATTAAATGCAAGGATTATTATTATTATTGTTATATAGACATCATAGACAACACAAACTATTCTAAAAAGAGGGACTGAACTTTCTAACTAGTTCTGTTACTTGTTGCAAAATACTGGAAAGTGAGCAGGCCAGCTGAGAAGCTCTCCAAACTTCCCAACCGTTTGCAATCATTTCTCTCATGTCATCCGGTTATCAGAGCTGAATTATTAAAGGTCTATAATGTGCTAAATTCATAATCGCACCGTTACAGCAAACGCTCGGTGATAATCCACCGGAAAACAGAGAGGGGAAAAGACATGTCTGCATACAATCATATATATATCTATATATATATATATAGATATATATATGATTGTGACCCCAACGCAGAGAGAAAGAGCCCCCTGTCTCAAGTGTAATTTATATCATCTATATACACATATATATATATATAGAGATATATATATATATGTATATAGATGATATAAATTACACTTGAGACAGGGGGCTCTTTCTCTCTGCGTTGGGGTCAAACTTGGGAGGGTGGGGGTTGGGTGGGGGGTGTGGGGGTGGTGTTAGCATCTGAGTTGGAAGGAAGAGTAAACTAACACAAGGTAGGAACGCAAAAACCTTTTCAACAGATGGCTTGGCACTTTCATGCTTTCATTTCAAATCATGATTTCGTGGTGTGGCAAATAAAATAAAATAAAATAAAATAAAATAAAATAAAATAAAATAAAATAAAATGAGATGAGATGAGATGAGATGAGGGCTGTGATTTCTGAGCCGTGCAGATTTTCTCCCCGTGCGAACCTCTCTGGGTGGATCATACAGTTTTGAGACACCTCGAGGTGTCCTTGGCCTCAGTCCAGAAACAGAGGAGCACTTGTACTCACTTTTCCTCCACCAACTGCCGCTGATATTCCTCGAATTCCTCTCTGGTCATCCCTTGGGCTGCGGCTTCGGATTTTTCCCCTTCTCCCTTCTCTTCGCCTCCAAGACCCCCAGTCAGATTCTTCAGTTGCCCCCCGACCATACTTTTGACCATAAAAGCCATGTTCTTGACCGGGACTTGGACTTGGACCTCACCCACAGACCTGGACCCGAGTGACCAACTCGGTGGCGCTGCGCTCTCGGGGTTTTGGAGTAAGTTTCAGCACCACACGGTGTGGACAGCGCTCTCTCTCCACTCCTCTCCTCTCCTCTCCTGAGGGTTTGCTCTCTCCACTGTCTCCACTGACTGGACAGATATAACAGATCCTGTAGTACACGAGGCAAGACAACCCCCCACCCCACCCCCACCCACCCCCAGCAAGTCGTCGGCTGCTCTTTATTGTGTCCTTATAAGAACAGGATTAGGGAGAAACAGATTTTGTGGATGGCTTTGAGGCTTCCACAGCCTGTGCAGTGGGTCCACACTGCAGCCAGGGAGAGAAAAACCAGGGTCCTGACTGACACCTGTGGCTGGGTGGCACCAAGAGCAAAGGGTGCTCTCCTGCAAAATGGGAATGAGTCCCAGTCTGGTTCAGTCCGCACCAGAGTTCTCTCTGAAGAACACAGATAGGAAAGATTTCTGAATGCAATTCTCGGAAGCTTGACAGTACTTGCAACTTGCACCGTGCGCATACTACTACAATATTTTCTAAATAATAATAATAATAATAATAATCTTGCGTTTGATATAGCCCTTTATCACGTCTTCGGGACGGCCCAGAGCGCTTCATGGGATATACCGTAAAGTGAATTGTGCATTACTGTATATTTTGTGTGCGAAACGCGGCCCCAAATTGAACACAGCAGTGTCCCACAAACAGTCATGGACTGAGTGACTAAATTATTGTCATACGGGATTTAATAATACAAATATCTGGTATTTAGTAAACTCTTTCAAATATAAACATATTGGAAAGTATACAACAAGCCAGTTTGCCAAAATATTCCAGATTAGACAACTAATCTAGGTCATACAAACATTACAAAGCACACTATCATATATATATTATATATATTATATATATCAGGAGTCCTGTAGCTCAGTGGTTAGAGCACTTGCTTTGCAAGTGAGAGACCTGAGTTCAATTCCAGGCAGAGGGCGAAACCTTGGGCAAATTTCCTTACTCCACACGCCTAATAATAATCCCTCCAAAAAAACAACAACAATAAAATTGGTCATTTTCAATCCACGACTGTCTGTGGGACATTGCTGTGCGCAATTGGCTGCCGCGTTCGCCCACAAATATACAGTCAATTCACTTTACAGTATATTCTGTGAAGTGCTTTGAGACATCTAGAAGACGTGAAAGGTGCTATATCAAATGCAAGGATTATTATTATATACATATTGCATCAGATTCAGGAATGGGTATGACTAATATCTCATGCTTTAGATAAACGGTTTGTTCTGTGGTTTATGACTTCATCTGAACCTATCTATCAGATTAATTTTCTTGGAATAACCCCTTCCCCATTGTTTTCTAAATTTCCAATACTGTACTCTGTGTTATCTTCCATTCCCAACAACAACACTGCATGGACGCCTCTCTTCTTTTACACTTGTGGTGTTTCACCAGTTATTCCTTAGTAAGTAGAATGAAAGGGAACGTCCTTCCAATGATATGTTTAAAACCAGGTCTCTGGCTATTCAGACGTACATTTAAAAAACCCATGGTCAGCCTACATCATGACCCCCACCATATCCACCCCACCTTTGATGGGTGAGCTTTCAGCCATTCTGCTACCCGAATCTCTGTCCTGAAGTCTCTCTTACTCACACTTTCCCTCCCCACCTCAGTTTTAACTGTCTCTCTAGCATCAAAATTGAGTGCTCAGACAGCAGTGTGAAATGCTGCGAGATCTCCTCTAGATGTAAAAGGTGCTATTTAAATGTAAATTGTATTGCACGATACCATTCTGAAAGACACGAGTTTCTCTTGGTGTCTTGGCCAACAATCCACCAGATAAACTTGATTATTGATTTTATGAATGTACACGGACCACTGCTGCACATGCATTAGCTGTGCCATAAATACACAGTCACTACATTTTATAGCAACTGGTTGTGAAGCATTTTGAGGCATTTACATTGTAGAAACTATATCAAACACAAGGATCATCTGCCATAAGTTCACACAACATCTGGTTTTGAGTTAGGATACCTTCCAATGGTGAGATTGGGTTCACGGGCTGGGAAAATATTTTGAGGAAACAGATGATCAGGTAGACAAGTAGCCCAGATACCATTACTTACCCCCATCAATAAGGAAGTGTTCAATGCTCCAATTCTTCTTGATGACGCAGTACAGAAAATAATCTTTTCAGAGATTAGAAAGCACATAACCACTTTGCCCTGAGCTAAGATCTAGTATACAGAAGTGCTAGTGAGTAGATCACTTGATGGTTCAATTTTCGTGAAATTTGACATAAAGTTTACAGAGTATTTAATAATGTGAGTGTCTCATGAAATTGGGTTCTCCATTACCTGATTATTTTCTGGTCTCAATAATACATATTACCAGCCCAAGCTGACCTATCATCATCCCCATAAATCAGAAACCTAGTTCAAGGAATGAGATATCCTGCTTGTAAATTGCTGCACGTCAGTTCCTTGTGGTGCGATTACACTGTACCAATCTTTGTGTATGTGTCCTGTAGTACTGCACACAAAAGTAGAAAAAGAAAACCATGATATGAAGAAAGCCAAGGCTGCTCTAATAGCTATACAAATTTACCGTCTAAATAGTTGGGGTTTAAAACCTCATCATAATTTTACATCCACAGATTGGGTTAGGATTACAAATGCCTCATAACTGTTTATAATGGAAGGAGAATGAGAAGCAATCTCTCTCGGGCTTATATGAAAATAGTTTGAAATTGGCACATTTATTCAGCAATTGTCACTACTGTTCTGTGTATGTGTATATATGCATATATCCATACACACACACACACACACACATACTTTTGCACGTACTAAGTGTATCTATGCACATATCCACAACCTCACACTAGTAGGACCTAGTTTGTGAATCTCCTCAGTGCTTTGATTTTAATTTAAGAATCTAATTAAATGAATCCATGAAAGCTGCAGCAGATGGCATGTTACAAAATATAAACTGCAAATCTAAGCACTTTGGCGCTCATTGAATAATAATAATAATCCTTGCATTTGATATTGCGCTCTTCACTTCTAAGAGTTTCAAAGTGCTTCACAGAATATACTGTAAAGTGAATTGACTGTATATTTGTGGGTGAAACATTTACATTTTTTTATTACATTTGTATAGCACCTTTCACGTTGGGTGCTGGATAGTGTACAGCATTTCAGACCCGAGCTGGGGTCGGGTGGAGGGGGAGAAGGAGGGTGACCAATGACATTGTCGAGGAGGAGGGTTTTGAGGTGGGACTTGAAGGAGGCTAAGGAGGGTGCGAGGCGTAGTGATTGGGGGATGGAATTCCAGAGGTTGGGGGCAGAGTGGCTGAAGGCTTCCCTGCCAATAGTGGGGTGGATGGGTCGGGGGATGTGGAGCAGGCCGGAGCTGGCTGAGCGGAGGGAATGGGTGGGTTGGTAGGGTTTAGGAGGTTGCAGAGGTAGGGTGGGGCGAAGCCATGGAGGGCATTGTAGGTGAGGACCAAGATCTTGAACTTGATTCTCTGAAGGATAGGATAGGGAGCCAATCGAGTCGGGAGTAGAAGGTGGAGGCAGAAAGATAGAAATGGGTGTCATCCGCATACATACGGAAGTTGACCCCATGTCTGCGGATGAAGTCACCAAGGGGGATCCATGGAGCAGGTGGTGGGTTTGAGGTTGCAAACGATGGCGGTGAGGGAGGAGGGAGAGATAGGGTCGAAGGAGTATAGAAGGGGATGGGTCATGAGGAAGAGGTAACGTGGGGGTGGTGTTGGACGGGCAGATGTGGCTGAACGTATCCCCTCGATTTTGGATTTGAATATAAGAACATCTTCCATCCACTCCCCAGGCCCCTACCTATAAACATGTTGTATATTCTGCAATCTTGCTTCAGGGCCACACATAGTTCTCTGACTGTAGATGGCAGGACAGATACCCCAGTAAACAGTATGAACATGGAACAAGGTGAACAGCTCCAAGTGGAATGAGAAACGGAGGTAGGCTGAGAAGGGTCATCGGGATTGTTCTACAAAATCTGTCCATTCCACCTAAAATAGAACACCCTGTGTCTCAGTTTCTTCATCAGCTGATTGATGTTGTGGCTCGGTAATTCTGAGAATCATTACCTGATGTGGCCAATATGTGATTTCAAAAAGGATCTTTGTTTCCTCAACCAACATCTTGTGAATGATCCAAGCTACAAGGTAAATTGGGGTAAAACAAGGACATGAAAGAGGTTGCTCTGAGAGGTTCCCTGACAACGTAGAATATGAACCAATATTCTAGCAGCCTTTTGTGCTGAAAAGTACAAATTAGGTGTCCAAAAAATAATAATTTAGTCACTCAATCCAACCACTGTTTATGGGATACTGCTGTATGCAATTGGCTGCCACATTTCGCCCACAAAATATACAATCAATTCATTTTACAGTGAACTTTACATTCTGGGAAGCACTTTGAGACGTGTCAAAGACGTGATAAGGCGCTATATCAGATGCAAGGATTATTTTTATTAGTATTATTTCCTGGTAAGACCATGTGTTAAAAATCTGCGAAGCAAAGGAAGATGTCAAACATGACCTTGACATTTAAAATTATGCTCAAGGCATCTTCTGGATAAGACGTCAAACCAACAACACACCATCTGAGGCTATTCGGGTTGATATCAAAGATCCCACGATGGATCTCAAATGGAGAAAGGAGTTTCTCCTGGTATCATGGTCAACAATCCCTCAGACAGAATGAGTCATTCATTTCATGGCTGTTTGTGAGTCATTGCTGTGTGCAAATTAGCTGCAGTGTTTGCCTCCAAATACAGTCACTACACTTTACAACAATACATCTGAAGCACTTTGAGGTGCCCTCATGACATGAAAGGCGCTATATCAAATGTAAGGAGTTTTATTATTCAACTTCTTTGAAATGACCCCAAAAGCATCTCTCAGAGTATTTTAAACACTGACAAAATTTTGCAGATACTAATGACACTAATTGACGTAAAAGGCGCTACACAAATGTCATTTGTATTGTATCCAGTCATTGCTCCCACTTCAATTCTCAGTTAAGGAAAGAACGAAGTTGCTCCTCCTCCTTATTACTGCTTGCACAGAACAGATGTGTCATAGACTTCACAACACATTTCAAATGAAGGATAACAAAATAACGACAACAAAATTACATTTGTATAGTGCCTTTCTCATCGGGAGGATGTCCCAAGGCGCTGGAACAGACAGAGTTACAGACCCGAGCTGGGAGTGGGGTGGGGAAAAAAAGCAGGGAGATCGAAAGCAGTCGAAGAGGAGGGTCTTGAAGGTGGCGAGGGAGGGAGAGGGGTGAGACGGAGGGACTGCAGGATGGAGTTCCAGAGGGTGGGTGCAGAGTGGCGGAAGGCATGCCCGCTGATAATGGGGCGAGCAAGGCGGGGGAGTGAAGCAGGCCGGAGCCCACTGAGTGGAGGGAGCGAACAGGGTGATAGGGGGTTAGGAGATCATAGAGGTAGGGGGGAGCAACACCGTGGAGGGCTTTGAAGGTGAGGACCAGGATCTTGAACTGTATCCTCTTTGTGATGGGAAGCCAGTGGAGTCGGGGAGGATGGGGGTGATAGGATCACAGAGCCTAGTGCGGGAGAGGACACGGGCTGCAGAGTTCTGGATGAGGGTCTGTAGAGAGTCAATTGCATGGCTTTAGGATTCAAAACTCCTAACCCTCCACAGGTAATATATAAAAAGTCCAGCAAGTATGTCTTCTGCCATTTATTTTGCTGTACATCTTTCATACATTCAGCTGAAAAGTCAAATGTTTTACAGGAGATTGCAATAAATTAAAAAATTAGACTTTTTCCAATTAATAAAAAGATAAGAATTCCACAAAACACTATCCCTTTAGAATATGAACACTTGGTACATTTATCAAAATCAATTCTATCTACGTTTTACATGAAATAAATCACTTTGGTTTTATAACTCCCTGGATTGAATTACATCTTTCAAGTACATTAATGTTTTCTGTATGAAATCAAATGGTTTCATGATTACAGCAGTGACTTTATTACCCTGTTCTTCGATCCACTCATTTGGCTTGTAACACTCAGAAGTGTAAAAAAAAACACTTCTATAAGATAGCTTAAAGCAAATAATTGCTTCAGAAATTTGTTTGCAAAACTCTCCAGAAATAGATCTTTGCTTTTTCGTTGCCCTGAAGCAGTTTGCTGCAATATTTTCTTAGAAAAATTTCTTGAAATCGGCTTGTCTTTTACTCCTGCGAAAAGATGATCAAATGTTTAGGATGCTGAACACATTTCGAATGTTTGCTAATTGTTTAAACAGCCTTAAAAGGCGTGAACACAGAACAAAATGAGGAACAATATATCGCACTGCTATATCAACTTTGTAACAGTAATTCCATCTCAGCAAGTGCTAAGGCTTTGTTAGTCTATGTTTGATGCTGAATTGGGGTCAATTTTGTGTCCAATATCGATGCCCATCCAAAATTCATGCATACATAGTGATGCATCAAGTCTGCCCTTAACTCACTTCTCCTTCAACCCTTAACAAGAGACCTTTGTCTGCTCCGGCAGGGCTTCTGACTGCACAGAAGAAGTGTTCTAACACACTGTGTTACCTAGTCATATTTACCAGTGTTAAACAGAGATGACTTCAATGGTAATGTACCAACGTTTTGATGTGGTAATAACCAGTCCAAACAGCAAGAGTATATCATTACAAGGTGGATAATTAAAAGAGATCAACTGTATACATTTTCCTTTTTATTCACGCTGAGGTTTTGATTGCGGAGGAAATAATAACACACTACCCTCCCCAAAGTGGCGGCTCAAGAAGTCACAAACGCGGGATGACTCACAGTGTGCGGGTCCACTTGAGGGTTCAAGATAGGGCGAGAGGTGGAGGATCAGACTGAATCCTCAGACAACACTATCTCTGTAATAGTCACCGCACTGCATTGCATTGTTGGTCCTTTCACAACAATGAGTTTTATAAAATGATACCGCAGTGAGAGGCTTGTGCCAAGGGACATTATTTGTACAGTTTCAAAGCAGTCACTTATCTGGCAGTTAGTACTGCACCTCCAGATGAACTCTGGAGCCCTTGACACTTGCTGGTTGGTCCATTTGCACAATACCCACGACACGCTGTAGCAACAAGTTGATGTAATACTTGGTCATGTAGACGAGTTATACTGTTGCCGGATTAATGAAATTTAATTGAAGTAAATAAAATTTTCTCCCGTTATCTTCAAATCCTGCCTAAAAATCTACCATACATACGAGGATTATTACCTCGCTTTTTTGTCACCATCTGACACACATTGTCTGTGAAATGCATTAATCTATGTGAAGTGTGGTTTATAAATGCAAGTTGTTGGAGATGAAATTGGGTCATTTTTTCCACTGTTAACATTGCTTCCCAACAGCAAAGGGGCAATGGATGATTGTTACTAAAAATAGCCTGGTGATCATTTCAGTCTCTCATTAGCAGTGCATTCCTATGAACCCATGTTGATAGTGAGGGCTGAAGCAGAGTAATTTCAAATATCTGAATGGGATTCCTTCTGATTAGTACTGACAATGTGACAGGTGAAGAGAAGGACCTTTGCTCTAAAGAGTAGACTGCAGTTGGAAGGAGATCCCTCGAATTGGTTGAACAACAAGATTGCATTTATAGAGTGCCTTTCACGTCGGGAAGACGTCCCAAGGCGCTGGGACACTTTAAACACTTTAAATAGAGTTGGAGAAGTGAAGAAGAGTTACCTGTACATTAGATAGTAGATGACAAATATTGATTGAAGAACAATAAAGACTAGGAAATGTCCTGCTGAGGTACAGGGTGGAACTAATGGAACCTTTGGGCAGTTGATGTGTTGAGCCTGTGGAAGAAAGATTGAGCGTATATTTCCCAAATCAATACTTCATCTGTTATCCATTACAAGACGTTTTATTTGCTGGACACAATGCCCAACAGCAGATATCCAATACTGACACTTCCAAATGTTAAAGGAATAGACAGAACACCAGAATAGAAGGAACATTTCTTCCAAATCCTAAGATTAAAAAGAATTCAATCTATAGTTTGTAATATCACAGTGCATTAAAACCTTCTAACTCAAATCTAATCAACTTTGGGACAAAGCATCTTTGGGACTGGTCTGATGGGTGCCAATAGTCTTCTCCAGTCCTATACATTCCTATGAACCTCTATTGCTATGTTCTGTCCTACCATAGTGTCTGGCATTTCCATCAGATGCACTCTGGAGTCAAATAAGAGTTCTGATCCTGAAAGTAGTTGTGTTCATATGTTCATGGAAGAGAAAGAGATGTGAAGACAATGCATTTCTTATCTATATTTTGATTAAGGTTATTCCAAATGATTTGTTAACCTCATCAATAATGCCTTCAATACATGGAATCCCATTTGTTGGGAGCCTGGGTTTAAAGTTTTTCAGTGGAAGGGGAATGTTAAGCTGCATATTCTACTGATGAGAACAGATGAATAGTCGACTATGTTATTGGGTATTACAGCTGCGATGCCCCATAATAATATTGAAAGCTAGACAAGGTCACACCCTATCCTTCCCTCGGGACTTGAAGACTCTTAAGGGAAATCTTTTGGCAATTACCTGACAATAGGAATTTGTATCAAAGCTGGACAGGGTTTCACTCCCTAAGGAAATGCCATATGTTATTCCAGGGACATATACTGAATTAATATGGGACAGGAGATTAAATCATAAAAATATCATTAAAATTAAGAAATGAATAGTGCAATCACAGCCAGGTTTTTGGTTTTCAATGTCTTTGAGCAAACACAATTTTATTTATTAATTTGTTTTAAAGCTTGAATCTGGGTCATACAGTGTGATATTCATACCTGCGCTGGACACGTTTATGACAAACATGAGAATCCTGTAAATGTTGAGACCCACCTTGAATTTTAATAGGCTGTCAACATCTTTCTTCACAACGTAAATGTGTTCTTTTATCTCAAGAAAGTGTCCGGGTTCCGCACTTTCAGCATTTAAGGACTTCTGATGGAGTTTCACATTGGTAATGATGTCTGCTATGCTTGTCCTGGAAATCAAAGCAATGTTCCGGTCAAATACATTAAAGATTAAATGGAATCTGCAAACAACAATAGGCCTTGGAATCACTGGGACATGAATAACATTTGATGTGTTACAATGTGCAATTAGAAAATCTGTGACTTTAGGAAGTAATGCTCAACTCTGCCACACTTCTATGCCGCATATTCTCAACTCTGAATTCTATACTTGGAATGGGGGAGGAAGGGAGAAATCTTTCCAATACCTTTCTTAAAACTCGTTAATTGTGTATATGTGTCAAATAGTTCTTCTTTCTGTGCTGTAAAATTCTATAATTCTACAACCTTGAAAGAATATGGGGACATGGCAGGGCAATGGGATTGAAAGTACAGCTAGCCCAGGAACAGAGAGCAGATTTGATGGGCCTCATTCTGTCCTGTAAATTTCTATAAATTCAAATGCACTTTTCCTCCTCATCTGTATAATGCATTCTATGTTGTATAATGCCTCAAAGATGCCTTATGCAAGCAAGGTGGGAGAAGAAAGGGCTAGGGTACAGGTATTTTAAAAGAAGGAAGTAGTCATTTTAAAAATAATTAAATCACATCTTAAATTAAAACTATATCTGGCAAATTACTAGAATTAAATTAAGTTTAGCATTTAAAAAATTATTTTACTCTTAAGTGTCAAAGCATTGTTTTTCGGGGGGCCAACGGCGAAAAACAATAGCTTTAAAAAAAAACATGAATTTTAAAGGATGGTTATTTTGAAAGAAGCTTGTGGAGAAAGAGGTTTGCATTCCATTCAATGTTCCCCTTCACTTTGATGAATCACTGTACCAATTAATAGAAATAGCTGCCTCTATTTATAAGTCGCCTACAATTGTAAACACAATAAACTTAAAAGGTGGAAATGATTGTGGCCTTTATATCCTGTGTACGTTCTTCACAGCTTAACCACTTGCACACTTGACTTTAAAACAATAATATGTTAATACAGTATTTTTAAACACTATTCAATCCTGTGTTAAAGTATAATTGGCAGCACTTTGACTCAACTCAATACCTTCTTGTTGCTGAGTCATAAGGTTGCGATTTTACTCACCCACGTTAGGGCATTGAACTTACGGTCTAGTCTGACATTCCAATCAACTGCTGGGAGGAGCGCTGTGCTGTCGGAGGTGCCAACCTTTGGATGAGATGCTAAACCGAGGTTCCATCTCCCTGTTCAGGTGCATGCTAAATTCAAACTACTATTCAAAAAAAATGAAGGGAGCTTTTCCCTGGTATCCTGTCCAACAAGCCCCCAGATAAAATTGGTCATTTTACTTCATGGATGCTTGTGGGGAATTGCTGTGTGCAAATCGATTGCCCCATTCGCCTACAGAATTCGCAGTCACTACACTTTACAATGAATCTTGTGAAGCAGTTTCAGATGTCTTTCAGACATGAAAGGCCCTATATCAAATGTAAGGATTATTACTATATTGGAACATTTTAATCAAAGGCAAGCAGTTATCCTGTCAATTCCAGGGTGCAAGTTACAATTAACTGAACCTTGCTTCTCAGCTGATTTGATTTACGCACAAATATTTTGTGCAGTATTAAAACTGAGTTCATTGCATCACAATAACCACTCCTTTATGATCTGACACTACACCAAAACAGCCTTTTAAATTCTCTAATAAATGTTGGACTACAAAGCTCTGGGGTGAAAAATGCGACATTTCCTAACAGATTCAATGTGATAATTATCACAGCAAACTACTTGTGAAATGTTGTGTCTCACCCTTCAACTTATCTGGAATGTGGCAATGAACGGCTCAGTCATTTTACAATGATGTGTACTACACTACACTCCACTCTGTTCACTACAGGAGAAGCCATTTGACATCGCTCCCATATGTCCACTGCAATTCCCTAGTTAGAGAAAAACACCAGATGGCATGGCTATGCAGCTGGTCAGGTTACAGGAACTGTCATGTCATCATAATAAAATGTGTAGTAATCAAATAAAGAGCTAGGAACTCGTCACTCCAGAACAATTTACCAGTGACTAATACTGCACGCTGGAACCACTGGAAAGAAATCAACAAGGGAACGGTGATTCATTCTTAATTGCAATCAAGAATTTGCTGCCTCTTATATCAGAACACCTCAAAGCTCTCTGCAGTAATTAGTCAAGGGTCAAGGTTTGAGTGGACAAACATGGAACCCATTTTGGACACAGCAAGTTCCCACAAACAGCCATGACTAATCTGGGAGATTGTTGGGCAGGACACAAGGAGAAACTCCCTTTTCTTTTTGAATAGCATCACAGTATCGTTCATCCACCCAAAGAATAGGGAGATGGGACTAAAATTTCATCTGACAGCACCCCTCAACTACTTTTGCTGGAAAGTGCTGCTGACTTTTAGAAGCAATATATGGGATTTTAGAATATCCCTTATAGTGTGTTGGGGGAAGTTTGTGAATGGAAATAGCTCGACACCAATATTTTGTTGCTAAGGAAACTGGAAACTTTCACCACAATTTAATAATCTGACAAAATAACGGTGCAATTTAAAACATTTTTGATTTGGTGATATTGAAACTATTTGTTGAACAGAGTTTAAAAGCAAGTCTTCACCCCCTCAACTCAATTGCCAGCAACAGAAACAGGAACTCATTGCCAGGCTTCGATTTTCATCACTGATCCGTAAAAACAAGAGAAACCCACATGTACAGACAGACTGGTCTGGTCCAGGAGAAACCTGTCTATCAGAGCAAACTAAGTTATGATGATGGTGATGTAACAATGGATAACAGTCAGCAACGGGGAGAGGAGATGAGTTTGCGTTTCAATACATTTCATACTACAGCAAGTCTTTGAGTCGTCTAACCGATTTGTAGCAATACAAAGAATGTACAAGTTCCACCCAACAGGCAACCTACAATTCAGTAGGTTAACTGTGGCTTCATGTTTTGCAACAAATAATAATCCATAGAAAAATACCATAAAACACAGTTTGCAAAGTGAGGGCCGAATAAGGTTTCAATAATAAAATTATGGTAATAGTTAACGCTTTGAGATTTTTTTTAACTTGAAAACTGTGTAAATGCAGCTATCAATGGGTTTCTATAATAATAATAGCATTTGGTATTGGGCCTTTTACACCTTTCAGGGTTGTTTCAAACAACTATTTGATATCTCAAACAGTTTCATTGGATTGCAGATGAACACAGCAGCCAATTTTGCACACAGCTATATAGCCACACATAACCACAGAGTAAATGATTAATTTAATCTGGAGTATTAAATTAATCCACCAATTAATTGGCCAGGACACCAGGAGAAACTCCCAATGTTACTGAACGTTACACTGTGGGTCAAGCCAATAATTCATCTCAAGTTTGAGATAAACCACTTAAGGTTCACTCTTGCAGCTAGATATCTTATGCTCTGGATTCATTACTGACATGCAACACACTGCAGAATTTTACACTGTCCTGTATGTAAATGCAACTATTAGAGGGGGTGTCAAACAGCTATTTAATGTTGCATTTGAATGGATCATGCATATTTCAGATGCTGTATCAGGGAAAATTACCATATTTTTCAAAGCACACATCTCTTGTGTGATGTGCGCACATCTTTTCACATCTCTCAAGTTCAATTTACATCATTTCCTTTGACAATTATATCAATCAATACCACAGCAAAATGGCAGGAGGAGGTCACCAAGATGCTCAAATCCTGATAAGGATTTGGAAACCAATTTTAAAATGAAATCAATAGCCCTCACTGATAAGAGTGGGGTAGGATTTTCAAATAGCACCTTCCTTACATCATCTCAAATCAAGTAAGAAGTTCAATGCTTCTCAATTCAAGACTTATTTGATGTGTGGGTAAAGCACCCTATGAAAACATTTCCCCCTAAACTCAAGTCTCATTTTTGAGCAAACATTTTATTTTTAACTCCAGGCATAGCCAGCAGTCGCACATGGACTGTGCAAAGAGAGGCTGCAGATCTCTATTCTTCCCCCTTGGGTCTGTGGTTCTGCAATTAGCAGGATCACAAGGTCAAAAACAGCAGAAGCCAGAAGTGTCGGTGTGTTTTAAAAAAAACCTTCACATCACTGACTATGTTCCCAGCAGGAAAAGATTAAACGTCCTTAAAATGAATTGAATTTGGTAAAGCAATGTTTTCCCAAAGCAGCTTTCTTTAGTTCAAGACCTACATGCTTCCGCCCCTTGAATTATAGAGCATTCAACATCCTTTGGTGCTATTTCAACCAGTCATTTTGATTTAATGCAAGGGTTTATTTAATATAATGCAATACACCAATGAATGAAGCAGACATGGCCAGGTTTTGTAAATCGGTTGTACAGAGGAATTGTGAACTGTATGAAACCACTACACAAAAGGTATTTATGGATTAACATAACTGTGCTTAATACTGCACACAGGCTTTTAACCCAAATCCCAAGATTCAACATGACTCAGTCAAAGAAGCAGGTAGAGAACATGAAAAAAAGCCCACACATGTAGTAAATCTGAAATCCACAGGCGTGTGCGTATTTAAAGTCAACATTGAATTGCATTCAACAACAAATTGCATTTATATAGGACAGTGCTTTACAGTGGCAGAGTCTGACACCGAGCTGTTTACTTCTTAACTCTGGGAGGAGGCAAGTGTGAATGAAGAGCGGAAATGAGGTAAGGCAGAGCTAAGAATTAAAATGCTTTCTTGAAAATGAATGTTTGAAGGGCATGCTTGTTGACAGCGTTATGTTTTACGCACCATCAGGCCCAAGGCTGCTGGGAGGCAAAGGCATCAATAACGACATTGTAAAGCATAAAAAGCTTGGACGTAACAAGCCCACAGCAAAGGCTGTGATATTATCTTGGGCGATGTGCTACCAAGGACATAAGGCTGCAAACTAACATTCAACTGATTCCACGGCAATATAAGAACATCATAAAGGTCAAATAAAAATAAATAAATCATGAGTAATTTTGATTTCTCTTCTTCCCCCCCGACGACA